TGAAAATATTCATCGAGCGAAGCGAATTTCGGAAGTCGTGTGAAATTGCATTGCTCGTGTGTGATATCGCGCTGGCGACATTCGCAAGTCGGTAATCAACAAAGCGTGGTGTGTTCTCTATTAACGATGGGCACTGGTAAATTATTTTAATGGCCTACAAACGGTCGGACACTTGATATCAGCGTGTGCTGATAACGGCATTCGTCACATTTCGCTTATCGCCGTCATACTAAGAGGATAAATCGATTTTGTCATCACATTTACAAGGTTGCGCGCTTTCCTACATCCTTGTTAGGCGATATCAAAATGACTCCAATGTCGATAAGTTATGTTAATTCGACCGCTGCCGTTATAGCTAGCCGCGTGATATATATGCGCTTTTTCTATCGCGAATCGAGATAAGCTCCGCGACAGCGCTTGTTACGCTCCGCCGAGCGCTGTGTAATGTCGTTAACGGCAATTAGAAAAATCGTTATTATCAGCCGGATCGGGAAAAATCCAAAGTTGCGTGCGATGATCGCGGCGAATCGCGCGATTACCACCGACCGATCTCGACTCAAATGCGAGCCGTTCTACGCTCATTCGTGAGCCATCCGTCGTCTTTTTACAGCGTGTAACGTTTTCAACAAGATCGCCGTCGTATAAAACGATGAGACGCGGCTATATCGCGAAGAAGTGAGCTCTCGTCGTGACACCCGTCGCGCGCTGCTAATTTGCGCCGCCGACCGCCAGATTCGCGATCTCGCGTGTCGCGAGTACTCGCGGTTCCCAGACGTTTCCAGGCACCGAGTGAACATTTTGAAAAACCACCGAACTTTTACGCACGAACGCACGAACCAGTCCATTATCTAATCGGTACGATAAATAAACGGGCCGATACAGTTACGATTCCCTGGAATTTCACGCGGGTTACTAGCAGTCTGCGTTTGCGAGCGGTGCAACGTCACAACTGCACAATTCCGGTAGCTGTTGGCATCGGATATTTAATTTACGATGACAACTGAATAACACACAGTCGCCGGGTTGCCGTGCATGTTGCGGCCGCGGCGACCTCCGACTAGTTTCGCCGCCGTCAATAATGGCATAACTCAATAGCTCGCGACAGTTTCCAATTCTCGAGATCGGTATCGATCGGGTGCAACATGGTGTCACAATCACGTTCCCATCGCGATTCGTGCGATCCATGCTCCGGCGACTTTGAGATTTAATTAATTCCACGCTCTCGAGATCAGCGAGTTGCCATCGCTCGGGGGAAATTTTCAGCCGAGTCTCAGCTCCACCGTGTCATGTAAAACCATTCACGACGGGCAAGGCCCGAAGTATACGGGAAATCTGAAGCATCAAACAATCTGGCAAATCACAATGGATTGTGATCTCCTTGCTGTCCAAGGATAACCGACTATGATTGACTAATTTTCTTGTTGCTCGGATCTCGTTGCTTGCGTCTCTCTATGTATTCCGGCTTAACAGTCGATTTCTTACAATACGTCCGAGACTGATCGTCGCTTTGTGCAGCAAACCCCTAATCAAGCCCGAGCCTGATCAATCTTCATCCACTTAGGCATGCGCCGCTCGCATGCTCGCTCGCTCGCTCGCTCTCGTACGCGGCACCACGTCACGTCGACACCCAGGTTCACGTGCACACGTGTGCGTGAGAATACGCGCGCGACGAAAGCTTTGGACCCGCCTACACGTGGTTCATTCGTGGCCGCAATGGCCGCTATCGGTATCCCCGATTCCACGCTCAGAGTTCCAGCACCGAAGGTGGAGACGCGTCTGCGCGCCTCCGTGCCTCTCTTTTCCTCCCGCGTGTCGGACGCCTTTATCCAGGCCTGTGTTTCTCTCGCTCCGACACGTGGGCTATCATTTGATCCCCTCCCCAGCACGCGGCGATTCCCCTTTCTTTCGAACCGCCGCGCTTCTCCTCTATCTCCGTTCCACCTCAGCCTTCATCAGCCGAAGAGAACGCGCTTCCCCACTCTGCCGTGCGCCCGCGTGCGTTCAACCCTGTAAACTAGCCCCAAACTGGCGGAATTAACTACGAATTATATCCCAATGGAAATATCAAGACTTCTGTGAAAGAGAAGACTTGTGAAGAAATCAGGAGAGTGAAAAAAAAGAGTCCTCGAGATGTCAAATTATATTCTGAAAGAGACGGCTCGATCGCACGCGTATGCGAGTGAGGAGAGACTTATAACGGGGGAAAAATATCGATCCTCGGAGAGAGTTTATTCTAAAATGTTAATAAGTACCTTTTTCCTCTCTCTCTCTCTCTCTCTCTCTCTCTCTCTCTCTCTCTCTCTATCCTCCCTGTCCCCCTCGACGCGGATGCATCTCGGTGCTCTCTCCTCTCGCGCGAGCTATACGTCGGAGACGGCCATAAATTACCTGCCCTCCGCTCTCCGGAGGTTCCTGGACCCGTTGCGGAGGGCCGACTCATGGAACGTGCCGACCATGGCGGCACTCTCCGGTCGCTTCACCGGAGAACGCTCGTGTCCCAGACAATGGCACGACCGTGGGCGGCACGGCGTATGGGAATTCAATATCTACTCACCCCGTAGCCGGGGTTATCTCGCGCTTGGGGATGCTTAAATTTCGTTAGGTATCGGTACTTTTATTCACTCGGTACCGAGCACCGCCGAGTATCAATGTTACACTCGTTGCAACGCCGATCACTTTTGTTTCGCATCTCACGAGAGAGAGAGAGAGAGAGAGAGAGAGAGAGAGAGGGGGGGGCGGGGAGAAGGGAAAGGAAAGAGAAGAAGAAGAAAAGAGAGGAAGGTCTGAGAAATCGCGACGATAATTCAACGAGAGGCGATAAAAATAACGGGAGAATTATTTGACGCTGTCAAAATCGGCACGTCAAGGCCGAGCTGAGGAGTAAAACTCAAACGCGCCCGCTGCTCACAGGACAAAGGGCCATGAGCACACCAGTCTACCCTCGACGGCCGGTGGCCGTGCGCATCCGCGTCCTCTAAATTTCGCGATGCAAAGCGCAGCGTGTTCCATGCATCGTGCTCAAATGGAATGCATAGATATGGCGAGACTTGCGCGGCTATCCTTAAGGAGATGCGTATCCTGACAATAAGACTCGTGGGCGGTGCAGGACTCACGTACCGAAATGGTCGCGGTGCCGCGGGAGAGAGAGAGAGAGAGAGAGAGAGAGAGAGAGAGAGAGAGAGAGAGAGAGAGAGAGAGAGGGAGGGAGGGAGAGAGAGGGGGAGAGAGAGAGAGAGAGAGAGAGAGACCGATATGTATCGGACCACGTGTGCTATTTTCATGTCTAACAATACCGCGAGATAAATTCTCGACGTGCCGCTGCAAAGTAACGCCGGTATCGTCGTAAAATGCATACTGCGCTGTAAAATCGCGCAACGGCAACAAGCCTAAAAGGCGCGTGCGCGCGAGCGGGAATTCTCCTTTCTCGGCCGTAATTATTATCGCCGTAATTATTGCGACAGGAATGCAAATTCGCATTCGCTCGATCATCTCAGGGAGATTATTACGAGGGAGATTACGAGGGATCGTTCAGAGGCGTTTAAAAAACGCCATCCGACCGATTAAAATACGTAATCACATTCGATTACATCCTAAAGCGCTGCGATTAAAGCACCTCCAACTCTCTATCCTGACCTCCCGCTCGCTCATCTCACCACGCTGAACCTCACGTGAAATTTCGCGTTGTTTCGCCTCAGTCGGAGAGACACATCTGGTCTTCCGATTCGCGACCACGGGCGATCACGGGCGCACAGACAAGTAAGACAGAGAAAAAGAGAGAAAGAGAAGAGCTGGCCATCGACGAGCATGACGGGACTCGGATGAATTTTTCACGACCATCCTTGGTCTCTCTCTCTCTCTCTCTCTCTCTCTCTCACGGGCGGCCCACGCCCGACGTCGCGCATCGTCGTTCTACATGACGCTCGCGTTACTTCAATATGTCCGGCCGGTTATATCGGCTAAAGGGACCATTAGCATTATCTGCTCCGGGAGGATGTATTATTGCCGCTTCCATGTTATTACCCGCGGGCTCTGCCGGCGATATATCTCTGTGCGGTAGCGGAAGAAGATTGCCGACGGTGGCTCTCTTTAGCCGCGCGGTGCGCCTTGCCTCTGCCGTTGTATCGATGCCGGCGCACCGAACGGCACGATTATTCATCCTCGTACTAAGGTGAGCACCGTGTTTCATTATCACCGTCTGTTCGAGATTCGCCGTTGACTGTTGACAGTTTGTCTGCGAGAATTATGTGAGTAATATTCCGAGCGAGAATCTTCGCGAATGTTTTCACAGGTAAATATCACGCGCGTTGAGCGTGACGGGTTCGTGGTCCGCGTCTGACTTCGGTCGAGTTCTTTGGCCAAAACATTGATTGTCAAACACCTTGTTGTTGTGATAACATTAGCAGCCGTAGATGCGGACTTTCGGGCCGATCAGCTGATCGGCTCGCGGCTAATCAGCGCGTGCCAAGTCCGCGAAAAGAGTCGGATGAAATTCACGGATCGATGACCGGTGAGGAGATTACGAATTCAATCGCGAAGACCTAACCGCCGAACGAAGGCTCTTATCAGTCCGCGGGAACTTAATTGTGTTAACGCTCAAAGTCAATGTAAATTTTCGCAACATCCTATCGCGTTATCTATTCGGTGGTCCGTTCGTGAGCGCTTGTTTTTCTTGCAATATGTAAAAGGATCCGGCGGGCTTGTCGACGGCTCGAGACGAGAAGAATAAAGAATTGTCGCGCGAACTTCAGTGCTTCTTAACTTCCGCACTTCGCTCTCGTGCGACTTCGCGCGACCGACGATTACGAAACCGCGCGCCTCCGCGCTTTTTTCTCTGAGCGAGTTCCCGGCGAACGTTTTGTGTGCAGCCGTGTTCACGGTCACACAAGAACACCGTCCGTAAGATCGTGAGAAGATCGCTCGCCGGCTGATTTAATTAGGGAATCTTTAATGCAACATATGAGAAAGCGAGAAGAAAACATGTCTTTTTCTCCATGCCGCAGATGCCGTGGTGGTAGCGCTCTCTCGGGGAGGATGTACCACGGGGGCGGAAGTGGCGGGTACGGCGCAGGTTCCGACTACCAGCAACAGTCCCAGCAGCAACAGCAGCAGCAACACGGGCAGCAGCTCCAAGCGCCCGTCTACGTTCCCTCGTCCAGGCCGGCAATTCCATCAGCAGCCACGGCGGCGCAATATCACTCTTTCCCCACTTCGGCCTCGCCCGCATGGTACATGTAATCTACTTTTCCGCACTCTTGCACAATAACCCCGTAAAAGGACTCGCGAGACTAGATCGCTCGCGCCCATCGCTAGTGCCCACTTCGGCAGCCGTGTTCGTTCGTTTTTACTCGCGGAGACTTTCGCGACGTTACATACCGCACATCCGAGTGCGTTATTTCGACACGCATGAGCGTGTCGAATTGGCTGAAGCCTTTCTTCTTTTACACGTTACACCGGACGTTCCGGTCGCGCGTCATTTAATTCGTCTAAACATCGTTTAACAGCACGTTTAAACGTATGTTAAACGACGTGAGAGAGAAACACAAGACGGCGAGAAACGTGTAAGGCTTCAGCCAATTACACGCTTATGCGTGTTAAAATGACGCGCTTGGGTTTGCAGTATGTATGAGGTAACGAAAAATCGCAATTCCGCGCGTACACGCGCGTCACGTACTCGCGAAGGGCTAACGCGAAGCGTTACGATCGAAGGGAGAAAACGGCGTCCTGGCAGCACGGAGTGGAAACATACGCGGCGCATCACGCACTCGCCGGCCACACGAGCGGCACCGCGGCGGCGATGGGACCGCACGCAGGACACGGTCATCCGCACGCAGGACACCCGCACACGGCCCATCCTCATTCCTCCCTCGCCGCAGCCGCGGCCGCACCGTTCTACGCGCAGAATGTCGCCATGATGTCGTCCTGGCGGGCGACCTACGAGGGCACCAGCTTCCACCAGCGCGCGTCTCCTTACGGTTCGTACATTAGTGAGTTTCGATTTTCGAAGTAGTTCGAGGTATCACATCGAATCACGACTTGCAAGGTTAATGGCGAAATTCATCCTTTGCGCGTTCGCAGACTTCGCCGCGACGGTGACAGTTTGCCGTGGTCAATACCACGTCCAATTGAGTGGAAAGAGTTTTCCAAATTAAATCAAGCGAAAAGATATTCCATCAACGGTTGGCCGTAGTCCATTTCGCCAATTTATAAAGCTTTGTACAATATCGTTGAGTCTGTCGATCGGCACGTGTCGGCACGTGTGGAGACAAATTCTCAAACCCACCGAGTCGAGGTTGGCGCTTGGAGCGCAAAGGCTTGAGGATTCTTCGGACACCCGACGCCTCGCGCCGAAGGTCGCTTTGAGAATCTTGGAGAGGAATCATTTCGCCACAATAATACCTGTATAATATGCATCACTGTTCGATTGGACGGTCGCGCATTTACAGCAATAATTGTTCACGCGCCCTTCTCTTCTGCGAGCCGTCCCGCGTCGCCGGTCAACCGGTCGCGTCAACCGATCGACCGGTTGAGGAGGAATTGTCAAGACGGAAACGCGAACGTTACCTGCCCGCAATGCGGATATCCGTCGGCGCTCGAGTCTCACCGCGCTTCGTTCGAGTGCATCACGCGTAAAGTCGTCATGATAAACAAATGAAAGTTATGTGACCTACCCGTACACCGCCGCGATAAGATACGCGGCGGAGGCATACAATTTCCTAGCCCACAGCGATTAGTTTATCAAAACCACAGACGATACCACGAGCGACGAGCCGCGAGAGGGTACCCGTGGAATTTCCAAGCGGGCCGTCGTCGTTTTTACGCTTCGCCTCGCGGCGAACCTCGTCATTTGGCGAGCCTATTTTCGTTAGCCGAGCGCGACCGGGGGGGGGGGCTTTCTAATCGACACTTTCTATGTGAATCACGCGCGATAAATAGCGGCCACTTCGCCCGATTCGCCGTGCGTAACCCTGCGCGGAAAGAATCTCACATACGTACGCACAGATCGATTCTCTCTCACTCGAATATTTATATTATCACACGATTTTTCCCGCTGGCCGATTAACACGTTCATTGTCAGACTGAAAATTTGAATTTCGTGTGGTGGCCAAAGTTATTTTTTCTTTTATTTATTTGTAGTCGTTTTTTTGCACGATTGAACTGGCATTGAACTGAGTCTTTTCGAGGGTCCTGGTTTGTCACTCATAATAAAAAGCAATCGCATAAACGGCCGTTTGGTGAGAGGCCGCAACACGCGATATCGCGTGACCGACAATGAACGTGTTAACAATTTGCGGAAAATAATAGACGGGCTCGTGACGTTCGGCGGAGGAGTTCGCGGAGAACGGCGCGACGGCAACAGCGACGGACAGGGAAAACGCGCGCGGGCAGCGAGGAGAGGGCAACTTTCCTCGCGGATGCTGCTCGTCGACGAATGCACGCGGCGGGCCATGTGCGATGGATAAGTGATAGCGGCGCCTTTGAAGCGAGCCGGATCGGTCGATCCCGCGGTCAAGTGTTTTACGGCGCAGCGCCGGGAATCGGTTCAGAACGGCGCTCGCGGATGCTTTCTCCGTGAGTGCGGGAACCGTCGGCCGCCGCCGCGCGCGGCATTCTCCGCCGCACACTCCGCCGCCGCTGTCTAACTTTAAACCCCGCTGCAGACATCCGAGAGAGAGAGAGAGAGAGAGAGAGAGAGAGAGAGAGAGAGACTCGAGAGATAAGACGTTAAGAGCGGTTTTATCCTGTCAGCTCACCGAGAGCACAAAAACGATCCCCCTACCGCCCCTGCCCTCGATTTGCGGATGCGAGTAGAGAGTCGTGGAGTTGGAGTGACGTAGATAAATCTGACGTCGCAGCGAGGTGAATTCGACGGAAAAGTTCTCACTTGGTGTGATCAGCTGCGCTTCGCAGTTTCCGTCGCGACACTAAAATTGTCAGAGAGTGGAAAAAGAGTGCAAAGTCTACCGCGAAGCAAGAGACAATCGCTTGTCGGCGCTTTAATCGAACGATGAATGTGTAACGATTGCAGACACCGCGATGGACTTCCAGTTCGGCGAGGGTCGCGAATGCGTGAACTGCGGGGCGATATCGACGCCGCTTTGGCGAAGAGACGGCACCGGTCATTATCTTTGTAACGCATGCGGACTTTATCACAAGATGAACGGCATGAACAGGCCGCTTATCAAGCCGTCGAAACGCCTGGTAAGTTCCTCCACGAATGATCGTTCCACTATCTATCTATCTTTTCTCTCTCTCTCTCTCTCTCACGCGCGCGCACTGAGAAGGGGTTTTCGATTCTCAAGGGACTTAGAATTTTTCAGGGTGGGGTGCTCACGAGAAATTCGACTGAAATCTTTTGGATCACGCGTTTCAAGATAGATTCTTCTTCTCGGTCGCGTTCAAAACTGCAAAAGACATTCTCTATTGAATCGCGTCCGCGTGACTCGAGCCGCATCACAGCGTGCGTTACAAATGGGACAGATGTCGGAATTTCAGACCGCAACGAGGCGACTTGGGCTTTGCTGCACAAACTGCGGTACTCGCACTACCACCCTGTGGAGGCGCAACAACGAGGGCGAGCCGGTGTGCAACGCCTGCGGGTTGTACTTCAAATTGCACGGGGTCAACAGGCCGTTGGCCATGCGGAAGGACGGCATACAGACGAGGAAGAGAAAACCGAAGAAAACCCCGGAGCCGAACGCAAGGTCGTCCACGGGGGATCATGAGACTAACGCTTCGACCACTTCCTCTCCCTCCACCGGTTGGTACAAATTACATACGTTCCCGCGTTGTTTGCGAAAGAACATGATAACACAATTGAGAAACGAGACTATAAATAGTTGGTCGACTAGAACAAAATTATTTGTTTGGCTTTCGGACTGAGAGCGATTTTTTCGTCTAATTGTCCCCAACGAGCGCTTCGTGAACATTTCAATTCGTTTTATCTGAAAGAGGAGCAGCCTGATTGCTGCTGAAGTGTCCTGATAAAGCGAACTGAAGTGTTCACGGAATGTTGGAGTCAATTCGACCAAAAACGCGGCACCAACCTGCCAACCAGCCAACCGAAGCAAACCATTATTCTACGTTGCGAGATATCAAAGGAAAGCAATATTATCGTCGCAGACTTAAAGAGCAATCAGCAGCAGCCACAGCAGCAGCAGCAGCAGCAGCAACAGCAGCATCAGATCGAGGTGACCAAGTCGTCGGGCTCGTCGACGTCGACTGACCGCCCCGTCTACCTCGGCCATACCTCGCTGTTAGCCACCGGCAGCGTGCCCGCTGTGAAAACAGAACCGCGAAGCTGCGACGGCGTCGTCAGCCAACCGTACGCGTCCTACTACCAGCATCCTCATCAGCTCGCAGCCAACAGCGAGCATCAGCAACAGAACTACTACGGCGCCCAAGAGACGCCCTATCATCATCAGCATCACGCGGCGGCGAAACTACTCGCGTCCTCGTCGTAATTCATTTGACGGATCGGAAATCCATCGAAATCATCCTGAGGATGACTATAAGTCGACAACGGTGGTCCGAACACTTCGGAGCGAAGGTAGAAGACTAATCCGCGGCACGAGACTAGTCAAGAACGGATGTGCGTCGGAGAAGCCGATGTCGAGGGTCGCTGGCGTTCGTATTGAGGAATCACAGAATCAAGGGGCCGAGAGGGGAAGGAGGAGAGGAGAGCGAGACGCGGTTTTCTACAGTGCTCGAGATACTTCTCTGACGAGTGGAAGAGCGATTCTTCCGGAGCGTGGGACTAGTCAGCGACGGTTGTACGTGCAAACTGTTTCGAAATTCGAAAGATCGACCGACCTCGGACAAGAGAGAAGTCGACACGCGGGAAACGGGTCATCGAGAAACCGAGAGGTGAAGTCGGTCGTCGGTCGAGCAAGTGTTTCTCGATTCTAGGAGCAGGTGATTAACACGAAGAAATCTACTACACGGACACTTGGATGTACGGCGAGAAGTACGGAGGAGTGTGCCTCCGAAGAGGGAGGGACGGTGTACCATCGAAGAGTGTGCCTCGAAGATGTCAGGTTCGACGGCGTGTTGCTGCAGACAGGCGCGCTATCCTAATTGGGAGGGAAACTGGATCTCTAGTCAATGACAGGGATTGTAGAAATTACGATGGAAGGACGTTCGCTCGGCTGATTCTGACGACCATGATGGGACTCGCGCGAAAATGGGATGTAGCTAATAAAAATATGGCGAAACGAACGGGAGATAACATTTTATACGTTGCGACGTGGCACATTTGCATGTTTAACCACGCGCTCTTGTGTGCGCTCGAATATACCCGACACATGTAAATAGCCGAATTATAAGAAAATAATATAATTAACGCAAGAGTGCTTCCTGATCTGACAAAGGCACGACGCACAACAAGGATAATACATACGGCGGATTATTCTGACAAAGCCTGCCCTATCGGAAGAAAAGAGAGAGAAAAGAAAAAATGGATCGATGTGAATGGTAATGTTGTCTCTATTCTTTGCGTTTAAAAAGATGACGAGGCATTGCGCTTTCTCACGCTGTATTCCTCACACGTAATGGTGTCTCAACATATCGATAAATATAAATGAGAAAGATGCCTTCGTCATTTGAGTGTCGAAATAGCACGTCCTCGCCTAAGCCGAATCCCCAGTACGATTATTACTTCTCATTATTATGGCAAACGCTCGCACGCGAAGTACTTAATTGTAAATAATCGTTAACGGTGAAACACCGCAGTTTTAGAGATAATTCGACCGTTTCGGCCTTCTCGGCGATCTCGCCGATTTATTCGATAGTGACGCCGAATCGGAGGACTGCTCGCGATAACGCCCGTGATCGCCCGAAATATACGCTGAATCATTTCGTTGGAATTATTTCTCTTAGACGACCAAAAAATGTACGGTTTATACCCTACTTATCTGATCTTACGGACGTATATACACGGTAGACGTTAAATTTATGTAAGCTCACCGAGAAACGAGATAGTGATAGATGCAAATTTTCAATAGCAGTCGAGGCAAAGCGAAAGACTTCTCGAGGCACAAGAATATTTTATCAGACTTGTATAACGATAACCTTTGCACAAATATCATAAGGACTCACCCCGACCCAAAGGAAGAAGCGAATGCCTGATGTGAGCCACCCCTCCCCCCCTCGACGTACTTACTGCCGCAAACGACAAGAGGAAGGCGATGACGATGATGAGCCATCCTTATAATTTATTGACTCGAGGCCCCCAAGGCTGCTACGGTTCCCTGAAACATACGTTTAGTTAACGTTAATTGAGACAATGAAACTTTTATGTATAGTTCCTGTATTAACTATTTTTGCGACGCGCGATAAAGATGATTTTTATTATCGATTAAGATAAGCGGAAATTGTGTTTTCTCTCGTGAGCCGAGAAAAGAGATATTCGATTTGAAATATTCTGGTGACTCAGAAAAGGGACTCGATGACGAATGAAGCATAAATCATCAATTCGCACTGCACCATTACGATAAATATCCTTCGAACCTTTGAATATGGACAAATAAATTATCGATGCGATAGCATCGATCAATATGTTGACGACATAGTGACACAATGCGCGAAGGAAGACGATGTTGCTTGAGAGGGGAGAAGTTATTTGTACATGTTCAGAAGTGCCGAGGACAACTACAAACCACCTTGTACAACGACAAAAAGTCTACTTGATATTATACTTGTGTAAAGTCGGACGCGTTTCTGACGCCTGATTGTATCGCTGATAAATAAAAAAGAAGCTGAAATCACCTTTTTGTTGATTGAAATTCGTATCGCGAGTACACGTGAGAATAGCAGTGTTAGTCTGTGAGCACATTTATTTAGCATACTTTTGTACGTCCACCGAGCACCAAGATATTGTAAAGAAAAAAGGGAAATTAAAACTAAGATCTCTTTTACGTAATAAAAGATATTGTAATCCTACGTTGTCACGGATAGAGAGATATTTATTAGATCGTCGAACACGCCGCTTCTCTTTTGCTTTTACGAATACATATCGAGAACAGTTATATTTAACGCTAATTGAAAACGCGCCGATCTCGATTATTTTCGCCACGGTACACCGAATACCGCTTCTTCTTCCGATTTGTTCTGGAATAATTTCACGAGCGAGGAACGGTATTACACTCGACCAGTCCACCGCAAATATTATCCTTCTGCATCCTGACGTTCCGAGTGACAGGTCGGACAAATCCGATTCACCACCCCGTTTCCACCACCATCGACGTTAACTTTCCTCGGATAAGGGGTGTGTTTCACGTCGTGTCCGAGTTTGGTCTCACCCGCGGACGCGATCGGGCGCGATCATTTGTATCACTCGCAATCGACGACGAGACATCGCGACGCGGTCAGCCCTTCACGAATTGCGCGCAACGATATCAAGCTTGCGAAGTAGAGTAGACGCACACAAACATGGGTAAATAAGCGTCTTTTTTCATCTTCTCCATAAGAGCCGAGTTGTAATATCTCAGTGGCTGCTATTAGTGAGAAAACACATGCGATACAAACGGCGTTGAGATCGCGAGGAGAAAGGAAACGATCGTTAAAATTCGTAACTCGTAAAATGAGTATCGGTGTTGCTCGTATTCTCAACTGACGAACGATAATGTTTCTCGTGACAGGGAGAACTTTACCCACACCGGTTTCTTGTAAAGTATGTGGCGACCGATCGTATGGGAAACATTATGGTGTTTATTGCTGCGACGGCTGCTCGTGCTTCTTCAAGCGATCTGTGCGCCGCGGCGCTCTGTTCACCTGCATAGGTCGGTATATATCTTGAATTGAGGTAAAACATTGTACAGTTATATTGTAATTCTGTGACGAGCTTGTCATCTTCTAGCCACGGGCTCTTGCACTATTGCGAAAGCTACGCGAAATTTCTGTCCGCATTGTCGTCTAAAGAAATGTTTCTCCGTCGGCATGAATACAGCAGGTAAGCGAAGATTTGATGCATCTGAACTTAGCTACATTAATTATCATAAACGAGAAATAAAGAGAAATTATTATAGATAAAGCAAATTTGTTGTTTTACTTTCAGTTTATACTGTATCACGTCTTACGTTTACGCTCGAAATAAATAAATTCTTCCGTTCTTCACGACAAAATTCACAATTATAAATCGCGAATTCTGATCTTGTCGATTTAATTATCGTTTAATGTTATGCGTAACAAGTTCAATTAATTCGATACGATATCTTCGTGAAAATCTCATGCAAAACGTGCAAAGTCATCGTCGACAAGTAGATACAATAGGGTCTAACAAATGTAATGAATTCAATGAGATGCAAACAATGGCGTGTGCCAGCCAGCCAGACACGTGGCTTTAACGTTACACGGAGAATTTAATTGGCAGACTTGTAACAGAATACTCGATGATAATCTGATTTGATATGTTTCTTAAGAGCACGCGAGAAATATATTTGTTATTTTACCTGTTGCAAAAATAAAATTTGTAAAACTTCTTCTGCATAAATATATAGCATATATTTTATAATTGCCAACATCCTGTTTAATCGGATACGAGTTTAATAAGAATCAATCTTTTTAATGTAATATCAAGACTGTGTGTCTACAAATGTACAGTCACGAAATTCGCATATAAAAATATACGTAAATAACACACAGACAACCCTAAAACAGTTGAAAATAATGATTACATAACAATGATAATAATAGTCGAAAATAATGATTATAAAATAATGATTGTATAAGCTACTATAGACTCATATCTCTTTTGTGTGGATAATCTTGTAAATAATTTATCAGCTATTGCTACTACAACGTGTCACATGGAACGACATCAAATATCACTTCGGTGGTGAGCTCTTGAGTACACAAACCTTACCCTCTCAGATCAGAGAATTAAAGCTACCCCCTTGCGAAGTTGTTTGACCACGTCGTCGTTACGCGTTCTCATATCGATTATAACGAAGGCGTGAGTACAAGTCCCTCTCGTGAAGAGTGACGGGGACACGTGACAGTGTGATTATTAACGCAAGTTCAAACAACAGGACGTTCCTTTATAACATCTATGTTCTACGGGAGATCAAACTTTTGAAGTAAATCGATCTTTCAAGGCATTAAATTTTTCACGAATATTCCTACAGCGGTGCAGGAAGAGAGAGGGCCGCGAATACGAAATAACGCGCTGCCGAGTCCGCATAATTCCAACACCGTCTGGAAGCCCAAAGTTAACCCAACGGGAGCTCTTTGTGTTCGTTTGAACAGCTCCAAGGTGTATTTGCCCTTCAAGAGCTCCACATTGAACAGTACTTTAACAATGAAAACGATACACGAGTCCGACACCAAGGAAGAGATCACCTTTCCCGTCTTGTCGCGCCAGATACAACCAACTGCGAGAATATCGCCCGGTAATTTTCACCCACCGGATATTTCAGTCGTCAATTCTCGCGACGGGTGATCGCAATAATGTATAAATTAGCCCTGAAAATATATCGCAAAACATATCGCGACATCTATTTTCCAGAGCTAAGTAAAGAAAATATACAATAACATAAAATGATACAACATAAAATATAACGTAACGTAATAACAAATAATATAACGTAGAAAAGTATAACATAAAATAATACATATAAAAGGATATAAGCATAAATTTTTTTTCTATCAGGCACGGCTATACAGTACGAGATCTCCGCGCAGATATTCCTGGCTGCCGTTCAAAGTGCTCGTCGGCATCGAGACTTCTCGCTGCTAGAGCTGGAGGAGCAAAATAAAATTCTCCGTCGCGGTTGGTCCGCTCTTTTCATTTTACGCGCGGCCACATGGCCAGTCGATATAACGAACATACGTGGGCAAAATGCAGCGACAAACGGCGGTGCATCGGCTTATCTGACCGCGGCACGCATCGCGATCGCCAAGCTGCAGCTTGATGATGTCGAGCTGTGCATCTTGGACACGTTCGTCCTGTGTCGACCCGGTAAATAAAAAGCAATGTAAATAAGAAGTAAATACATAATTAAGAAGAAAAATGAAGATGACACAAGAGACAAAATTGATCAGGTATGCGCGCCTCAAATTGCAGAAATCGCTAATACCGCGGACGGCTTTCGCGTAACATCGCGGGCGAGAGACAATGCCGTGGAGGCTCTGATCCGGCATCATCAGCATCGAGACGATCGTGCTAAGAAATTGATCAGGATCCTGTTTGTCTTACCTATACTCACCGGTTGTTGCCCTCAGGAATTGGCTGGAGAACTGTTCGCGCCGATTATTGACGATGCGGACATGGAAAGAGTCATCGCGTCTGTGCGATGAATCTTTCGCGCGCGACTTTCGAAAATTATAACATTATCGCATGTTACACATTTTTCAGATATCAGATTTCAGAGTGAAAGAAAAACTCGAAAATTTCGCAATGCTTTTACCAATAATTCCGCTAATAAATGTAATCATCCGACAAGATTGTAAAAGATGTAAAAGTATCACGAGAAAAATTTCTCCTCACGTACATAACGATAAGTAAGTTTTAACGATACGCTGCACGCGCATCACTCGATTTCAATTTCACGTGACCGGTGACCGAGGGCATACATCATGCCTTAAATACGCCTATGAATCACGCTGCTTTGTAAACTAATGCCAAGTGCACACAGTCGACGTAAAATTTTACATGGCATACCGGTTCTGGAACGCAAATGCGAAGGTTAGCCAAGAATGCGTTGCGTGGATTAAGAAGAAACACTAAAGGCTCTGTGTGCATTTAGGTATATGTGCAATTTGGATATATGTGTATGTGTATTAATTTGAGTATATGTGCAAGTGGACAGCTAATAAATCATTCCTCTGTGGAGGTTTAAATGAAGTTTGTCAAAATGTCAGGAAATTTACTGACGTACACTTTCCCTTGTATTGTCGCTGTAGTACTAAATACAAGTGAGTATCATACGAAATTACAGCGGCAAAAAGTAATACCAAAGTAACAATCCAAAATTCGTATGGCGAATTTTATCTTTTAGTTACTTCCACGGCGGAAATGCGATATAAACAGCAATATCAAATATATAAATCAGGTAAGACTGCGAAGCTATGTCTCTCTTTCTCTTTCTTGTTTCATGAAATAATATATCTTACATCCTGCTGCAGAAGCTGGCTGGAATACTCGAGCGATACTCGAGAAACATTGTACGTACCGTGATAAAAACGAAGGAGAAAATAATTCCGTTCTCGAACGCAACTTCCTTTTCTAAGCTAACGATCGTTTCGAAGGTAAAAGCGAGCCTCAACCGGTGGTCGAGTATTACAACTTGAACGGAACGCAATATTTCTTCTTCTCTCAAAAATTGACGTGGGACGAAGCAGGAGTGTTGTGCGGTAATTACAACGCAAGGCTCGCTATCCTAGATACCATGGAGAAAGCCATCAGCGTCGCACAATCGATCGCGGACTCCAACATAGGTAATTGCATAATCGACTGTAAGCTACCGTCGTTCTACCTGGACCCTGATGTTTTTTGAAACCCATCGAAATCAGAAATCGAGGAAGATTTGTGGCTCGGAGGTCGACGTTTGGGAAACACATGGTCTTGGATGTACAATCGCGTCGAGTCGTGGAGGAACACCGAGATACCTTTGGAGCCGGACACGGAAGATTATCCTCCGTGGAGCAGAAGGCCGTTGCGACCGATGAAAGAGTGCCTAGCGATCGATCGTCGTGCTCATTCTCATCCTAACTTCGTCGACCTCGACTGCCGGCTGCAGCGGCCTTTCATTTGCGAAAAGGGTAACAGGATTTATCCTGTTTAGCCTTCGTACGTCGCCACGTGTTCTCGCAAAATCTCGCAAAGTCTCGAAAAAGATTTGGATTTCTGCCGGCAGGATTCGAGGAGGACGTCGGCAAACCTGTGCCATCCAAGTGGCTGCGGATTCAACACCGCACGTATGTCCTCTACCACGCCAGGGTAACCTGGGAAGAAGCCGCGATACATTGCCGTTTATTGGGCGCCAGATTGGCGATCATGGAGAGCTCCAACGTCATAGAAATTCTCGCTAACAGCATGACGAAGACCCGACCCGGTAAGAGTATGCGATTACTGATTCCGTCGTTGAATTTATCATCGAAGCCATAACTACGGCTACGGCTTCGCGATGTTCGCGGGGCCTATGGGAGCATCGTCTCGTCACATCTCGTACATTCATACGTGTGACAATAAAAGCGTTAACTGTTACTCATAAAATACCAATCACGGTTCGAAATAAAGTTGAAATAAAGATATGTGGCTACGCATACAATCCGGATCAATCTAGTCTCTTCTCATGGGGGAAAAATCCGTATTTCCCGCAAGATTTCGAGACCGTCTGGATCGGAGCGCACTACTCCTATGGACAGTGGCTGTGGATGCCCACAGGCACGAGTTTGAGCCCGGTTACGGACGTGAAGAGTGGCTACCCACCGTGGAGATTCGGCAGATCCGAGATAAATGACGGTTGCCTGCTCCTCGACCGACATCTGGACAACACGCCGAGCTTCGTCGAGGCGAGATGCGACCGCAAACGCGACTTCGTATGCGAGGAATGTGCGTTTACTGTTCTACGATAATTGCGAGGACACGGGGCAGCGGACGCGAATACGACAGCTTGTCGATTTCCGCGGTTATCTGCGGCTGCTATTCGCGAATTTATATTCGCACAGTTCTTAGAATAATAAAACGAGAAAATTGTGCAGCCCTATGCTGCTTTTCGTCCGCGCGGCGTTAAAGATAATCGCGTTGTTTACGGCTTAATTTTTACTTCAGATCCGGAAGACGAGACCGGCAACTGGTTGAACGAACCGATGAAATTTATGTACAATGACAGCATCTACGTCATTTATCCGATGAAGAAGAGTTGGCACGAGAGCAGAGCGTTCTGTAACGAGCAGGGTAGTGTGCTGGCTTATATGAACGACATAAACGTGACCAATCTGATAGTCGAAGCGATGGGCGATCATCCCAAAGGTATAATACAAGTGCGGTAGAATGGATGCCGTAGAAGACTCTCTCTATCTCAAAGAGAAATGTCTTACAAATACAGATATAACTCACGTTTGGATCGGAGGACACCAGATTAAGCCGAACGAGTGGCGATGGGCGCAAAGCGGTAAGAGGATCGCGGAGAAGAAGGACTCTTCCGGATTCCCACCGTGGGCAAACATGAGCGTGCAACTCGATTATTACAGCGGAGTGTCGACCTGCCTAAATTTGGATCGCAGCGATCACGTGAAGCCGCATTTATATGGCCTTGATTGCGGCAGCAAGCAGCCGTTCGTTTGTAAAATAAGTACGCGAGATTAAGATGAAGGAGAGAAAAACAGCAACTTGACTTTTCTAAACAAACATACGATGAGATTTGTCACGTTTTAGCGTGTGACGTAACACCACCCGTGAGGAACGGTAATTGGACGTGCGAGGACACGCGAGACGGCAAACACTGCGTATTACATTGCGGCAAAGGATTTATAATATTGGGCGTAAGAAATGTATCATGCACGCATCGAAACGGTTGGAATACCGTGAAAAATTGGCTCGAGATGCCGTTATGTCTCGGTAATTAATACCAAGTAAAGTAATAACGATTGAAATAATCTTAAAAATGGTCTTGAGTAATCTTAAATAGTCGAAAAATTCATATAAATGATCACTTATATCAGTTATAATACCTACAATCATATCATTATGTGTATTTTTTTGCGCAAGTTCGATACCCTGGCGGAAATATTTCTACAAGAAACTACAAGAAACTGCGTGAATTGGAACACTTTCAGAGAAAGTAAGAGATCATTTCAGACTCTGTAAGAATTCGAAAAACTGCGTTTCTATGAAATTCTTTATTCATTGCCTGAGTAATTATGCAATTTCTTTCTTTTCTCTAAACATTTACCTTGAAATACTGAAATGTTCCTAGAAATAAAAAATGAAGAGTGGTAAATATGGAGAAAAGGGACCATCCTTCCAATGTCAATAATTTTCATATTTGTCATCAAGATCATTACCCCCATTAATGTTATGAAGATTAACATATTGTTATAAACAATAAGCGCAAGCTATAATCTTATATTATATATCTCTATAATCTTATATTATAGCTTGCGCTTATTGTTTATAACAATATGTTAATCTTCATAACATTAATGGGAATAATGGGGGACCTTGATGACAAATATGAAAATTATTGACATTGGAAGGGTAGTCCCTTTCCTCCATATTTACCACTCTTCATTTTTTTTTTCTAGGAACATTTCAGTATTTCAAGGTAAATGTTTAGAGAAAAGAAAGAAATTGCATAATTACTCAGGCAATGAATAAAGAATTTCATAGAAACGCAATTTTTCGAATTCTTACAGAGTCTGAAATGATCTCTTACTTTCTCTGAAAGTGTTCCAATTCACGTTTCTTGTAGTTTCTTGCAGAAATATTTCCGCCAGGGTATTGAAGATATTTCACGCAAGATAAAAATATTTTGCAGCCTCGAGGGATTACACGAGGCGAATGGTGAGATCCTTAGATCACGATCTACGAAGCAGCGCGGGCTATTACTTCATTCTGGATCACGTGAACGAGGGAATACGATCGCTATCGTTGCGTTTTATCGAGCGAATTCTCAATATCTTTCCGTAAGTGAGCATTTCATTGATCATTATGTCATCAATTCAGGGAATTTTGTCTTTTCGCTAATATTTCAGGATGAATTATAATCTCCAAATGGGAATGTATTGCCTGGTGACGAGTCCACCGGTTCAATTGCCATTCAATCAAACTGACACTTGCGCCGTGCTACATACGGTCAAGTATCTCGCTAAGAAATCGAGCGTGAAAGACAGTCGCCAAGAAATGCATTCCAGTATCTTACAAAAGCACCTCTCGGCGCACAAAGGAAAAAAAGTTGTGATATGTAGGTAAACAACAAAGCGAGGAATGCTATTGATTCGACGTAATTTCTGCTAATTTTCCTTCTGTAGTTACAATTGTCGACGCAAACCATATATCTCGCTACCTGGAAATCCTTGCAAATATGAAAATTAATGACAATAGAATCGTTGCGATCGGCTCGAAAGACGACTGGGAGATTTTACTGGCCTTAGCTTCTGTCGGCTTCGATCGTCGTAAAAATCTTTATCTATTCAATACGATTGAATTCGACACGATCATTAAAGAACTGTATAGTAAGTAGAAATATGTAACTTACCTAGTTCTGAAATATAAAAAGGTTATTACATGGACACATGGATACAATTCCAAATTAATAAAATAAAATTGGTGGAATAAGATAATCATATATTCACTTTGTTATAGATTTCAAAAAGAAGACACTGAAATGTAAGGAGTCACGATATCTAATATTAATCGAAAAATATCGAGATACATAACATTCTGATTTTGATAATTTGAGATTCTAGGTCCATCGAAACAAACAACCATCATCAACGTACATCCGACCGAAGTGAGTGCAAACACAACTCTTCATGGGCCAAATAACGTGCAAAATACTACAATGCAATCTATTGTCCGTGATATTGTAACAATACCAAGTGGCTTTACTGAAACTAATCAAAATCAAGATGACACAAATCTGCAAGATCAAGTACTAGACTCTGAATCATCTATGCTATAATCATAAATATGAAATAAGTATGAATTTAATTATCCGGCTCCTCACTTTCGAAATTACATAGGCAATACTGCAAGATGGGAATATAATGAAGAAGGATCAAGATCTAGAGTCGAAGGAACAATCATGGGAAGATACAGCAGATGAGCGTGAGTCTTTCTCACGTAAGGTACCATTCTTTGAGGAAAATAACTGAAAGTAATTTCTTATATTTCAATATTTGTTTTACAGATTCATCGGACGGCACGCTCGAAGATCCTGAAAATTTTTAAAATAACATAGAACAATTTAATAGCTTGTCTGTGCAGAAAAGTTGCAGCATCCATCCTAATGATATGCGAACATATATCTAATGTTCCACACTGTTTTGATTATTTTCCGCACACCTCACGAACGGCACACGAACAACGCACGGAAGACATTCACCCAATCGTCATTTTCTTTGGCACTTTATTAACGCAAATAACAACTTACGAGATGGTATATACAATGTCTTAAGATAATATGGCGTATGAAACGATGAGATGACACGCTAAAATTCCTGTGAAAACAATATGTCACGATGATAGAGACGCGCACCATTGGAGATCTTAGATAAACGTCAACCTATTGGAATCCTGTTTTACTTGATTTCATAAGAAAACATATAGCTGACGTGATTATATATCAAAAATCAGAATCACATAAATAAACAACAACCAGAATTTCCGTGATTATAACGACAAATTTGACTCCATAATGGCCACTTCAAAATTAATCGAGATATTATTCCTGATGACTATGTTTGTTAAACTGTCCTACAAGTTAATCAAAATAAAAAGAGAACTTTCAAACACACAAGAGTAACGATCAATGAAACTATAATCAACCTAATGAGGTTCTATAATTGTTATTAACAATAATAAAATAAATTATGAAACTTAAAACCAACTACTATCTGAAATGCCACTCGTATTGTATTATACAATTATGTAAAGTAAAGATTATGTAAAGATGTAAAAGATTATGTAAAGTACGAAATTAACAGTAGCATATCTTATACAGCATATCGATAAACATATGTAAATAAATATTACTGATTAAAAAATAAACTGAGAAAGGTACCCGAATAGCACCCGATCGAAAAACTTAACATATTAAATTATTTTATACGAATTGTTACTTCTTATTGCGCAATCGTAATATGCAGATTAATATTTGTCATTACGTAAAATCCGGACAGAAATAATTTTCTTTTAGTCTGTATTAAACGGAAAATTGTTCTTGTATAAATTATATGTAATTGCTCTAATATATAGACAAGAATGTGAAAAGTCTATTTTGCTAAATTATTGCACCTCGAGACGGATAAATTGTTAATTTACTTGCACATATACGTGCAAACTTGCAGTAAATACAATATGCAATAACACGATTATAAGCATATTAAAAATGAGGTGAAAAATATGGTACGGTATATTGACTCTGAACGACTATTAAAAAATAATCGCTTAAATAACGCTCAAATAAAAATAAAAATTAATTTTAATTAACCTAAACGTCTTATTTATAACCTACAAAACGAAAAGCTGCAAATCTCATAATTTGCAGGCAGGCACCGTTGTTACTTAGGGTTATATATGTAAAATTATACGCATATACGATTAAATATTTTAAGTCATCTAATTGTAATCAATAATACTTTTTCTTGTATTTACGATATCTCTCTACCTCGGATTGCCGGCGCAATTGATTTATAAGTTCTGTCGGTACATACCACAACTTGTCGACGTTGTTGAGCAGAGCTTCTGTTACTTGACAGCATATGGCGGCCATATTGACTTGAGCGGTCAGGTCAGCACGGTCTCGAGGATGAACATACCGCGGTGGAAACAGCGACGGTGCCACTATCATCGCTACGTTGTGTATCGACATCTTGTTCCACACTTGATTCTCGATGACCAACTTCAAGAAATTCAACAACGCCTCCAACGTGCATCGGTGCTCAACAGGTAACAATAACGTCAGTAAATTGAGAGAGTATACCAAATCATGCGGACTCTTGACACCTATGGATGGAATTATTTGTTCAATTAATTAATGTACACATAGATATACATATGTAATATGAACAGCACCTTACTAACCGTGACTCTGGTAAAAGGCGTCGATCAGCTCAACGGTGAGAAGAGGTTGCGGCAAGTCTCGCAACAATCTCTTTAAGACGGCTGACAAGTCATGACATGGAGTTCGTTTAAACAATTTATCCATCTCTTTTGGTTTACAATAGAAATCTGTCTCTAATTCCGTGCAAATCATTTCTACCTGTAAGCAATAATTACCACATATACAAACGTTTATATATTTATTTTTAATTATTTATGATTACCATTTCTATATTTTAATTAACGACTTTCTATTGCACACTTACCTTCTGTTTATGGCCGCCAACACGAAGAATGCCCTCTTCTTTTACTCCACGTTTCGTCAGTTCGTTAAAAATCTTTTGGAACACTAGTGGTATGTTATTCTCCTCGCTCGTCAATTGACTGTCCCTGAGCAGTAGCGTCGACAGAGAGACGCCGAATAAATTTCCAGCTTTCCTCCGTCGTTTATTAGGTTTTCTTCTCGTAAGAGGTATATTATATTTATCAAAAATAGCTGTTAGCTCGAGCCACAATAAAGGTTGCAATCTCGTGAGATCTCGTTGCGACAGTAGTTCTACCTCTTGTCGAGAGTAATCGTCGTCAGTTACGAGATTGTCGGAAGGCCACACGTCAGACTTGACTTCATTGGTTCTACACATCTCTTCAAAACTGAGATGACCGTGTGACGATGTGCGACTTAACGGATGAGTTATTAAATTCTCATCCGCCGGCCTAGTCATGCCGTATAAACTGCTATGACTTCGAGTCACTGTCGCATGACTTCCCGAACTTCGTCTAAAATATTATACCGAACGAGTGTTTTAAGAAAACTCTTGGAAACGCGAACAATTAAAATCTTAGAAGTGTGTACAATTATCTTAAACTTACCGGAGAGTCGATTCCTTTGGTACAGCCAGTTTTTTAACCGACTCGGTGTCCAAACGCGCCGTATTTGCTATATCGCTGAGACCGCCATTATTGTGCCTTTGAATCGGCCTGGAAACATGTATCGTTCCCAATCTATGGTAGCCAGTGAGTTGAATTCCTTCTGCAATGATAAAAATGTTTCACGTATCAAAATATAAAACTCTTGATCTTTTTTCGCTGTATGAAATTGGCAAAAAAAAGAAACGAAGACGATAGTACCTGAATCATTTGCGACATCTCCTCTCGACCAATTGCCGGTCCTCCTGAAAATTTCTTGTACCGGTACAGGTGCTGGAGCGGACGTTGATATAGAATTAAGAACTGTTTGTGGTGCACTTGGTGTCCTACGAACTGTTGCTTTCCCCTCATTCGACGTACGATGAAATATGGACACAAAATTCGGGACAACAGCGCTATAAAAAATTAAAAATAATTTGTATTATGAAAGTACATAAGAGAGGCGCTAAAAATTTGTGTGTGTTTATGCGTCTAACATTAATAAATTTAATAAATTTACTTTTGATGAGGATGATCAATCACCGTGACTGTTGGAGGTGAAGGAGGTGATGCATTTTCTGGTGTAGCACCTGGAACTGAATCTAACGAATCGGGAGTAGCGCTACGTGACCGTGTACCTGTGCTGGACACCTAAATAAATAAAAGATAAAATTGATTAATCGTAGATCGTTGGAACTATAGGTGTGTATTTCATTTATCTAATGTAGTTATCAGTTTTGTTAACATACCTCTACATCTTTAAAGACATCTCGAATGTCTGGTTTACGAACACGTTGACGCTGGTTGAAACGTTGCTTAACCGTGTGATTAAGCGATTTTACGCGACGTTTCACAGCTTCTGCCTGGGCTCGCGACAGAGGGCGTAAAACTGCTCCTAATTCTTCTGGTTGTACTTCTCTACCTGCTTTCCATGCTTCCGTTAACTGCTCTAAACCCGCCGCACGTAACCATTCTGCTTCTTCTTCCCCCTCTGTATAAAATTTAGAGAATAAAATACCTAATAACCACCATTTTTTATATTAGTTTGATGTTAATTTAGGCTGATATTAAAAAATTAGACAGAATCAGAATAGGATAGGAATTGTTAAAATATATAGTTTTGTTTAATTACAGAGACATAATTAAAAAAAACATATATATATATATATTAATAACCATCATAACATCGTGGGCTGCATTCTTCATCCAAGTAATCATCCAACATTTTTGTTTCCTCTATCATCTTCTGATACTCCTCCCAGTATTCGAGTAGGTGGTTATCATCTCTTGCGTAGGTAGCATTATGCCCTCTATCCATGTTTCCGTTTCCTTTATTCTTGTATCTTTGGTACTATGTATATATCCACCAACTAAAGAGCCATTGGGAGCATTTAAGAATTCTGTCACTTCTGGATACGTGACCACTACTTTGATATCTGGACAGATTGTGTTAATCGTGTCAAAAGCTCTGTTCTACTTATACCTTATTTATGTTTTTCTTAGCTTAATCATGGATGATTCAGAAAGATAAGACGATTATTGAGACATCACTCAGATAGATACTACAAGCATAAGATAATCTTTACTATGAGTAGTGTCACACAAATAGTGTAAGAAAGATAATTCTTTCAGCTCTAAAATTGCTCTACATGGTTGCTACTAGTCATACCATAACTGTCCTGTGCAAGATTAAACAATAGGCGCGGCAATTTAAAAAGAACAGAGTTTGTTACTTGTAAAATTTAATCTTTGAGACTACGCAGACAAAACAAAAATGGCTGAAGCGCGATCAAGACAAAATGGTTCGATTTGAACAACGTACTCGTGTCGTTTGCAATTAGGATAATAAGCGCAAATTGCGAAAATATGCGATTCACTCGAAACTCACTCAAACGAGAATCTAATCGAATATGCAATTGGCAGTTAAAGAACGTGAACAATTACTTGAGTCTGGAGCGGAAAGCTTCCTTCTGCGCGTCATAATTCGAACGACTAAACGTTTCGTAAAGTTCGTGAAAATGAGCTAACTTCAGTACGATCGAATCGCGCATCTTCCATTAATATGCACACACACACACACACACACATACACATCCATCCTTACCCAAGCGCAATTTTCAATATACCTGTATATGATAATGTTTCAAACAATAGACGGACGTAAAAGAACGATAAACAAAAATACCAGTAATTTATTCGTCATCGTTTGAATAATTAACCGTACGCGTATCATGGCGTATCTCACACGCATGTACATCACGAAGCTCACACATATACACATACACACACACGCACACACACAGACACATACACACAGAGCATACGCAAAGAACACACCTTACGTGGTGGGATGCAAAAATATTATCGTTTACGCGACCCATACGCACCACGTATACATTTCAACACATAACCTAATTCGTAACCACGATTATCAAACGAACGCACCTTATGACACCGCAACGTCCTCTTCATGAATGGAGTACGCACGTCGTGAACAGGATTCCTTCGCGTGGGCCTCAATGACGTGTGCAGCAGGCGGCTGTTCATCGTGCTCCGGGAGCGAGTTCCGCTCTGCGAGATAAAGGGAGATTTAAACAGAGAGGAAGAGAAAGAAAGCAAGAAAGAGAGGGAACGAGAAACGGAGATACCAACGGAAGAGGATCTCGGCCCGTCGCGAGCGACAACTCCTGCGAGCAACAACTGTTTGATCTACGACGGAGGAACTCGCGCGCTATAGAGTCACTCGAGAATGCCAAGTGCGACTTTTCGAGGCTAGTTGCTTCCGAGAAGTCTTAATGTATTCTGCATGCGAACGCGCATCGCGACGAATATCAGCAATGATGGCAATGGCGACGGGGGCAAACACACGATGCGAGCGAACACACGTATGTACGTACACGCGTGCGTGCGTGCGTGTGTGCGTGCGTGCACTCGCTCGTGGAATACGCGCGTCGCTAATCCAAGAGCACAAACACGCCGCGAGAAAAAAGACGCGTTCAAACGCGGCCGCAACCTGTTGCGCACGTACACATGTTTACTCACGTACGCAGGTACACGCACGGGCATTCTCGACGTCGGTATCGTCTGCAATGGTGGTGTGTATGCGTGCGGTGCGCACGCGCGCAAATCATTGAGCGCGCACGCATACACGCGTCGACTTTTTTCTTCCTTTTTTACCTATTCCCGGAGAGACACCTGCTGCGCCGCGGCAACTTCAGGGTTGACGCCATCTTCTATAACGACCGCGCCGGACAGGAAGATGGCTGTGATTTTCGGCGCCACGCACTAAAATCGAACGAATGACGCGCTTTGTCGCGATAACCGCTGCGAATAAGAAGCATGAAACCGATATATGAATAAAGTAAGTTCGATTCCCGACTAAGACAGAAAATATCCGCGAGAATGAGGACGTCAGGCTAATTGTCGTCTCTCGTGTACTCGTGCATTACCGTCCAGTCTGAACTTGACGAAAAGCTTGGTCTCTCAATGTCTGCTCGCACGAGGTTACTTTTTACAGGTTTTTATGTCGAAACATCGAGAATTCATGTCCTTATTGGTAGGTCATCTAGAAATTTCACGGCGAAAGATGAGCCATCATCGAACTTTCGCCGGAGACCTTCTGTCAAGTGTCTTCCCAGCAGTACGACGCGATATTCGAGATGTTGCTACAAAGACGAGAGGACGTAAGTTCCCATTCGCTGTTTACGTCGACCGATCGTCGTCCCGTCGAGATTGCGCTCGCATCATTTTATATAGCGGTGTATATATTTTTAGGATCGAGCGAAGAATAATTGCCAAGTAAGCGCGATAAAAGGAGCTGAAAAAGCACGTAATTTCATCGAGCCAAGCTAAATCTGCGCGCATGAGCACAACTACGTCAGTCGCGTCAGCGAACAAAACAAGCAATAGGTATGATTATTACGAGAACGCAAAAACTGCCATCGATTGTATAAATTAGAATCGCAATTATCGTTATGATGAAGTACCGTATCGAGCGTATCCGCGGCATTAGCTTACGGTACTGTGATCACACACCGATCACACACATACACGCGACTGTTCAGCTCGCGCTGTGTAGGTGTGCGCGTCTGACACAGCTTTTACGTGGTCACGCGGCACACATGTATACGTAGTGATGGGTGCTCCAATCTTCTTTCACCCTGAATGTTCAAACAATTCCAATGTTTAAAGTTTCAAGTCACTTGGAGTATCTTGGGATTGTAAGTTCCAACAAACCTTCAAAAATTATGAGAATCTGAAGAATCTCTCGAGTACATCCATGCATTAGATTAACGGGGATATGTAGAAAATCCCAAGATTTTCGTAGTGCGCTCGAATGCGTTTCCAGCTCATCACTACCGGTACATACGCAATAGCCTTCTAGTGGGAGCATGCTATATCAGGACAGCCATTCACAGATGCTCACGCGCGTATTACAACATCATGAATCATTAACATCGAAATCGAGACGTGTGAGCGGGCAAGGCTCGAGCAAGCGAGCGACGCATTTTCCGAACGCGCGAGGAATCTGGGACGGTGAACGCGAAGAATCTTCTCTCTCTCTCTCTCTCTCTCTCTCTCTCTCTCTCTCTCTCTCTCTCTCTCTCTCTCTCTCTCTCTCTCTCTCTCTCTCTTTCTCTACGGATTCACGTTGGATTCCGTAATAAATTACTCATGTCTTTATTCTTCTCTTTAATGGACAACAATAGCGTATTGAACGCTGAACAGAAGGTCGATCCTCCGTTTCGCCGTCGCATCGTTAAAACTTAACAAAATCTTATTTCATAGACTTAATGCGCAAGTATATAATATAGCTCTCTGGGAAAGACGTGCAGGATTGTCTTCATCAACTCGGGAACGGGTGGAGGTAGATTTCCTCGTTTTATTCTTATTCTGTCGGACGGAAAAATCATCTGGATTTCGCGGGATACTCCATTTATTTTCTTTACAAAAGTTTCGCTCGTTAATTTGCTCGCGGAATTCACGTGTACGTTTTCAATTTATTCGAAAAATTTAGTATCTTCCTCTACCGCGTCTAGCCCAGATGTCTCAAGACGATCCTGCAGAGTTGCGCAAAATCCGGCGAAGTATAAATGAAAATTTAGAAAATGGTATCGGCACGATATACCGCGACACGTACACGAATCTTAGAAATATTTTTCGTAAACGTCTAACTTCTGTTGGCGCGATTACCCCAACCGCGACGATGCGTGTCCTTGTAGTCATCCATGGCACGCGCTTGTGCGAGGAAGTCAGAATCATCCCTTTCGATTTTTTCCTCCTTTTCGGCGGCTTCGGTGTCCTCCTGCTCGTTTGAACTTTTGTCACTGCTTGCCATATCTTGTAGGCATCGAGAGTTCATTTGGTTACGCTGTGATGGATCAGGCCAACTAAAGCAAATAGTAGAAATTTATATAGAGATCTTAGAACTGATGCATACTTCAAAGTGATGTAACAATGTGCACTTACTCTCCATCTTTAACTCTTTGTTCGTAGAATTCTTGGACTGTTAAGACAGGTAAACTTGGATAGCCAGCACCATAAACCTGTTTCTGTAGCTCATCGCGGGTAATGATAATTGGTTGTAGTTTTGGAGTAGGTGGTTTTTGTTTTTGAGACATCTGTGAGGGCAAATTGTGTGGCCGTCCCATTCTCTTCATATGTTCCAAAATTGTTTTCTCTGCAGCCAATGAGTTCAATTCCTCGATTGTTTGGATTACATATAGCTTCAGAAGAGTAACAAAGTATTCCCTTTTGGATTCGTCATCAATATTTGGATTATCTAAATTCTTCTTTAGAATATCTAATCGAGACTCCAAGTCCTTTTGTTCTTTATATCTCTGTAATTTTGTATTTCTTCGACATACCTGCAAAGTGAACAAAATCATCACTGAAATAATCATGAATTGTTTTCTCAATAGTGAAAGTGAGTTCAAATAAGAAATTTACCATTTCTGTGATAGTTTCCTTGTTTGATTTGCTTTGATTATCGCCTGTATCGTCTTTTCCATCAGTTGAATTAATTTCTGGTATTTCAACATCTGTCAGACCATAAACTTTAACTCTTTTCAAGAAATCTACAAAATAGGTTTCTGCTACCTTGACAATGTGCATTCTGTCGTCATTGCCACAGATTTTAGTAGTAAGTGTGCCTAGTAGGGCTGGCAGCAAAAAATACTTAACATTCTCTGTAGACACTTCTTCAAAACTTTCATTGTCACTGAACATATCCACCATAGAGACGAGTCTTGTTGCATCTTCAAACATATTCATTGTCCGCCTTATATCCGACTGTCATAAACAATAACAAAAACAACAAGATATGAATCCAAGAAGAAGCCACAAAAAAAACTGCAGCACAGAAATCAAATATATTTTTTTCTCTCTAATGAGTTGCATGCAGAAAGAACTGAAATACATTGAATGAACGCTCAATGTTCACTACCGAAAGAAACATGTTTTTAAATCCCCGATACCTGTACTTTTGGGCTGTTTGTAGGTTCCTGTGTCTTATTAATACTGTTGAATAGCTCAAAAGCGTGATCAAACAGTTCTGACAGTGTTACAGGATCTTTCTCCTCTTTCTCAGAACCCAGGCTCTTCAATAAACCTTTTTCTGACATCCCTGTGTTGTTTGGTAACCTCTCAAAATATGATGTCCGTCACTGTTGTGTTCCTGTAAAATCCAGGGGATGCAAACTCCCCTCTTCAGTCAAGGGAAACGATTCTAGCGACTCATTCGGGAGATGGTGAACTAATCTCATCAAGTGATGAGAGTGGTGGAATTGCGCCAAATTCAAATCTGCTTGCGCACGTGCAAATCTCTACATATCTTTTCCTTCTTACGCAGCTAATATCGTCGTTAGTAATTAACGTTAAAATCTTTTTTTTATCATATCTCATTGATATCGTTACATTCGCACCCAGTCAAATTCGATTTATTCTCTTCCGGAATAATGTTACAGAATTTTTTACAGTTTCAATATAAGCTATTTCTATTGTCTCATAAAATGACCTCGTGGTTGTAATTGCAAATATTAGCGGCCATATCGATATAAGGTTAGGTAAGTACAATAATATTTAAATAAACGTTTAGGTAAATACATGGACTCATATTCAGAACATGCTTACAACTATGTTAGCGCTGTTATCTAATCGGAAGGCACAATTGCGTGGCTTTTCATTGGTTAACAGCGCGCTGACGTAGTTACAAGCGTGTTCTGAATATGAGCCATAGTTTTCCTCTCATTACTCTTACGTCTCGCCGCACTTCACCTAACTCGCACATATATTAGTCGCTAAATGCTTGCAATTATAATAACGAGGTCATTTTCTGAAACAGCAGAATAACTTATGTTGAAACCGTAAAAAATTCTTTTATATTGTATATAATAAGTAACAATAAAAAGAATTGAAAAATTTTTTAGGCTATTTTTCAAAATTTTGAATTTTTTTATCAAGATGTTTCGATTTCTTTTATTATAGAACTTTTTACGGTTTCAATATGAACTATTTCTGCTATTTCATAAAATGACCTGTATGAAGTTGTATTTGCGAATATTAGCAGCCAGCTCTTATCGATAAGAGCTTAGATAATTACGCGTATAAAGACATGGTTCTTCTCTTTGTTACCTTTTACGTCTCGCCGCATTTCGCCTAAGCTCGCATCGATATGGTCGCTAATTATTCACAATTACAATTACGAGGTCATTTTATGACATAACAGAAATTAGACGAGATACGGCGAGACGTAAGAGCGGCGAGGAGAGGAACATTGCCGCACGTATACTTACCTAAACATCAATATAGCCACTACTCGCAAGTACTCGCAATTACAACTATGAGGTTATTTAAAAAAAAATAGCAGAATGACTCATATTGAAACTGTAAAAACCGGAAAAAATCGAAAAATATTTCGACGGTGCGACGACAATTGTTTCTAGGGCAATTGGGCCGTGAACGACTCAAAGACTTCTTTCTTATCATCTCGGCGCGCACTCATTCATCCGACTTTTATAATTAATAATTTGATAATTATTGGGAATATCGCAAAAGAACATGGGACGTTTTTGTTCCCTTTAATCCGTTCTACACTTCCACGAATGGAAGTAACTGTATTCCAAACTTTTATTACATTCCAAACAATTTAATACGTATTACCATTAGGTTAATGTTTACGTAAATATTCCCAATGAGCAAATTGAGCATAGACTGTGAGCAGATTGGCAGCAAATGTGATCGGTATCCCACACCAAAACCATAACCATCTATGTCCGCATTCAGCTCGTGTTTTGGCGACAGAGCTTGCTGACATGATTTGACAGCGGATTAACAGCAGAAACTGAGCAGTTCTTGCCGCCAAACAGTGTGTAGCAAAGTCTGCTCGGTTTCTGTCATCAATCTACTGTCAAACCGCTACAAGCTCTGCGGCAAATCTATTTGCATTACCTACGAGTAAGCACTGTCATATTTTTGGTGGCAACACAATCTGATAGAGAATAGATCTTGGGTTGAATTTTTTGCCTCTTTGGCATCAAAAATTTGTAGCTCCGTTCAGAATCTATTCACTCGAGTTTAGCTATCTGGGTTAATCGTATCACTTTTCAAAGATTTTAATTATTTGGTGATTTTTTTGTATAATCTTTGTTACGTTACATTGTACACTAATACTTTATTTCTCAGAGCTTTTATTAGACTTGTTCGTGTTGCCTCAACTTTTCGCACTTTTCGTACTTAGAACAAGTCGCATATTCGAACGCTGAAGAGGAAGTAGGAACGAAGGAGTGCGAAAAGTTCAAACAACACGAACAGACCTGTAACAGTAACGATACATTTACACGATGCTTTTGTATCATCGATAATCGAAATCTAATGGAACAAACGTCATGTTACTTTCAACATTGTCGGTATTGTCATTTCTTTTGGAATTACTTCCGGATTCCTCGGGACCCTTTTGCAAGTACGAAAATTTATCCAGGGCTGACAATCTTTAGTATTACCTCGTTGGTGGTTTCAGATTTTGGAGCAGCCGCTACGCTCGTCATGAGGTTAGGGTAGAGCGCCGCTTATACCTGCTGGCGGATGCCTGGAGGAGGGAGGAATAATCTCGCGGAGCTGCCGAAGCCAACTGGTCGTCCGTCGTTGCCATCGTCGTCATTCGTGTTGCGGCAGTGACAAAGTGAGCAGGACAGCAAGTTCGTCTCCCGTCAGTGTCGCGCAGCACTGTGCCGGCGAGTAGTGGGTGTGTGAGGATCTCGTTGGTCACTTCTCTCAGGGAGAAGAAAAACAGCGTTCAAGCTTCAGTTCACAGCAAGCATCAGTCATGGGCAGTAAGTTCGACGTTCCACGAATCTTCTCTCTTGCACATGCAGCCTTTGAGTTACGTTCATTCAAGTCCGGCACGCGGCTGGCGCCGATAACGCCGTTCGTCGATCTTGACCCAATGACCTTCGTGTCGGCCTCGCACAGTCAGCCCGGCACGAATGTTAAACCGCCACCACAGCCGAGCCGATCTGAAGAGCCGTCGTGCGTAACGAATTTTAAGCTGAACGAATCACACTCTCGCGAGAACGTATATTCGATATGATGCGGACGTATGCGTACACACTGTGCGAGCGATTGTTTTTATTTTTTTCTACACATGTAATTCGCGCCCGGCTTTATGAGTCGTATCCGGCGCGCGCCTACTCCGGGCAGATTTGGCGGCAATTCAAAAACTGTGATAGTACGCGACGAGCGAGGAACGAGAGAGAGAGAGAGAGAGAGAGATGGGTGATTAGTCGATATCTTGAAGCGATATAAACTTAATATTGATACCAGTTGATTTATAGAGAGCTCGCTTGCGAATTACGAAATATTTTCTTGACCGATGGAGCTAACTAATCGTGTAATTAGCACGAAGAGAACGAACGTAAGGCTTCGAGGCGTGAAATTTTGTAAGGTAGACGACGATGGAAATTTAACTGTGCGTTTCACTTGTCAGTATGCACTTTTTATTCTTTAACAGACACGCCGGATTCCTCTCGCACGAAATAAGATAAGTCACCGTCGGCGGTATCTCTAAAGGTTTATTCCTGGCTGTCTGAGAGGGAGAAGCACCCGACGGCTCCTTGCCAAACGATGTCGGGCGTCTCGCGCCGCGCACGAGCGCTTATTTTTATTCTTCAACAAAGTATAGACTGCAGTGAACTCTCGCCGGCGAAAAAAGATTCTATGGCCGTCGGGCGCTACAATATCGCACGTCAACCTGTCGGCGCGCGATCGCGGCAGGTGGCGATTTGAATATCTGCCAAATGTCAAAAGAATCGATCAGCCACACTTACACTCGCCGACGATATATTTAGCGTGTCGTTTAAGCCGCGTGACGTTTCCTGCAACACGAACGAATGAAAATAAATTGATGTTTTTCTAATTTGGGATTAGGAGAAAACTCTTGTTCTATTCATATCTCGACGTAGACGAAATGAACCACCGATATAAATAAAAAGAAATGAAGAAATCGATCTTGTATCGGAAGAATCATACGCATATTCTCATCAAGCGATACTTTTATCGAGTTTGTGGGTAGGAAACCGCGCGATCGGCTCTCTCGTTATTGAAACGTAGAAATTTAATCTTGTAAGCGATATGATTGTGTCTCTATGATTATCATTATGATTGTAAGCGAGTTGCTAGTCTCGAGTGTCTCACGTTGATATATCAATCATAGCATATGTAATTGAGAGTAAAACGAGAATATCACGCATATCAATCTCGATAATAAGATTCTATTCTTATCCTTGCGCGGAAAAAATTGTAAAGTACTCGGTTTAACATTTAGAAATGTTTTTGGATTAAGATCTTGTTAAAGATAATTCGCGTATATTTCTACTCGCGTACATTTCTACTAATTGAATATTTAAAGGATTAATGTGAAATGGAAGGGATGAAAATTCGAAACAAACCAGTTCTAGCTAAGTTCATTAAACTATCTTATCAATAGCTAATAGTACTATTTTTATACGAGTTCAATCTTGACCCTCTCGTCTACTTCACATCAAGAGTTTAGACTTTTGACGTTAGAGTTTGATACATAGAAAGAAAAACATGAAGAATCGCTCGGCTTGCGAATAATAAAAGTAATTAAAATTGAAACATGCAATAGACCGTTTCATTCGCACGCATGAGATATTAATCGTCAACGTCTGGCTCTTGCTCGAGACTAACATTAGCGCAGTTGCGACGTTTTCGATGACGAGAAAGTTGCATACTAACGTTAATGTCGCCGTACGCGATAATTTCTACGGTCGCGAGCGAATCTTATAAGAAAGTAGCCGGTTCAGCTTCGCGACACAAGCGCTTGACCTAAGACAAGGCGTATGAATGCATTTCGTCGCGAATGCGAGGCCGACTCGCTATTATAAGCTAGAGCGGCTTGTATAAATATAAACCTATGCGCGCCACAACGAGAAACGAGTGCCGGCCGGCGCTCTGCCTCTCGGGTTTCGGTTGCTCTGGTACACCATAACGTTATATATGCGTCGGATATCTCCACATCTCTCAAAGGGAGGATCAGCCCTTCCTGTTGAGAGAGAGAGAGATTTAAATATAGCATCGACGAAACGTTTTTCCCATCTCGCATCCTGCGTTGTAATTTACGCATGAAAAAGAGAGAGAGAGAGAGAGAAATAGTTCTCCGCACGCGCCTCCGGTTGGAAGATTAACTGTCCTGCTATGAGATTAGATGTACGAAAGAATTCCATTGTATAAAATGTTCGCTTAGCGACACCTTTCTCTTCAACGAAGAGAAATGTCGAGAGCGGCTTCTCTCTCGCAATAATTTTCGTACGTCTAGCTTTAAATAGTGATAAACGAGCGGCGAGCGGGTAGCGAAAGTCCTGGCGGAATAAGCGTCACGCTTTGGCGCGACTCCGTGTGTTCTTGAGAACACTGGCGACTGAGAAATTCGATCCTCGAGTCCTACCTCGTGTTCATTCCCTGCCTCTTTCTTCTCCCCGCTTTTATGACTTATTATTGTTCAACTCGACACTTATCCGTTCTGGATTCTAACGCATCTCCGTCACACTCGCCTACGCGTACTTTGCGAGAGTGTAGAGTTAATATTAAGATGTTTCACGAGGTATGATCTTATTAAGGATCAGTTTTGCGATATTAAAAAGAAAATGACGAGTTTTACATTATTTATTTGAAAGGGAGAACATGTCTTCCGTACACATTAAAGAATCACATTCTGTAACGTTAACTTTGTCAATATCTTTTGCTCGAAGTGGAATCTGTTTATTGGAAGTTTCGCGATGAGTTGTCGCAAATATTTAATTATCAGCCTCTCGATATATTTCAAAAGTAAATGTTATCCATATTTTCTATGATCTCTCTGGCGATAAGTGAACTTTGAGCGGGCAACTTGCGTTATACTTCACTTGTACATTTCTTACGCCATTCTCCTCGTTTGTTATTCTTTATCAATGCATAACGAAAACAAACGAGGGGAACATTAACTTTGGCGCCACTGGAGACAACCAAAGCGACGCATTGTAAGGAGCACGCGACGAAGCAGCTCCGAGCTGCAGGCTGCCAAGTATACTCGTGTCTTGCGTGCGTTTTTGAATGTTTTTGTCGGCCTCCAAAAGACGACGTTAGCGCAGAGTGAACGAGCGAGCGGAGCGGAGACCGAGCTTCGTCGTAGACCCTCCTAAGAATAGGTGATTTGTCCAGAGGGAAAATAGCGCAGCCAACATTTTCGAGAGTCCGCATACGCTCTCGGTAGATATCGCGTGGCCACATAGAAATAGGATACGTTATAAATAAAGCGCTATGAATTTTACGTCTCTGTGAAAAACAAACGCCGCGCAACATCCGCATTTCGCACCCCGCAATCGAGCGTGCCAGGTTTTGCGACTGAACGTTACAACATTTGTCACGTTCTTCCTTCGTGTTAATATTTCATTGAAAAATGCGACGCGTTAGTGATTTACAGGTAGAGATATCCGTAGCTATCTATGGCGTAGAATAATTATAAAACGTCAGTGTCGTGAGAAAGAATCTGCTGTAATCGCAAAGTCTTTCTCTTTCTCTCCCAACACATTTCTCCCGTCGAGAGGAAGTGAGATCGGTTCGAGAGAGGGAAAGAGAGAAAGATCTAATTATACATCCGGAGTTGAAAGAGAGATATATATATATATATATATATGTACCGCTAGCGTTATTTTCGTTTTCGTTATATTTCTTTCTGTCTAGCGCCTCTTCGCTTGCATTCCATCGTACTCTCTCACGGTGGGGACAACAAAATCGGATGCATCAAATTATCCGTGCATCGCGAAATATTTGAGACGTTTATCATGTTTATCAAACGTTTGAGAGATACGCATACCGCTCCATGCACGATAACATTTGAACTTCATGGAGGTCGTTGGCATAATTTCGTCGTCTATCTTTATTACGTGTACGTAAGATTGCGATTAATTTTCGGCGGCATCAGTGTTAACCGTGAAATTAAATTAACACGCCGCACGAGCCGTGCCTTATCGGCGCGCTGAATCTCGAAAATGCAATAAAATACATCGTACACGTTTCGGGTCTCTGCGAAATTTATTTAGATTGGCCTTGGCTGCAAAACGATACCATCGCCAATTCTATTCGTACGTACATTCGCACGTCATCTGGACATCCAGCGGAGATGCAACGACGCGGCGCGGTGCGACGAGCTGAGACTCGCTTTGCCGCGAATCGTCGTCGTCGTCGTCGGCCGAAAATAGATTCGACCGGGGTGTGTCTGTCTAGAAACGAATGCGTCGTTGAGCGTTTTATCATGCTTCTCTGCCTTTCAGAATATGCATGGGTCACGTTGACTACAAACGATGCCTACTCTCTGGGAGCTTTGGTCCTGGCGCACTCTCTACATCGGGTCGACACCAAGCACGAGCTGGTCTGCATGGTCACTCCTGGAGTGACGGCGACGATGAGGTATAAATCCTTTACTCGAATTCTATGCGACGACATAGTTGCAAGATATTGTAACTGGAGTATGGCCTGTAACTTGATGGAAATGTGATACCTCGAGTAATCGTCGTTTTCGTTGCGGCAGAGAAAAATTATCGGCAGTATTCTCTTTGGTACTGGAAGTCAACGTTCTCGACTCGAAGGACGAGGTGAATCTAGCTCTGCTCGCTAGACCGGAACTGGGCGTCACCTTCACCAAGCTGCACTGCTGGAAGTTAACGCAATATGAGAAATGTGTGTTCCTCGACGCAGACGTGCTTGTGAGTCATGCAAAAAATTTCACGTGTGTACTCTGTAATTTAACCGACTTTGACTCCTGGTGGATCTTATCCAGGTCGTACGAAATTGTGATGAGTTGTTCGAACGCGAGGAGCTATCAGCCGCGCCGGATGTCAGCTGGCCTGACTGCTTTAACTCCGGAGTATTCGTCTTCAGACCGTCTCACCAAACGTTCTCGTCACTCATTTCGTTGGCCGCAGCCAAGGGTTCATTTGATGGCGGGGATCAAGGCTTGCTGAACATGTACTTCAGCGATTGGGCTACCAAAGACATCTCCAAGCATTTACCGTACATCTATAATATGTGCTCTGTCGCGACCTACTGCTATCTTCCCGCATTTAAGCAGTAAGTGTGATGTATCGCGTCATTCCGTTTCCTCGTGATTGTAAAAAATTCACGCCAATCGATCGTTTGTATCGTTTCAGATTCGGCGATGAAGTAAGGATAGTACACTTCATCGGCATAACAAAACCGTGGTTACAGTACTTCGACACGCTGTCCGGTGTCGTCCAACCACCGGCAGGTTCTGGCTACTTGCAACCGCTGTTGCAACTCTGGTGGGACATATTCTGCGAGCGAGTGCATCCTCAGTTGTCTACCTCTATGGTAAGTTCAATTCGACTGACGATCGAATGGTGAGTAGATAGTGTGTGTTCAATATGATAGCTATCTTCACTGATGAATGACATTTTTAAGTAACGCTCGACACGCATAGTTGCACTTGTTGTTCGCCGCTAAGTTTCATATTTCTAATTTTGCACACGTTTTGACGACGTAATCTTTATTATAAGCACATGTATACATGATACAAGAAAGTAACGTTGTTACAAAAACGGCACCGCCCCACTTGGTTTATTACTAACCGATTGAATGTATATTTTTCTGTTTTTGCATGACGCTTTCATAGGTTGCCACCAGAATACCGGGTGTAATGTTGCCCGACATCTCTCCCAAGCCTTACATTCCCGCTCCCGCACCCTTTGTACCTCTCAACGTAAGCCAGCAAGACGAATACAGCAACGTTTCTCAGCAAGCGCCAGATTTCTCCGAGTTTAAAGATCCCTGGGAAGATTATTCATACTACGGTACGTTGCATCAGTCGCATGACGAGCGTGTCGTGTTCACTAACGAGAACGTGACTGATTCCTACGAAGCTGACCAATCGTTGTCGCGAACATCAAGTCGCAGTTATAAACAGGAGGAGAATGTTTCTTGGCAAGCCGACCACAACGAGCGTCGGTCTGAGCTTGAGTGCAATCAGCGTGATCACATTACACACAGTGAACATTATCAACATGTGGTTCCTCATTCGGAAGACAACAACCAGCATAGTCAGCATTTCGCTCAACATACTACGCATCATCACTGGCAACGTAACGAACATGAACATCATCACCGTGAACAGCAGCAACATAATGTACAAAGACACCATCGTGAGCAATTTCATGAGGAGAAAAGACGATTCATCGAGCAACATCAGCACTATGAGCAACTTCAACAGGACAATCATCACAAGGTCAACGACGAAACGATTCATTACTCTACTCAACATCAGCCGGCACACGAACATTACGTTCACCAGAGGCAATCGCATCCCATCGAAGTGAAACATGAAAATCATGCGCAACATGGCACTAGTGACAATAAGGAAGTCAGTCATCAAAATGTAAACTATCATCAGTTCCATGCTCAACATAGCTCCGAAAGTAGTAAAAGTACGAGTAATGAACGGTCGTTGGAAGCTACGGATAAGCACACGAACGAACCGAGAATTGATTCCTGTCCTCTCCCTCCCGCACCTAACAGCGATCTCCACAATATAGCCGCTCAAACTGATCCGAGCGCAGCCAACCATGTAAGTAATTGTTCCCATATATTTTTCTTTCACCGTTTCTTTTTCTCTAAATTCTCGGATTAAGTCCGTCGGGATAATTCCGTGCTGTCGACAATGTAATCAGGTAACCTCGTTTGCTTTCTAAAGTGTGTTACGCTTTTTCTCGATTTGTCTATATGTACACTAACACATGTTACTCCCATGTAAAAAGTACTTTATGTAAGTAGCGTTAGATTTGTGCGTAGACCTGATCTGTTCTGAGATAATCCACGCGGAAGAGATGCGAAATTGCTCGCGCTTGCAATAATCGCGCACGGCTTACTCGTGATATCGATACGTCGGAATGTCATCCGAGCCTTTCGTTATATCGCAAGCAACCCAAACTGAAAGACATTCTCGTTGATTATGCAGGCAGGTATTGCCGGTGCTCTGGCTCAATTGACTCTCGGCGCGGCCAGAAGCGAGCAACAGATAGCTCTGGAAGAACAAATGAGGAAGCAGAGCTGGGAACAAGGACAGATTGATTACATGGGTCAAGATAGCTTCGAGAATATATGGAAAAAGATCTGCGAGACAGTCTCCCAGGCACCGCCACGGCAACCAACTCCACCCAAAGAGGTAATTGAGTATAAAATGGCATCGTTTCTCAGTACTGTAAATCAGTACTGTAAAGTTAAATTTGAATTTCTCACGCGAGACAAGTTTCGAGTTTATTCTAGGTATAATCCTAACCTAGGTTCTGGTAACATATAATTTATATTGTAAATGTGTTTACAGACTAAGTCTAAAGATGAAGGGATCTCCATCATCGCTGCGCCCGTTGTAACTGCAGATATCGTTGGACAAAAAACGCCAGCTGGTACGTCTTCTCACCATCCAATTTGTAATTGACATATAATTAACATCGCCTACTTGTAAGAACGTCTTATTAAGTAAAATGTGTATCATACGCATTAGAAATTTCAATAACGACACGATATTTGATTCCAAGGGCACTATTGAATTATCGAAATAATGGGAGATCTGCGAGATACCTGAGTTACTCACAATATAAAGCCTCTAACTGATTCCTCGAGTATGCTTTGCGTTTTTGTTTGTTTCTTTCGTTTTCATTTAATACAGCATGCGATATTCAGTCGGACATTTCCGTAATCGTAGTTTTGAATCGGGATTATCGTAACGCGCGAAGAAACTGTGTATTCAAAAACGAGGCGCTTACGTTGATACCAACAAGTACCAGTACTGGTTGCGACATTTGAAATCGGAAATCGGACGATAACAGTATACTGTGGTTAATACAATTGATCAAGTTTGAGCGTTTGCAGCAGGAACTGAGGACAGCAACTAACAGACCCTGGCGCCATAGCATTGCTGAGTCTTGTATTGTCGTTTTGCTTTAATGGGGTAAATATTTCAAGTGCGCTGAAACGTTCACCATGACATCACGTGATATATTCTGAAGCACGTCCACAAGATCACGAAACATTTTGAAACACGTTGGAATTATCACTGATCGTTAAATTTTAGATGAATTTATTTGCACAATTTACATTAAATTATCTTTGCAATTTAGTTGTTTTCGCCATCTTTAAGCTGACACGAGAGATCTTTCTCTATTTTGAAAAACTCAACGGTCTTGCTTGCACTACTTGTAATAAATATCGCGATACATTACATTTACACAAAGTATGGGGGTAAAGTTGCATATACGTTTATATGACATCACGCGAACAAATGTGTGGGTTATGATTTAATACGAATATTTTGAAAGGACTCGATACTTTTCTTACATGAATGCGCCTTTTTCATGAACGTACTTTTCAGAATATGCTTCCTGTGAATTATGTATCGCTGCTCACTAATGTTAACATTTTACACTTTAACACTGCTTTGTTGATTTTTCGCGAGTGGAATAACACGACTTCTGTTCGTAGCGCTTCAAATAAATCGCGCTGTACGTATGCGAAATATTATGCTATTATAGTTTTTACGCTCTATATTAACACACAGCCAAGGTACACACGAGCACATTACGTACGTTCCGCGTACAAAATCACGTATTCATTTGTAATTTTCTCCCTAAGTCATTCGCATTTTCACTCGAGCATATTGCATTATTCAAATTCGTAGCTCATTTTGGTTGATGCTGGAACGAGATCGACAGGGTTATTTTTATCATTGCCTATTTCGCCTGAAGTTACGAATAGTAACGTCTATAGTGACATCCCGCCTTAATTGATACTTTTATCATCATCAATGATCAAAAAACGGTATATTTTGCACATGTACCGTAGAACTTTTGTGCACAGTTTCTTTCTTCTTCTTCTCTTAGAATAGTCTTTTCTCTGTATCTTGCATACGCCTGATAATCCAAAACCCCACGTGCTTACTTCACTTTTCTCTCTTCATCTAGTTGAGACGGGCAAGGATTCGACGCAAGAGCAATCTCAAACATGTAAACTACCCGAGGAGAAGCTTCCAGCTCAAGCCGTTCCCGCTGAGACTCCTGATGGAAATGTCATCGTCGCGCAACCTCCCGAACAGAAGACACCTGCGTTGCCTGCTGAAAAGAGCGTCACGGTGGAAGCTGCTGCGACGAAAGTATCCGGTGAGTCGGTACAAGCTACGACGGAGGACACTTGTGTGAAGCCGCCAACGCAGGAATCTCAGGACGTGAAGCCGCCAACGCAGGAATCTCAGGACGTGAAGCTGCCAACGCAAGAATCGCAGGTCGTGAAGCCGCCAACGCAGGAATCGCAGGACGTGAAGCCGCCAACGCAGGAATCGCAGGACGTGAAGCCGCCAACACAGGAATCGCAGGACGTGAAACCGTGCGAGACGTGTACCGAAGTGTCTTCTCCGAAATCGCCTATAGAATCGCCATCGGAACCGATCGCAGAGCAATGCAAGCTTGCGAGCCCGACAACACAGGAAGCTGCGTCTCAAGATAAAAGCGCAAGCGTCCAATTGCCTGCAGAAAGTGCACCATCAGCAGAACCGCAAGCGCCCGTGTGCCTCTTGGCAGATACAGTCTGCAAGCTTCCAGAAGCAGTTGCACCCGTCGCGCAAGCCGTAAGTGCAGCAACGCCTACCGACGATAAGTCACAGGTCCCAGCTCCTATTACGCCAGATACAACACAGCTTGCGGCTATTCCGATCAGCACTAGTAGTCCGCAGGACATCATTGCTCCCGCTGTAGCACCGAGCGAGACATCGCCTCAAGACACCGCGAAACCCACGACTGAATGCGCGACCGACGTAACGCAGCCTTTGACAATAGACCCGAGCGAGCGTCACGCGGAGATGCTGTTGGCAGCTTCCGAGATTTCGACCGTGAGTCCTGTGCCCATTCAAGTGGCGGAGTCCGTTCTTCAGGCTGAACCTAAGGAATCCGTGTCGGGCACGGCAGCGACTGCGAGTGATGAGGCAATCGCCACGATTGTCACGGCCGTCACGGACGTTGCTCCCGTCGCAACGGCCGAGCCAAAAGAACAGGCTGTCCAGTTGAACGGGTTGGCGAGCGATTCTGAGAAGCGCGATGACGTCGCGGCTGCGGTTCCAAGTCCACCGGAGAAGACTGATGCTGCCGCTGCGGTTGAACCGGCAAAGGAACCAGCGAGTGACTCGGGCACGATAAAAGATGCGCCGTCGGGGGTACAGCCGGTTCCCCAGGAAAAAGTAGAGTCTATTGTCAGCGCGATACCTGCAGAGACACCGGCAGCAAAAGTGGAGGAAGTAGCGAAACCCGCGGAACAGGTCCCAGCGGTCACAGGAACGACAGACGCAGCGCCGACGGCGCAGATCGCGACGTCGGAAGCGAAGGAAACAAAATCTCTGAAACAGCAGCTAGCGAAAGCGGAAGTTGCAGAGGCGAAACCGCCAGAGCAGATCGTGAAAACTGAGACGTCCGGAGCGAAGGCGGAAGAAAAACCTGCAGTTCCGGAACAGCCTGTGAAAATCGAAGCAACCGGAGCGGTGACCCCGAAGCCGGAAGCACCTACGCAAACTGAACTAGCGGAAACGAAACCCACGGAAGCGAAACCTACTGAGCAAGCGACAAAGGCCGAAGTATCGGCAGCAGAAACAGCGCCAGCCAAGTCATCGGGTGAAGTTCCAGCGTCACCGATCGCCGAGAAAGCACAGGAATCGCCGGCAGAACCTGCTGAGGCGAAAGTACTGACCATCCCTTCGACGCCAACGGTGATCGAGGCCACGCCACCGACCAGCCCGTCCGTAGAGAGCGCGCAGGAGACGGCGGAGAGTCAGGAGAAAGCGTCGAAAAAGAGCCTGAAGAAGTCCGATTCTGCGGACGGTACAGACGGCGAAGGCTCGGACAAGAAAGGGGCGAAAAAGACGGTGAAGAAGGTGACGAAGAAGTTCAAACCATCGAAGGAGGAGGCAGCCGCGGCAGCTCCAGAAGCAGCTGCTGCCGCCGCCGCTACCGCCGCTGCCGCCGCCACCACCACCATCACCACCACAACCACAACCACCACCACCACCACTGCTGCTACTGCCGCCACCGGAGACAATTCGCAGAGCAAAGTGAAGAAGACGGTGAAGGTCACGAAGAAGGCCGGCGCCAAGAGCGGGCAGAGCCTCGAAGCCGATACGACAGTTCCGGAGACGCCACCGCCTCCAACCACCACCTCTACCACCGCCACCCCTGACGTGCCCGTTCCGCCTAAACGGAAAACGAAGACTACCACCAGCACGAACTCGAAAGGAACGGCCGGAAAAAAATCTGAGGCTGAAGAGTGATCGATCGATTCGTATTGACGATAACGATCTCGACCGACGCAGAGGGGCTTGGAAGACGTCCGAGGGAAGCTTTCGGGCGTTCGTTGCGTTGGACGGGAAACATGATGGAATCCTACGAACGTTAATCTTTTCGAGACCTTTCAAGAAGCTTTGTTGTCTGAAGTTGAAACTAACATGGAAAATAGCACATAAAATGTCACATGTAGGTGGAGCGAAATCAGTTGTTTATTAATATATGTCATCGTCGTATTGTATGATTATTGATTTATACTACGTCATGTACAATGATATATCGTTATGAATCTCTGCTAAATTCAGAATGCAACAACAACGAACATTGTCTCGAAAGGGTTAAAGACAAAACGCTGAAAAAAGGATTACATTTGCTAGTCTGTTACAGTTTTTTGATACTTTTAATATATCACAAGAGTTTCTATTGCCGTTGAGCTTGATATGCCGCGCTCGTCGGAGGTATCGAGCGATACCGAGTTTAATCGACAGCACAATTTGTAATCCGTATTTATACACCGTGTTAATTGTCCTCCTTTTTTTTTTAATTAATTATATTCGCACTCCCAAAGCTAAGCCGTAGCACTCGCTTTTGTCGTAGTAATTCGTTTTTCCGTAAGTATCGTATTCTTGTAATTATCGTTTTTTTTCTTTTCGCGAGTCGCTGTTATCCAAGCAGGATCCACGAACCTCCTCGGACAATATATTGGCAACTGCTTGAGCAACATGACTTCAACGCGTCTTAGTGCCATTATAATATTCAACGAGTATTTTATACTTTGTTTACTTGCTTTGATGTGCAATGGTGATGCAGCAGAGTGTATTTCAGAACGGAGGAGAGAGGAAAAATTAACTGTGATTGATCATAGTCGTAACGTTCTATCAATTATTGTAAATTCGTAATTCGTAAAGTCGGTAAATCGATATTATTGTCGCATCATGTCGAGCGCAAATCGTTTTTGCTCGTTAATCACGTTTGTAAAAAAATCTCATGAAGTTTATATTTTATTTATAAATATATATGCGTTATATATGGAGCAATATCACATGCGCAAAATCTTGTTGTGGCGTACTTATCTGCATCGACGATATCTGCATGAACGAAAGTTCGCTAATAATATAAATTATAAAAGATATAAATTTGTTATAAATTTGTGAATTTATCAAGAGCAATAGAGAGAAGATTATATGCTATATTATTACATTCGAGAGAGCGATATTACTTTGCGAAAACAGCAATATTACGCGATAATTCTTAGTAACTGTTCATCCTTTTGTAAACTTTCTCTCTCTCCCTCTCTTTCTTTCTTTCTCCTTCCCTCTCTCTCTCTCTCTCTCTCTCTCTCTCTCTCTCTCTCTCTCTCTCTCTCTCCCCTCCCTCCCTCTCTCTTCCTCTTTCACTCTCATATATACCATGTATATTAAATTATATTTTTCAGAGTGTATTTTTATTCTGTCTTGTTAATTATCCACAGAATTCATCTATTTCTAATAATATATTCATACAGAAATATGTATCTACAGATAACTTGCTTACTTAAATTTAAATGCAAACCATGATGTTTTTTAAACATGGTGGTGTACAAAGCACTCCAAGTTTTCAAGGAGAGTTTATTGTAATATAACTGAGAGCTTTATGAGAAATGATACAAATGTTTCTAAAATTTCGCCAAAGTCATATATTGCAATGCCAGATCTATAACACGATATTTGTTCTCAACAAAATATATATATCACGTTGAGGAGAAATGTATTATTATCATAAAGAGCACATTTTATTTTTTGCTTTCACAGTGGGAAGGAACATATATTAAGGCACGATAATCTTTAATCTTTAATAAAGTTTTAATAAAGTCTGTTGTTTTCATTAAAAAAATCTAGAGATCAATATGTGCTTCCTCTCGAGACGAGATTGAAGCAGCTTGAAATCTTGAAGGTAATGAAAACCTTATATTTTCAAACATTCAAATTTCGCTCCCGGGATGAGCACCTCCTGCGCATAGTCAACCCCTCGAACATAAGCCAGGGCGCCCGATCTTCCTTGCGCCAGCCCTGCACACGCCTCCGCCGCGGACGAGCACATAGGTGTAGCTTAATGCACCCGTGGTGCAGCACCGCGGGGGCAGTATGGCCGTCGGCGGCGCAGTGGTGCGCGAGTGACAGATACGTGAATCGTCCGCTCGACGTTCGCCGCAACCCCGAGGTGTCCGCGCGCGCCGCGCGAAACCGCGAGTGGTAGAATGATCGTTCCTAACTGAGAGAGTGAAAGAGAGAGATATATATATACACACAAAGAAGTGGTGCGAGTGCGAGAGAAAAGACAGAGTGAGAGAGAAAGAGAGAGAGAGAGAGAAAGGGAGAGAGAGAGAGAGAGAAGGAGAGGTACAAGGAGAACAAGCGGTAAACCGCCACTATCCTCGGCGCCGGTGTGATGATCAAGGATATGGCGGACGATGAGGCCATACAGGCCACCAACGACGACGCCAGCGAGTGCAAGCGCTGCGCGGTTACGCTCGGCTATTGGTGCGACCCGTTCATCAGCCTGTTCGTGAAGCAGACCACACGGAAGGCGCCCGAGATCAATCGCGGTTACTATGCCAGAGTCAAGGGCATCGAGGTCTTCGTCGACAAGTTCCTCAAGGTGAGCGCCACACGTTGCGATATATCGTACAACCTTGTCTTCTTCCCTTCCACCTGTCGTCTCCCTTCGGCGCGCCTATTTCGCCTTACAAGTGCAGAAAGTGTAGCGCAAATGCGATGTTCTAGAATCTGTTTTTTTTTTTTCGCATTTATGTTCCGTGTGTATTCTGTCACGATCTTTTTTGCGTCTCCTCTCTCTTTCTCTCTCTCTCTCTCTCTCTCTCTCTCTCCCCCCCCCTCTCTTTCTCTCGCCCTTCAACACATCCTGCGCGTCTTGTCCGCGTGTCTTTTCGCGCGTGAGAAAAGTGTAACATCGGTCGCACGAAGGAAGCGCGTCTCTTCGTGTATTTATGCGAACGAACGACCAAGAAGTCGTTCGCTCGTCCGTTACAAATTGGTATAACGTTCGCTCTCCCGATTGCACTCTCTGCACTTTCTCCTCGTGCTTTCGAGGCGTCCGAATGTGCACCGATTTTGCGTACATCCGCCGTTACACATCAAATTTATCCCGAGCGTGGGAAATGCATGAGAAGTGCGTTTCAGACGCGGAAAATGCGAACGAGCGCGACGTACGCGGCGAATCTGTTCGCTGTCGCGACAAAAGTATAACCTAGAACGCACATACGACGCGAATCGGAAACAATCGGTCGGTAAGGGGGAGGGAGAATACAGCTGATCCGGGCGGCAGGAGCGTGCAGCGGCGGAAACCTTGACCCGCCGGCCGAGGCCCTGTCCTAATTCCCCTGAGGTTCCCCGCTTTTATCGCAGCAAGCCGATATATAGGTCAATGAAAAACACTTCTGCGACGCGTGCCAAGTTCGCGTTTCTCATTTCCGAATTGGCACCGGCGCAGCGCGACGCTCGCTGCGAAATCCGCTCGATGTCGAGGAAACAACCATGTTTCGTCTGCTTGTTTATGTAAACTGGAGGAGCCTCAATTCTCTTTCTTTCTTTCTTTCTTTCTTCTCTTTTTTTAGAACTTGTCACGAGTTTGTACAAACGCGGTAATCTACATCCGAATTTGTAGAATATATCGATAAACTATATTTGAATAAAATATAAACATATGTGTGTACGCATGTTCCTATAAAAAATGTTGATTGTCAAACGGATACAAATTATTTTTACAGAATAAAGAAAATATGGTCTTAGTATTTGAAGTTAATTATGGAATGTAACGTTTTGAGTGAGGCTCAAGTGAGGCTGGAGAAAAAGAAAGAGTGTAATGTTACCTTTTTAGATAAATTGAATTTTTCACATATGCCTATTTGCAGTTGTCTGGCGGTAAAGGGCAGATTATAAACTTGGGTGCTGGCTTTGACACACTATATTGGAGGCTCAGGAAGGCTGGAAACAGTCCCGCGAACTTTGTCGAGCTCGACTTTCCCAGTATCACCGCCAAGAAATGCTATCACATCAAGAAGCACAAGCAACTGATCGATATGCTAAACACCGAAGGTACCCCCCGTCACACTTAGTCATTTATCGCCTCTCGCTAGATTGCACATCATTTTGTCATGCTGATTGCAGATGGAGAAATTCGATTCTCGACCACAGACTTGCATGCCGCAAATTATCACCTGGTCGGTACGGATCTGCGACACATAGCGGAGCTGAATAACAAATTGACCCAAGCTGAGGTCAATTACAATTTACCCACTATGTTCCTCGCAGAATGTGTTCTAGTTTATATAGACGCTAGCGCGACCTCGTCGCTGTTGAAGTGGCTAGCAGTCAAGTTCCCGAACAGTCTGTTCGTCAACTACGAGCAGGTGAACATGAAGGACAAATTTGGCCAAGTTATGCTGTCGAATTTGCGCAGCCGTGGCTGCCTGCTGGCAGGCGTGGAAGACTGCGAATCGTTAGAGACTCAGCAGAGACGGTGAGTACACCGCCGTTAGTGTGCCGCAGTAGCTTCTTCTTTTTCATATTTGGCTAAAGATTGAGATCCTAAGAGGCATTTATAGGCTATCTGCCGTCTGCCTTGTCCTTGTGATCCTTTTTGTCCTTTTTGATCTCGAATTGCTAATTCGTTCTTGACTATCTTTAGATTCACCATAAACAACTGGGAGGGCTCGAATGCATGGACGATGGTGGAGATTTATGATTCACTGCCTGAAATGGATCGTACCCGAATCGAGCACATAGAGATGCTGGACGAACGGGAGCTCCTTACTCAGCTGCTCCAACACTACTGCATCGCCATCGCTTGGAACGGACAAACATTGAAAAATCTGTCTATAGCGCAGGGTTAGTTGTACACGATTGACTCGCGCACGCTCTTCCTCCCCTCTCTCTCTCTCTCTCTCTCTCTTTCTCTCTCTCTTTCTCTCTCTCTCTCTCTCTCTCTCTCTCTCTCTCTCTCTCTCTCTCTCTCTGTCTCTCTCTCTGTCTCTCGAGTTACTCCAGGTAGTGATATTGTATAATTCAGACTCGATAAGAGCTCGCAAAAGTTATGTAATACGCCCTGAACGACCGCGGGAAATTAACGTTTTTTCACTTTGTGCTTAGATACATCTCGATTAAAGTTACGATAAGTTGCGATGTATCTTCACGATGTACGGCGAGACATGACACAATCTTCGAATCGTGCACGTTGAAGATTTGTGCTTCGAAAACGCTTTCACATGGATTTTGTGTCTACGTCGTAAGATCGCCGTAATGATTTTTTTTTTCTTTCTATATGCGCTTCGAATGTGTTCTTTGTCCTCCGCTAAAATACGCACCGTATACGTACACTTCACGAATACACACACACACACACACACACACACACACACATATATATATACACATACATATATCTCTATTTTTTAACGGATATGTGCTGCGAGCGAGATAAGTCGCAACTTTGGTGTTAAATCGTGCGCGAGATACGCGTATGTGTGGCTGCTAATACGATAAGACGACAAACGGTCGGATAAGCTCTACTATTTTCTCATGGATGAGATTTCCAGTCATTCTAATTTTCGCGTATTCAACATATCTGAATTGTGTATCACTGTGTGTATCATGTAATGACTCCATCCGCAAGAAGCAGTCAAGCACACAGTCGTTTTGCTTCCTGCTGCGGATTTTTATGTGTATAAAGTTACGGTCGTTGTATTATAATTATTGTAGATCGCAATATTGTTATATACTGTGGCCAAACGACAGCGCGCGGAGTAATTTATTGTGTATTACGAGATCGTCTATGCGAAAAGTGTCGCCGAGTGAATCGACACTTTGAGCGCGCTCCAACTACGTTTTCACTTCTTCGCTTATTACATCTGAAACGTTGTATCTATATTTTGGATCTTTCATTGAGAACATATAAAGATATTTTTCTGATACACTGATATATAGAATTCCGATCCCATGAAAGTCTTAATACATGGTAATTGAGAGTTGCTATCAAATTATTCCGTACGCGCAGTCCCTTCCCATCCAATCTTTAAGTGTATATTAAGTATTAGAGATTATGAATTATTCGATCACGATAAGACAACATTACTATTACGAAGTAACTAACGACTATAGGTTTTTCGTATAGGCGTTGCCTACGAGCGAAGGGTGATTATTTAAGCTAATAAAGAGAACAAAAGCAAAGTGCAACGAAAGTAAGATTTTAAGTATCGAAAGCGAAATAAACTGAGGCTCGCGCGAGAAGAGAATTGATGCGATTGGAATCAAATATAATAATTGATGATCGCGCGTATACGCCAGCCATCACGGAAATCAGTCTGAAAGATCGGCGGTATATTTTCTCAATTGATTCTGTTGCTTCGCTCATAGATCGTATAATCGAACATGTATATCACCTTCGCTCGCACTCGCGAAGTAAAATACGCGTGCCGATGTTCTTCGACGTTTTAAAGTCCGATCGTCCGTTTTATTTTTACAATGGAAAAAAAAAAGACACGAAGAGAGAGAAAAAAGAAAACAAAGAAACAAAAAAACATGTGTCACAGCGGCGTTCTGCTTCATTTTGAAAACACCAAGTACGAGTACATTATTACACTTATAAGCAGGTCGTAGCAACGGTAGCGATGGATAACAAAGATTTATTTTCGTATCGAGGAATAATCAGGGTCACGCATGTGTATTCACAGTATAAGGATAATACGAAGAGATTGTATAAGCTTTTACGAGAAATTCGAATTACTCCTCTGTAGGTGTACGAGAAGAGAGGCTTTGTAATACGCGGGACTCGGACCTGATCGTTGCATCCGCCCGTTAAGCGCGATCGTCGGAATCAGCTGTCGAGTGTGTCATGTAACGATAGAGAGGAAATTGATTGCTTTCTGGACGGCCTACCGAAATAGCTGTCTTCTAGCCGGAATAGTTGCGTTTCTGTTGTCTAGCTGCATATGCTGTATATAGCGGCGTGTATGCGTGTGTGCGTGCGATTCCGACGATATCGCGCCTCCGACCCGAGAATGACGATAATCTGCGAGTTCTGCTGGAGATGAGTCGCAAGTTTCCACGAGTTGTCATCCTTCTACCTTGTTTCGTCCGTTTCTCGCTTTTAGTGTCACATGAACCGCGGCAACCTTTACTAGACCTAAGTGACGTGAAATGAGAACGCAAGGCGAAGTTCTAGCCGGCGAAAGTGATTGCACACGATACCCCGATAATCTCTGGTAGTCTTTGAGAATCTCCCTTCGATGATTAAGATTATATACCTGGAGTAACGAACGTATATAAAGAGGATAGTCAGATGTTCTATTTTTCTCAGAAGTTACAAATTGCAGCCATTGTTACGATGTCTATCAACGTTCGTAGGTTGACACCCCGCTGCCTACGCCTCCTACCCTTGCCACCCTCCCTCCCTCGCCGCCCGACATTGTCGCCTTCTTTGCACTTGTAGACACGTAATCGAGACCTCGTCGCGCGTTAGTTTTGTGTCATGTGTCGAGTCATCGTCCGAGAGGTAAAAATTGGCTGACTTATCGAGCGTTCGTTATGTGTTCAAGCTCGGCTTCAAGTTTGAGAATCAAAGCACTCGCGAATTTGCGTTGTCGGCACGTTGTCCTGTGAGAATTTGAGCAAAGCAGCACTGCCACCGAACTGAAGGAAATTGAGTAAGACTCATCAAGTGCTTATCGAAAGATCTAGTGAATTTGCAGTTGTCGCATATGCTTCTTAAAATGTAAAAAAAAAAAAAAAAAAAAAGGAAAAGATACTATAACGAACCCGTTTATGTATAATTTTTGCAAGCGTGTGACGAGAATTTTTCTTTGAATCTTTACAAATACGTAAAAACGATCGTACCTTAATTAGTCGCACTCTGATTCAAATTGTGTAAATCGCGGGATTACATTTCCCACTGTATTGAAAAGGGATAGATAGATCACAGGGAGACTTGTCGATCTCTCATGATCGATTTCATTTCAAGTAATAAACAACAAATTTCTGTCTGTCAGGCTTATCATCGCAAGAACATAAGGTAGTTATAATTTCACTTTGCTCAGCGCATTCTCTATACGTCATCTATTCGAACAGCTAGTCCATTGTATGGTACAATCTCATGCGACTAGTTAAGGATTAAATGGGTTCGTGTTAATCGCGCAAAATGCAAGAGAGAAAGGGAGAGAGAGAGAGAGAGGGAGAAAAAGAGAGAGACGAAACAATTTGGATCTCAAACTTGAGCAACGCGATACCATGTATTGTGCGAATTGTGCAGCTCTCCGTGTTTCCCCCGCCTCGATTTCGTTCTACGTTACACAAACTATTAATATTTCATGTACGGATGTTGTACATCTTAAAAACAAAAACAGAAAAAAAGGATAAAAGAGACGGAACCTATATAGACATTCAGTGTGCTTCCACTCATTACAAAACGGATAAAGTACGACCGAAAAAGTAAGAAAAGGAAAAATGCATCTTTATATTCGCATAATGTTGTGATATTGTTGAATTATGCATTTAACGATTAGAAGAACGAACGATCGGTTTACTATGATTGACAATTGTAGCTTCCTATTTATGATACACTTTTTTCACCTGTCTCTGTGCCGAAAAGTTTCTTTAAGTGGGAAAAGAAAAAACAGCTACGGTAATATTATATAAATATTTTTAAATGTATAAGATTATATATGTATATGTATATATATATATGTATATATACATATATGTGTGTGTATATATATATATGTATACATATATGCGATAACGATAACGATACACTTCTCCCATTTAAAGTCTTTTATTTAATTTATTATGTAAAAGACAATTTATAACATCGTGTGATCCTATTAAACCATTATTTTTATTTTAACGAAAATGATGGATATATATGAATAAACACATCTCTAACGTCAAATAGATCGCATTATTTATAGCTGTTTATTTGAAATCGTTGTTTCGTGTAAAGGTACGAAGAGAGTATTAAAAATACATAATTTTATATATACATTTGACACTTCATGCTTTACAATACCTTACGAGAGAGAAGGAGAGAGAGAGAGAGAGAGAGAGAGAGAGAGAGAGAGAGAGAGAGAGAGAGAGAGAGAGAGAGAGAGAGAGAGAGAGAGGGGGGGGGGGAGAGAGAGAGAAGAGCGGAAGAAAGAGAGAAAGAGTTCTATTTATATCGTTAATTATTTAAATCTATTAGCATTTTTTGTCATGGAAAATATTTACATTCGATTAGGAAGAATGACAATATTTTATACACAGGTTAATTTTAGATAAAATCCGATTTAAAAATGGGATATCGATATTTTTATTTCATTTCGTTACGAGAAAAATTTGAATAAAATGGAAAACGTAATTTGGCCGAGAAACAGTTGTTAGATTCAAACTTTCTTCATTGGATTTTATTATTCTCACAGTTTAATAACTTTAGGAGAAACTCAATTAGTCATTTCAATCTAACTAATGGTAATTCAATTTTGACGATAAAAATCATGATAGTTAACCTAAGTTACACGAAACTTAATATTCACTTCTTTTTATATTCAAGATAGCATCAAGATTATTGTCAGGGTTATTGCAAGATATACTTATGATTGTTAAAAGCCTAGAGGATTCAACTGAACGCATCCGCCAACATCAAACACATTCTTGGAAATTTTGCCTAGTTTACTGAAGAAGTCCAGTTGCTTTCCAGAATTGACCTGCTGCAGATTATAGGCAGCACGGTTCGATGCCTGAAACGATTTCAGATATATTTTGACGATCGAAGAAGACAATTTTATACATCTACGTCGTCACTAACGCGATCACATCTAGTGACAGAGTTCGTACCTCCGCGCACCAAGCTTGAGTCATCAATAGCTCGTGTTCCGCACTGGGCAGATTCTTGTTCAACGATCTAGTCGCCCTGCTCAGTATAACCGCCATCGTATACGTGTCAAACGCTGCCTGTGTTAACCTGTTGAGGATGAATTGCTCCTCGACGATGCCTCGTCCGTATTTGATAAGGGAAGCTTCTATTGTGTTGCCGAAACTCTCCACGCTCTATGCGACAGCAATATAATTGGTTAACAAGTATGGTTAACAACAAATTAATAATTATGAATTAAATTAAAAAAATTGACATTTAAAATGTAGTATAAACATCATCTTTTTATCACCTATATATTTTAACTTTATATCTTTGTGATACAAAAAATGTTTTCCGTTTTCTTTACCTTTGAGCAAAGTGCTGCACTTTCTGCCAATTTCGGATGCACCAAGTGTGTAAAAGTGGGCGGTGAACTTAAACCTATTGCCCTGGTCGCCCGCTTGGTAGCTTCTCCGAAGAGGAGGCCTACGTTTGCGCCGGGGTTCTTGAAGGCTTTCTGCAGTTCTTTCAAATGACTACCAGCGTATTGAATTCCCGTAAGCGCTATGAACAGACGCAGAATATCATTTGCTCCCTCGAAAATTCGGAATATACGTAAGTCACGCAACACGCGCTCAAGACCGGCATCGCGCATGTAGCCCATGCCGCCCAAGGTCTGAATAGCCTCATCGCACACCCACCATGCGGACTCCGATGAGAAGCACTGTAACAGAAGTAACGTACTTCACCGTTATCAAAAACACTTTAAACATTCATATGTCCTAATACGTTTTTAAGATGCCTTGCATATTTATTTAGTCAAAAATATGATGAATAATAGACCCTGCTATTGTAAAATACTTTCTGTGAAACAGATTATGTTTAACTAATAGAAGAGAAGAATAACCTTAGAGATAGCCGCCTCTAGGTGATAATCTTGACTTCCGCGATCCATATTGCCGGAGATCATGTATGCGAGAGATTCGGTAATGTAATGCAGCATCGCCATGCGCGCTATTTTCTCCTGTATAGTACCATAATTATCCAGAGTACGGCCAAATTGCACGCGTTGTGTCGCATGACTTACGGCCCTGCTGATGCAATAACGCATGTTGCCAGAAAGAGCTGCTGCCATGCCGAATCTACCGTTGTTCAGAATATTCATTGCGACCTTCCAAAAATAACAATTTTTTATTAACATTAATGAATGCAGCATTAATTAATGTAAATAAGTTACATGAAGACTGAATTTACATATATTTCACAAATTAAAAGTCACGACTATGCCAATTTATGTAAAAATTCTCTTGGTTCTATAAATTCGAAAACTGAGAGATATCAGAAATCTTATTTAATATACACCATACGTGCAATTATATCCAGAATGTGACGAAAATAAAAACAAATTGCTCAATTATTACATATATGAAAATATGGGTTGTCGAATTTTTTTTACAAATCGTTCTACCTTGAAGCCTTGACCCTCTTTGCCGAGAACATTTTCCGCCGGGATCTTGACGTCTTCGAAGAATATCTCTGCCGTGTTACTGCATCTGATGCCCATTTTTTTCTCAGGCGGTCCGCTGGTGACACCGCCGAAACCCCTTTCGACGATGAAAGCGGTCATCTTGTTCTTCATTTCACCCGTATTCGGATCCTTCGTGGGTACTTGCGCGAACACGGTCATTATGTTAGCGATACCGCCGTTTGATATCCATATCTTGCTACCGTTTAGGATATAATGCGACCCATCTGCTGCCTTGACAGCGCGGCAACGTATCGAGCTGGCGTCGGAGCCAGAACTCGGCTCGGTTAGGCAGAAGGCAGCGTACTCGCCGTTGCAAACTCGAGGCAAATACTTCGCTTTTTGTTCCGGAGTGCCGAATAAAAGTATACCCTGAAATACACACGTACAGAGTGTGTCTTATTGCAATAGGATTATCGATAGCAATTGTTAATTTCTTCTTTGCTTTAACATCGTCTGAGTCGGTACAAAGTAATTTAGCACCCTCGGTCAATCTAGAAATAATAACTCTACCTTGAATCCTATGCTCTGATGTGCACCGAGAGTGATGCCCACCCCAAGATCGTGGTAACCGCATATCTCGACGCATCGACTGTACTGAGTATTGGTCAATCCCAATCCGCCGTATTCCTGGGGCACTTGTAGACCAAACGCTCCCAGCTCCCAAAGAGCGGTCGCTGTTTTCTCGTCTATGGCTGCGTTCTGGTCGTTTTTCGCTGGATCATTTATTTCCTAAAAGAAGAAGGGGATCAGATGAGTTTAATATCCGTTGAACAATGATCTGACTTGACACAGATAGTCATTCAAAGAGATGTTTACCTCATAGAACTTCTCCATAGGATCAATCAGCATTTTCACTGTGTCGATTTGTTCCTCGGTCATAGGATCGGGAAAGGGAAATACTTGGTCCAACTGCAACTGGTTACGGAAGATATTCATGGTGAAGGACTGTGACTCCTTCACAGTGGCATTTTCCTGAGAGTTTTCCACAGGAGTGGCTTTCACTGCAGCTTGAGTAGCCAAACATCTGTGTAATTTGAAAATTATTTTAAATAATTTCCATTAATAGTTTAATAGTAAATATCAAATCAATAATTTCTTAGTATCATTAAAATAGATTATTACTTAAGATATTGTACATTTTTCGTATTTATTTATCTGTACTTTTTCAAAATTGCTGTTTTTCCCTCAAATGGTGTAATCCTTTTTTATATTATTTGCCTTGTGTCTTATATTTATGTTTTATATTCTATCTTTATATATCTTTATACATGCATATATACATATATATAATTTCCATTTATACCTTATGATTCATAACCATTGAATATTTCAACTATTATCAGATAAATGCTTTCTATAAAACAATATATAAATTAATCATGCATTGGTTTCAAAATATTAAATAACACATACAGTATATATATATATAAATATGCATATATATATATATATATGTGTGTGTGTGTGTGTGTGTGTGTGTGTGTGTGTGTGTGTGTGGGTGTGTGTGTGTGTGTGTGTGTGTGCATAGGACGTTAAAGAAATTGATATGTGTGAGCAGACAAAGGTCAAAGTCCATAAGGTTTCATGCACATGTATATATTACCCACGACTAAAAATATCATCGATATATAATTATAATCAATGTAAAATCGAGACATGACGTAAACGAACGTATCTCACAAATTGCTTTAAAACTAAATAATTTTCTATTTAATGTCATTGTGCACAACTAAATATTGTCGCAACGATTTTTCTCAAACTTCGTCTTTTTCTCTAATTTCATTAATTAATTTTGCGAAAAGAAAGCATTGTGTAAATCTACTTCTCCAATATTATTATTTTCTCGATTTGTGTTCCAATCGAATTTATGGTTTGCTTGGAATTTTCCGAGTACAAACAAGAGACAAAAGCAATTGATTCGATCTCAATGCAGTCAATCCAGATGAGTTATCAGCCAATTGACACGCTTTCTGCCAACAAATCGATCAAAGTTCGATGTTAGCAACAGGTTGTTTAAAAGAGGAAGGATGATCGAAATCAGATTTTACCTGGGCGCATTCCATGAACCTAAGGACGTTTCGAGTGCCTTGTTAACATTTCTGGACGCAGAGAAAACTCTCGCGATACGAAACATCTTCAGTGATGCACAGTTACCACGGGGCTAAAATTTGTATACGTAAGTTGGTACAGATGTCAAGCACCGTTAAAGTAAGGAACTTCGCTCTGTGCGACGCAGTAAGCGAGATATTTTTTGACACGATGACCCGTACACGAACTACCTTTCGTTGCCTGTTGCTATCATATAACTAATGCGTCATTCGACAGAAATGCCTTTTATATGAACAGTAATGTATGAATCAGGTTACAGTACACTCTGATGACGTTGCCCGAAGTAGTTTTTGCCTTCGAATTCTTTTCACATAATTTTCCAATTATCATCATCGTTATCGTCATATTTGCAAGACATACATGAGTTTACACTTGTTTTCCTCGTCACACGGAATTTTTCAATTTAAATAAATTTCCCACTTGTGTAAACTTTAATCCATATCGCATTTCCATATCGCAGCTTCAATTGCCTTGTCTAACAACCAATCAATACGTTCGACGACAACACATATGTTGTCAACTGAGAGATCGTTGGCAAATGAGAGATCGTTTTTAGTGAATGGAACAAAGTTACAGTGATACTCAACTAATTCGAGCAGAGGGAGTCACATTTAAATTTCATGCACTTCGCGTTTCAAGAAGCATCAAAGTGTAATCGAAGGGAGCAGATCCATGACGTCGTGCGCGACCGATCGCAAGTGACATGGCTGTGATTGACTTCAAAACCATCAGATGGTCGTGATTACCGTGTAATGTGACGCGTGCCGCATGGATCTCCGCGGCACCGTTCTGATGAAACCGAACTTTGGGTGCCGCAGGTATCCAAGAACAATGGGTTGAATAGCGAGGAGCGAGCGTGCACACGTAAGTTGGAAATCAACGTGCGTCGCCACGTGATGAGGTTATATAATGTAATCGCGATTGGCAAATCACGATTTTTTGCCCGTTCTCAACGAGATTTCAAATTTTTCATTTGCTAATTAAAAACAACGAACGTATAAATACGCGTTTATACTTGAGCCGATTGGCTGTAAAAATCTGCACTCATTGAGATCGTCATGATATACCATATCTATATGGATTTATATAAATATTAGAAATTGAATGAATATTAATTTATTCACTGATTGCTAACATGATAAAATATATATATCACTCGCACGATTTTCAAAACTGATGGTCTACCAATTCAGTAAGTGATTAATCACTTTGAGGATGAAAGAGCAAGAGCCAAACAGTACTTATCTTTTAACCACTTTGAACAAGTTGATAAAATGATAAAAAATTATGGTAGATAGCAGAGCTTTATGTCCTTGCCTGTATTTTTCAGATAGAAAATGCTACAGCTAGCAGTATTACTTTGGACAGGATAGAAAATTGTAACGATTGGATCAGATATTCCATATTGGATTGTAGTACTCTTGAAAATTATACTAATATGAGTAACATCACATCACAGGAGATTTCGTTGAGATCAATCTTCAGACTCAACAACAATGATTTTAAAGAATTCATTTGTGGCTGGGGTGCAGCTGTCATCAATGTCACCATTACCTTTCCGATTAATAAAATTATATTCAGACAGGTATATAATGCAAATTACAATCAGTTATTGTATAGATTTAATATAAATAATTATATTATTATTGGGTTATTTTAAATATTGATATTAAACTGTATTTTTGTCCATATAGATTCTGGAAGGAGTACCGGTGACTGCGGCAGTTGGGCAGATGTCGCGAGAGGGAATACAACTGTTGTATCGTGGAATTTTGCCCCCCCTATGTCAAAAGACTCTGTCTGTTAGTGTGATGTTCAGCGTATATGAGGGATGCAAGCAGAGGCTCACTCTGTTAACCGGACGTCCCATGTTAGCTCAAGTGATGGCAGCGAACATGGCCGGCGCGACGGAAGCTCTCTTGATGCCGTTTGAGAGAGTCCAAACACTGCTGCAAGATTGGCATTATCATGACAAGTTCAAAAACACGTCGCACGCGTTCAAGCATCTGTTAACAAATTATGGGATGACAGAATGTTATCGCGGCTTCTTGCCTATTGTATATAGAAATGGCTTGTCCAATCTCATGTTCTTCACTCTACGCGACCAGTCGAAGGTGCTGATGGGCGAACATGAGTCTCTACTAACGAATTTCGTCAGCGGCGCTCTGATCGGTGGTTTCGTCAGTACGGTGTCGTACCCGCTAAATATCATCAAGATACACATGCAGGCAAAGATAGGCGGTAACTTCGAACAATTCCTGGCCGTCATGCGCGAGGTATACATCTCTAGAAATCGAAGTATAATTTACTTCTATAAAGGTGTGCATCTCAATTACATGAGGTCTTTCATTAGCTGGGGTGTGATAAACGCGTCGTACGACTTCCTGAAGAAGATCTTTTTCTAGATTATTTAATATTATTTTATATTTATTTAGGAAATATATTCTCATACGACCGCTATATAGATTAATTGGCATATTAGGCAAAATAGTAGGAAAGGTGTTTTTTGTTTTTATATTATTTGGTTGTATACCTAAGCAAATACCTTAATCGCACATTTTTCTTGGTCATCAAGGTGAACAGGATTGCACACAGAAAAAGGTTTATTATGGAGGCCTGACACAGTAATTGATGTCTTTAAACAATCTATAATTCAGACAATATAATTTAAAATAATTTATAAGAGAACTATCAATATATATAAATATTCTAATATACACTTGATTTCAAAACTGAACATTTCTTTTTTACAATTCAGTTTGAAACGCAATAGCTCGATGAGAGAACTCCTAATAAGAAATTAATCAAAAACACAAGTACTGTTTGTGTGTATGTACTCTACATGCATTGTATACGTACCATGAATTTTCAAATCTATCTTTGATTATGGTTCGTTTCAAGTAAAGATCTAATAGTGAAGTAAAGATTCTTTTAATTAAACTAGTAAAGATTCTTTTAACTAAACCAGGTTGCACTTTTTGTCTTCGGAGTGAAACAATTGTATATAACTTAGCATGGAAGGAAAAAGAAACTTTGAGTGCAGCACTAGCTCAGCTGAAAAAAAAAAACGAATAATTAGCTGACCAAATTATTTTTCTTTCTTAAATAAATACGATTAATCATTTAATGAATTTACAAAAATTCGCTGTCATATTTTCTTTCTGCCCGCGGGAAAACTATATTTTTTGTAAATATAGATATAATTAATTATATTTTTTAAATCCTTTAATGATTTATTGTTAAATACAATTAGGTACTTTATACAAATTAAAATAAGTAAATATATTAGGAATATCTAATTAACAAGACAAAAACAAAAGGATAGACTAAAGAAAGAATGAATAAGTAGATAGAAGAATTTTTGCCAATTCATGTGCAGAGTGCTATCTAATTGTGATTCGATAAAAACATGTTTCCTGTTTTTGTCTTAAAACTTGTATATAAATTGATCATTCTGAAATTCTTTATAAAGATTCTACAAATTTTAGAGTGCTTAATAATTGGTATAAGTATTTGATATTACATAATCTACATGTGATATTATATTTTAATACGACAATGTTCCAAGGACCTCAGAATAATAGAAATGATTACAGCGAAAGTTAGACAATTTATTATTTAAATACAATACTATTTTTCATATGTTATTAGTTTTGTATCAAATATATAGTGATGTATTTTTTATTTTGCGACATGTGTAAAGGTTTCTACACCAGTCGCGAAAACAGTTCAATTAACGAGACCACGTTACGTGTGATATTGTTAATTACATCGTCTGATAAGTCAATTTACACGAAATACTCGCAAGAATAAAAAAAGAAACGTATGTACGCTTTCGGATATCTTATGAATAATATTTATCCTTCGTGGAATGTTTACGCGCAGTTATGTAAAATACAATATACAATTTCGATATCAGCTAGTGTTTTATTCCGCTCCGATTCAGACATCGTGTGCTCCTCCACATGTTGAATATCCGTAATTCTCTCGTAATATAAAAAGAAAGTAAAAACGGAAAGGGATTTTAGTACCCGAGCGAATGGAGCGATAGCTCCGACTATCTAAAAGCAGACGACGCTAATGGTGCTAATACGCTAATTAGAATCTGACCGATCAAATATCGAAAATCGAATTACAACGGCATCAAGTGATCTTGAAATAACCCGCCGCGCTGAACTCGGCCGCGAACGAGGTTGGCGCAGAAGTAGGCAACATCGCGGCACGAAATTAGCGCCGCGCGGAGCGAGCCGCGACGGTGCTTTGATCCACGCTTGACTTCACTCCACTTGTGCCCTGCGCGAATCGATGCGCCGCGGCTTTCGGTTGCGAGATGTATGTGGGTGCCGGTCGACTCCAGCTCCAGCTTACACGGTAGTTCGCTCTTGCCCGTGCTAGGTTCCCGGTCGCCTCCGCCGCCCGGGAGCGTCCCGTCCCGTCCCGTCTCATCGGCTCGCGTCGCGTCGTTTCGCTCTCTCGAGCCGTGACTTCGAGCAATCGTCGATTAGCAGCGGTCTTCAGCCTAAACGAATCCTCCATCCTCCGACCGCGTAGCACAGGTAGGGCCGCCTGGAGCAAAATCCCGGACCCGGGCTCGTTTATTAACCCTGCCTGCACGTCTCTCCTGGTTAGACGCGACCGAGACCGGTGGTAACATATTTCAGAGTGAAATTGCAAATTTAGGTGAGCTCGGAGTTCCTCCGCTGTCACACAAGTCGGAGGGACGAGAAGAGTTGTGCATTTTTCACGCGTCGATCGTCGTCGCGAGCGGACGACACGGGGGGACACAGACGCGTCGTGGTCTATCTTCCCGAGGAAGTCGCGCTTTGTGAATTCAATCGCCGGTGTATCGGCGAGTACGCGCTCAAGGATCGCGACGTCGGTCGTCGTCGTGGCAGCGGGGAACGTGGGGAATCTTCCCCGCGCGCGCATGACATTACTGACATGACGGCCTGAACTTGCCGAGGTCGGCAAATCAAATTCCACTGCGATGAGGGCTTCGATCCTCGACCTCGACGCTGTCAGGCACGCGAAAGAACATCGTCGCCTCGTCGAGAAGCACTCTCGGCGAGGTTGTAAGGATGCTTTTCGCGCGCCTGCAGGCACGCTCGCACCGGTGTTGTCGTACGGTTGAAATGTTTCGCTGCCGCTCCGACGTCGCGAAGCTTTACTCTCTTCTTCTCTCTTGCTCTTTCTCTTTCACTATCGCTTCGTCTAACTTCGTGCGGCTGCTTCTCGACCGCAGGGAAAGCCATGAAGATCCGTCGTGGTCGCCGCGTCGTCGCCGCTACCTCCGCCGTCGCCGTCGCCGTCGCCGTCGTCGCCGTGAGGGACAACCTCCCGGTGCCGCGATAGTGTGTGCGCGCCGATGTCGGCAGTATTCGTGAGCCTCGTCGTCGAGGCCAGCAGCAGCAGCGTCATCGTCGCCAACGACGTCTCCGCGCTCGAGGACACGCGCTCGAGGACATCCACTGATCGCGCACGAGAATAATGAGAATCAACGCGACGAAGATGAGCACTCCGATTGAGGAGAAGATTGACCAGAAGCTGAAAGTACGTGACTTTTTCCCCTTTCCTTCTCGTTACTTACGTTAACCTCTTCAAGGCTGACTGACGGATCTCAGATACGACCAATTTTTCCTTCATCCATCAAACATCGTCGACGAAAGTGCAACGAATGTCATTAGGTAGGCTAATATTCACTGCGAGGTTTCACGGGGAAAAGAGAAGTCTAGTCACATGATTGTCACTTATCGGATATAAAATTGTCTCGATAAGTCGACTTATCGATAGGTCAGGTTTTCTTCCGAGTTGAGTAAATTGATTCCCGAAAGAGGTAAAAGGCGGGATCAACAACGGACCTGTTCAGCAACTCTTCGCGACGGTGTCGTCACGTCGTCTCGTCGCGCATCTTTTTCGTCGCCTATTGTACCTGCGCAGCGACAATGTAACGACACTCTCGTTCAAAGTTAAGTCCAGAGCGAGCGTATAATGACAGGAAGCGAATCCTCCTCTCATCTCCGCCAGTATCGGGAACGAAATTATCATTCCGCGTCTGCATTCAACCGTCACGCGCAGCACGCGTGCATAATCATCCCGGATATGTTTCGTAGCGCGGATGAACGATGGGTATTCCAGGATAGTCTGTAGAATCGCGGATGCATTGTCGCGCTGCTGGCCGGTGCATCCGCTTTCGCGGGGAGAGACATCGCGACGCGAGTGAGTGTCGGCGATTCTCCCTCGCGATGTATACTTTCCAGCCCCGCCGTTTCTTTTCGCGGCGCGAAAGCAGCGCGACTTCATCTCTTCCTCTGCTTTCGGCTCACGCTCGCCCATACTGAGCGTTTCACTGACATTGATCACAGCTTTCAGGTACGTTCGTGCTCACCGCTAGGTACGCGCCGTGCAAGCGACGTCCACGATGTCGTGTGTTTTTGCATACGATAACGGCGAGCGAAAGGTCAAGAGAGCTGTATGCGACTGCGGTGTATTACAGTCGGCAGCCACGCTGCATGTAATTGCGCTTCACTCCGAACAGATGCACGCAATACGTCGTCTCTGACGAAGCGACGAAGCCGAGATAGCCTTGTCGGTTGCAAGGGATACTTACGGACGTGTCAGGTTAAGACTGCGGCGTACAAAAGCCCGTAGATCATTTTTCTTTTTTCTCTCTCTCTCTCTCTCTCTCTCTCTTCTTAATAAGATATTATATTATTTTAATAGTAATTTTTGAATGTCAGACGTAGGATCGAGATGCAACGAGTCCAATGCGAAAGTAACGATGAATGTGTCGACGGAGGATTCACGGTGTCCGGTCTGCCGCAGCTTAAATGAATAACGAGAATCCAGCTTAATACGGAGCATTCAAAAGCGATCAAAAGGAGATACTTTCCGGCCGCGGAACGTGTTCTCATTCGAACGACTTTCCCGACGTTTCGGTTATGTCGAAATTCGATCAGCTAAAAGCGCGATTCACGCTGGAAAGTCTGGATGTCCAAAACGTCGAAAAATTCGAAGGTGTAAATCTCGCCGTCCGAGATTTTCCGAGAGAGCGAGCGAGCATGTGCGTCCTTATTCAACGTATTCTCGCGATTTTTCATATCGTCTCGCTGCTGGCATGTTTCATCATTTCGGGGCGAAATTCCCAGTTCGCAGGTGCGGCAAATGTTCCCGATCGAACCGTGTAACGTCGTTAATCCGACCTAAACGGCCGACGATTCGCCGATTGCCGTTGAAAAATGGGCAAAGTTTCGCGCCAACAGCCAGGCTGGTGTCGCTCGTTGTTTTCGCGGAGCATCCTCTCCGCAATCGATCGCGGTTCAATCGATTTCCCGTTTCCCCCTAAATCGCAGCATTAGCTGCGACACAGGCAACGGCGGGGCGATATAGTTGACTTGGGATCAACGCCAAACGGTGTTGGCGGAATCGACCCGGTAGACCCTGCCCGTGAATGTTATTCAAAGCAAAGTGAAGTTCAAGTAATCCCCTTTTCCGTTTCGAATGTAGAAAATCAGAAAGAAAGAACAAATCCGAAACTCACAGCAGCGGAAGGAAACGCCGAGTCGCTTTTACATTAATAATATGCGTTAATATCGTATTACGTATCGTTGTAGCATGCGAAGCTCGTCTTTATCTCTCTACGGAAAAACGGGGATATTGTCGTATTGGAGGTTTCGCGAAAACAACAATGGTTCGTTATTACACAACGAAGTTTACGCTCCGCGACCGTGCACAACTGGATGTTCCGTTCGTTTTTGCAGCAGAGAAAAGCAAGCGAGAGAGAGAGAGAGAGAGAAAGAAAGAGAAAACGCGGTACGAATGGCATCGATTATTTTCGCGCTACCACTCTGCCCGAACATCGAAGATTGCTATTACGGAAAAAGTCGAGAACACGAGAGAGAGAGAGAGAGAGAGAGAGAGAGAGAGAGAGAGAGCCGTGGTGCGCGAAACACGATGATATTCGACGCGCTGTGAATTCACCGGATGTGCCGGAAAGCGCGATGCAACGATAACGCGATGCTCGATAGTCTCGGCTATCGAAATTGGCCGCTCGTCGATCGTTCCTTCGACCCGTTCAATTTTGCACAAGCACAGAATCTGGGAATTCGTTTTCGCTCCTCGCGCGCCGCCCCCTCGTCGCCCTCGGGGCCTCGAGAATAGTCAGGCCGTCACGCGTCCGTTTCAACGATCGAATCGACGTAGGATTAATTGGAACGGTCGCATTGTTAACGACGCTAAATGATGATGAATCCGTGACGTGAATGACGGATGAATTCGTCCGCCCGCGGATCTGTTTTACTAAAAATACACAGCGTTAAAAGTGTAACGAGAGCACGCGCGACTCATCTCCGCGAGAATATCGCGCTCTCTACGTTTGTCGCCGTTGTCGCCGATTTAACGACCCGAAAATCTCATTTGCTCGGTCACGTCCCGATTGTCACTCAATGCACACATTCTCGCGTCCCGATCTGGCCAATTTGGCGACTTCTCTCACGGCCAATCAAGCGTGATTTTCTTTGACGGAATGCTCGCGGCATCGACTCTCCCGCTCGCTCGCGACGCTCGGCATACGCTCGTCGACTTACTTTACACGTGTCGGCGGATTCGAGTTTTCATATTCATGGCATGCAAATTGCCGTGAAATTGCGTTTTACGTTTACGAAAACCTCGGTCGTATTTTATCGGCCGCGGAGATCCGGAGGTCCGTATAGTTACACGCTCCGATGCAAATACGAGAAAATTTCGCGGAAACTTCCGCGATATTTACGCCTAGGCGCCACCGACATTTTCGCGCACATCGCGAGAGAGCAATCGACTTCGCGTCGTGCTGCTGCTCTTCGGTCAAGGAACCTGCACGCCGGAAAAGTCTCTCCGCGTACGTGCCGCGCGATATCGCGGTGTAATCTGCAAATAACGCGCGCGCCAGACTCTCTGGATAATTCACTACCTTTTTTCTTCCCGGCCTGCAGCTTATCGCCGAGGAAGAAGCGGCGGAATTGAATCGCGACCGTGTAATTTAGGTAGGTTTCGACTCGGCTCGCGCGCATCGTGGATGGAAAAATCGATTAATTAAACGAAACGAATCGCTGTCGTCATCGGAAAAATCCACGCTGAATATCTCCCGCGCAGCGGGAGGAGCGAGAGCACGCGGTTATTATCGAATCATAACGGCGGGTTAACAAATGCGAATTAATTACACGACCTATCGTGGATCAAATGTAACGGGTGCTTTATGTCGTGTCTCATCACACGCTCGTACCGTCCGACGAACGAGCGGAAGCTGACGTAATGATGATAACTCCGTTGGAAATAATTAGGCAGGATCCGCCGTAACTCGATAGAACGCGAACATTCAATTAAGAATTTATTTACGAGCCGAAACGGTCGCTCAGGCTTCATGCATAAATGCATGTTTTCGCTGTGCGATGCCTTTCCGGCACGGCGCACAGCTCGCGCGCGATCAGTCAATATGCAGGTCTCTCGTTAGTATTGGCATCGGAACGACGGCACGGGCTCGTTTTCTTTAATCTTCAGAGTACTTCCGCATCGAGAGCTTTTCAGAAGTCCGAAATAGCGCTTTCATTCCGCTTTCTTCTTGACCCCGTGGCCTCTCTCATCTTGTTGTCGATTCTAGATCAAAGTTTTATAGAACATTCCTATTTTCCGCGACGCTTTACCTCTGCACAACATTTATTCTCGCACCTACGATATTAATTTTTATCTCTATAAAATTGTTCTTTATCCTTACAATATTTTGTTTTCATATCTGCACAATTCACTTGTATCGATTTTCTTCTTTTATTTAGAAAGTGGCAGACACAACATTGTATGCTAATGTAACGCCGATCGAGCGAGCGATTGTTAATGTTGATGAAACGAATGAAATGAAAAGTCTTTGTCAGCAAGAATTGTTGACAGATGATTGTTGACAGGTACGGACGGGGATGGTGACGGTCAGCGATGGGAAGAGCAAGCCTGTGCCGATGCGTTTGCACCTGTCTATGGAGGTACTGAAGCTCCAGCGAGAGGACCTGGAGGTAAAGTGCCGCTCGTTGAATCTCGTTGTTGCTGACCGATCGCGCCGCCGACAGCCGGCGTTTCATCGATCAGCGCGCTTATGAAATGTGTCAAAGACAAGAACGCATTTTTAGCAGGCAGCGAATCACAATAAGCCACCTTTAGACGCGAAGGAGCGCATGGTGCAGATCACTAGGTCAAAGGTCGGAGGTCTCGGGCTCAGTATAAAGGGCGGTGCGGAACATAAGCTTCCTGTACTCATATCCAGGATCTACAAAGGTCAGGCTGCCGACCAATGTGGCCAGCTTTTTGTGGGGGACGCAATTATCAAAGGTATCTTCGGGATGAAGCTTATACGACGCATGTGTGGTTTAGCTGCGCCGTTGTACTCGTAACGTCAGTAGCATCGGAACGTTTCATCAGCTTAATTGCATCCGAAATTATATTATTCTCAGATCAGATGTTGCGATATGTCGTCGGAGAGCACTCGTTCCTCGTTTATTCGCATCCTCGATCCCAATGTAACGTGACGCGGACAGTTTGACGATAGTTGAGCGGTACAGTTAATGAGTATTGATTTCGATTCCTACTTCTCTTGCCGGAGCTCGCCTCCTATTGAAACAAACTTAATACCGGCACCGTATTGTACCACCTGTAACAATCGGTCCTTCCCCCCTCCGCTACCACACCGTTACTCTGCCCGCGGCACAATGTTGAAAATTTATTAAAATTACCTACCGTGATCCGTGCAATGAACTTATAGTGAACGGAGAATATATCACGGCGTGCAACCACGACGATGCTGTTAACATCCTGAGGAACGCCGGTGACATAGTGGTTCTAACGGTCAAGCATTATCGAGCCGCCAAGCCGTTCTTGCAGAAGAATGGTACGATAAAGCTTTATATCAGCGCGAAAACACCATCGCTGTGTAAAATGACGATTTTCTATTATTCTTTCTCTCTCTCTCTCTCTCTCATATCCTCTCACGATCCTTCGACAGAGAAAGAAGAGAAGCTGGATAACGTGGCCAATACGGAAGACGGATGGATATCGCCCAACAGACAAGGTGGCAGTCCTCGGTGCAGCCACAGTCGACAGAGCTCGAACGCATCTTCCACTTCGATGCAGTACAAGAGATGGGTGGACGTCATTACAGGTAACAAAACTCGTGTCCCGACAAATTTCAAATAAGCCAGCGAGAGCCAGCTTATTTCGTTTGCGAATAAGATATATTAAACTCAATTCTCAGTGCTGAAATATTATCAAATATTCTACGAGTTAAGCATTGTTTAACTCACGTGTCTTAATTGTTAGATTGTGTCGCACGACGAATTCTGGCTCATTTTATTTATTATTTCTTGTCGCTACGTCTCCGAAAGCTTGATAAGTCTTTTTCGTAACTCGTATTCGTCGTCCAGTGCAATTCATTAACGCTTTAACATTACGTTCCAGTCCCGCTGATGATGGCGTATGTGACGAGATATATATTCGGCACCGATAAGCTAAGGAGGAACGCATTCGAAGTGAGAGGTCTCAACGGCGCGCGTACAGGCGTGATACATTGCGATGACAGCGCTATTCTTAGCCAATGGTTAAAATATATAACCGATAATATTACAGGATTGACGCATTTACAGGTGACACCATTATTACGATCAATCGCATGACGTATCGTCAGGTCCTTGTCGAATTCTGCCGATGAATCCGTGATTCGATGAAGAATAGCGTTTTGTGAGTCAAATTTGCAATTGATTGCAGATGAAGCTGTACAATCGTAATTTCGGCGTTGGCGAGCGCATAGAATACATGGGCTGGGTGAACGAGGCAGTGAGCAACAGCAATCAGCCGTGGCAGAGTTACAGACCGAGATTCTTAGCGTTGAAAGGACCGGACCTGTTGCTATTCGAGACACCGCCGGTAAGAGTTGCGACTTTATCGCTTCGTTCTCAAGTCTCCTAAAGCTTTGTCAGCTCGTTCCGTTGTCCTAATGTCGTTCCTCGCTTTCAGTGCAATATAGGTGACTGGTCACGCTGCGCGTTAACCTTCAAGGTTTATCAGACGATGTTTCGCGTAATGCGGGAGTCGGAGAATGTGGACGAGAGGCAGCACTGCTTCCTGGCGCAGAGCCCGGGGAAACCGCCGCGTTACTTGAGCGTCGAGACCAGACAAGAACTGCTGCGGGTCGAAGCGGCCTGGCATACCGCTATATGTTCAGCTGTCACGTATCTAAAGGTGAACATGCAATCCGTGAAATTTATATAAAACAAAAATTTATTTTAAATTTATACAAAAAACAAAATTTCGACTTACTTCATATATAGAGTACAAGTTTTATCAAGCATTCCTGTGAGGAGAGGGTGAATTCTTCTTTTAAATACATATGTGATAATGAGTCTTTCTAAAATTTGTTTTGAATGCATTTTAAGGCTATTACAAAAAGAAATATTCTTTGTTGAAGATAATCTTTATTTAAAAGAAGGAAAGTAAATCGAGTATTCGCTTTTCTTATCTAATATTTTTCTTCATATTTAAAGTTTTGCTCTTTCTAACGTATTCCTTCTTCCGTTGTAGAGCAAAACCTTCCCAGTAACGTTCAACAGCAGAAGCGCCGGTCTAACGTTGGAATGGACTCAGGGTTTCACGTTGTCTTACGAGGGAATTGGAGAAATTGCGTGGCGCTACAAATTCTCCCAATTGAGAGGATCCAGTGACGACGGTAAGAGCAGGCTCAAATTGCACTTCCAAGAACCGGACAGCATCACTATCGAAACAAAGGTGAGGCTCACGTTTCCTGCGTGATACGATCGAGAGGTTACCGATTACCGGCGCTCTAACTTTTCTCCTTCACATATGTTCGACAGGAATTGGAGTGTTCCCAGTTGCAAAACTTGTTATTCTGCATGCATGCGTTTCTGACGGCGAAGGTGGCCGCGGTAGACCCTACATTTTTAACGTCGACCACTCCGTAAAGAGATGTAACATAGATATAATATTGAACGTTATTGCCGATGAATCACCAAGTGGATCAGATCTTGTGTTCTGTTGTCGTTGTACGGATATTAGATAGAACGTGTGCGCTAAAGAAACAAAAAACTGAGACAAGTCCGTCGCGTTCGGCGGAAGTGGAAAAGATGACAGAAACTAGTCAATACATCCAAAAGGTATTTTTATCGTTTACCTATGAAAATCACGCAAAGCGGTACTACTCTACTCATCCTACCAAGCCAATTTCACTAGTACGTATATGAATCTAACGGCTATCATAGTATTGTACGCATCTTAGGTAAGAATTCGCGCGCGGAAGTTTCCAGGGCAACGGCAGCGTACATCTGTGGACGATTGCCCGACAACAATGCGATTACGTTGTCTGTTCTTTTTTGCTATACATACATATTTTATCTTTTTTTGAATTTTTTTTCGAGAGACATAATCTCTCGTGTGTTTACGATTTTATACGCATTTAGTATGTAGCACACACTATAACGCCACACATGTGGTAGAGTATATTTCAGTGCGAAATATCCTTTTCGCAGATGTATATCTCTTGGTTTTTCGCGTCTTTGTTGATATATCTGTCGTATATCTGAGATTATAGAAATTTATAGAAAGACCAATGCGCCGGTTCATGATTTTTAAGTTACGATGGCGAATCGGTTCTATCTCTCTCCCTCTCTCTTTCTCTCTTTCTTTTTTAGTCATAAGAGATTATTTATATACTTAAGTATTGTATTGCATACCGTACATGTATATCAGGTGCCTTAAAAACCATGAACAAGGAGTAGCTAAATTAACGGAGGCATCAACATTTCCGTTTCTCGTGGCAGCGTGGAGAATCATTGCGCATCCATACGTAGAGTATCGATGGAGAAGAACCGTTGCAGTTCAGTAGAAACATTCTGATTTGCATCTTAAGGATACTTTGGAATGCGATTGGATTGGAGTAAAAATAAAAGAAACACAGTATTGATTCGTCCAATGCGATAAAACATTAAAGAGAAGTGGCAAGTTATACAGCCCTATAGCAGTAAAATTGTAATCTACAATTAGATGGCTCACACTCGGACGTAACTCGGATATCGAAATAGTTTGTTTATCGATACAGTATTATCGATGGGGGCAATAATAAGTTTTACAAATTACATAAGGGTGAACGTCATCAGTATCGAGCTAATTGCTGAAACACTCGTGATCGTTCGTGTACTTTCCCGTATATCAAGCGCGACTGCTTTTACTTACCGTTTAACTGGCAATTTGCGAAATTCGTTCGTACGGATGTAGTTTCGATTATAATTGCAACAAAATCTTGTGATGTACATGGAAAGTTTATTTAATATACAATGAATATTGAATCATGTCTCACGCATTTCAACAGGTCTATAGTGTGTCTTCAGAGAGTGTACCAATTATATCTTTCCAATCATTAGCTGTAGCGATTTAGAGTTAACACCTGTATATTGAGTATCTTATCGGTTTGCAATTAGATTTAAAGCAATAAATCCATAATGAACGAACAACTAGGAGAAATACACAGATAAGGCGGTAGTATTTAAACGTACGATAAGGAAACTGCGCATATACAGTAATAAGTATAAGGCAGAATGAATATCATTAACGATAGCATACGCGAGAAAGTTGCACGTTTTCCAATGTCAGCCTAACGTCACCCTCCCTCATGAACGTGTTGTGTCGCATAGATAACGCGAAACTAATTTTAACGTCGAGGAGACCGTATCGTGGCTTTTAATTTCCATCGTGTATCCTGAGAGTCTCCGGTTACTCGTAGAAAGTGCCTACAAAGTAACATAGAGAATGTAAAAAACAAAAAGAAGGAAATCCGCTTCTGTTATATTAAACAGCGTGGTCAAGTGGCGATTGTACTTTTCTAGTCTAAAGCGTGTCAGGGTGTTATGCGCGATATCACGGCCAAGATGTTTCATCATATCGCACGTTTCTCGCGACCGCGAGACCCTAAATTCTCATTCAATGAAAGAGAAGAAGAAGGAAAGGTAATACCGCCATTTTACGATGCACTCGTTGCCGTTTGAACATTGTATGAACAGCATGTATCGTGAGAAAATGTATCTCTGTCTGCGTATTTCTGAATTTCATTCACGAGATCATAGATATATCGTAGTAGTGTAATAAGAAATTAATCAATATATATATAAATATATATATCCGCTCTTAAACTTGAGTGCAGAGTATAATTCCAACGACGAGTTTGTTGAGCGTGCGTCTTCGTTAAGACAAGGTTGAAATTAATCAGAAAATAAGTTTCCATCATACGTTTGTACTGCCTCGATGTTTAATTCGTTGCGATTGCTTCATTTTCGATATTGAATGTTTTTTTCTTTTTTGTTTTACTTTTCATAACGCTCTCGTTGAGTATTTTCTGCACTCAAGATTAGGAGCTTATCAAGAACTGCACAATTATATTATATAGATAAGTTAGTTAAGAGAGTATGGAATGAAGCTGAGCAAACCCAAAGCGCAATTAAGTCTAGATCATTTATTGAAAGTGTAGACTGTTTTTTCTCTCTTTTTCTCTCTGCACAGCAGATTGTCGAGAGGTCTTAAGTATATGATATATTTTGTTAACGTTTAAAAAATTATTCGTTTATTTAATCGCGCGTTTTACATTTGTTAAATTAAGGACTTACAACATTCGATTTATTGCGTAATTAGAGTGCTTATGTGAATGTTATTATGTTAATTTATCGATATATATATATATATATATATTCACAATATGTTATATTAATTTACCAATATATGTATCTACAATATATATATACATTTCTCTTTTCTAAACAATTCGTCTGTACAACTCTCCGAATTCAGCTCATTCCATGAGTCATGCAATAGAATAGTTGTACATATAGTGCACTTGGGCTGCAAACTCGCTAAATATTTAACTGATTATTTTCGCTAAGCGTTCGCAACTCCACATCTCGTTCTCGTATATCATGTTCGGATTCGTTTGCGTTAAATTCATCCTTTTCTCTTCCTTCATATGATTCGTGCATATCAATACGGGATGGAAGAGCGAGCTCACGGCGCCGGCTAACATCAGCATCGGAATCTTATATTTCGAAATATAGTTTATCTGTTATAATGTCTATCCCCCATTGACAATATGTTCTAAAATATATCATTGTTAGAAGTTACAAATTTCGCGCGTCTCTCTCTCTCTCTCTCTCTCTCTCTCTCTCCCCCTCCCTCTCTCTGTCTCTTTAATATTACTTGCCCTTCTGCTTAATCGCTTGTACTTCTTCCTTTTACCGTATGCCCTATCCTTTCACGTGACACGCAAGTATCACTGCTTTGCACCTTTACAAATATCATGACGTAAGACTAAAGGTAGATCGAAACAACTCTGTATAAGTTTCATATAAAATATGAGGATTATTATTAGAACGTAGTTTATTATACACTAGTCTCGTCATTGTCTTTGAGTCATTGTCTAGTCTCGTCATTGTCTAGTCTCGTCATGTCTTCTATACATTCGGACGAATTATTCAGAGCCTTCACGACAGTCTCGAATAGTTGATCTTTATATGATGACATTAGTCTCGATCCATAATCATCGTACTCGACTCCCTGCTTCTCCAACGAATGCTGTACCATAAACCACATAAGGTCTCTAAATTTTAAGAGGGTATCAGCGGTTCTGAAAGACATCAATCATTTATGCAGGTTGACACACACATACAGCAGAAGAAAACGGACATAAGATATAATAGACACTCTCACCTTTTGTCGCAAGAAAAGTTGATAGTATGCTGTTTATTAATATCGATTTCCAGTTCTGTCCTGTCGTCTCGCTGAAATTCAACGTATATTATAATAATCGTACTACATTTTTCACTATGCGAAAACAGAGCTCAATCATAAAACCGTTTCAATTACCTTGTGACATTGAATTTTCTTCTGATTAAAAAGTAACACTGTCAGAGGTGACACCATGCTCGTCTCGCGAATCACCATGCGTTGCCTCATGTTACAGTGTTCACTGTAGAAATATGTCAAGTACGGGCTCGGCCAAGCCTTGCGCTTGTAATTGACACTATCCCCCGAAATGATGACTTTCATGCCTCTGTAAAGATGCGATTAGGTAACTTACAATTTAATACGGTACAAATGCACCTAGTGTTTGTACATATGTTACGTGTAATTCTTTTTACCGCACTCGCAACTCGTTTAAGCCTGTCCTCACAATTCCTTTCTTAAATCCTACATTCTTATGCTCGATCAACTGCTGCGTGGCAGCATACAGTATAGCTCGAACTAGCTCGTCGTTATTCTCGTACTTATTCGCAACATCGTCGGCGGCGTTGTAATTGTGCGTGTTATCACTGCTCAACAGGCGACACGTGATCATCTGTTGAACAAATAACTCCCGTAACGCTATAACAAATAGCGAATTTACTGTTTACGTAGACAGATTCGCATAGATGGAATGAAATATTTCCGTAGCTGAATTGTCCATATAAATCTTTATCCTACGAACTTTTGTAAAGTCTATAGGATCAACATATCGATACAATTTTTTTTATAGGAGGAAATATTTCCAAAGAAAAGGAATGGCTTAATCACAGTACCAAACAGTTACCAGACAACAGCTGATAAAAATGGAAGTTCGAGCATATTGATGCCACTTACAGGATAACACCTTCATTCTCTTATGTCGAAGATCCATTTCGGTACAGAAATTCTGTGCAAAACGCGATGTCACTGAATTGTGCGCGTACCACGTTTTGAAGATCCACGACATTGCAACGTGGTCGCTCGACGGGTGATACGTCGCTTTATTCGTCCTCATTTTGGACTTGTCGCTCAACATATCAGAGAAAAGAGTGTTTTCACCGGAGAAGATGCTGGTTATAGTTACAACAGGATGTATGCATCTATTGTGAAAATAAAAACAAATGTTGTTAAATGTTGTTAAAATGGAGAAGGCAATCGAAGGATGATTGGCGAGTACGCAGAGTGCAAAACGCATCGTTAATTAAACTCACTTGAAAATAGTGGAGTACACCAATGCTTTACTGAACTTGGGATGTGCCGAGAATATTATCATTCGTTTGCCCAGAGCTGTGAGATTTTCCTCGTTGTCCAGAGCTCCGAGTTCTATCAGATAGTTCACCCCTTTCTGTACTCTGCTCGGAGCAGGCGGTTCCAGAAAATCGCTAAAAAAGACCTCCGCCTTTTCGTTTATGTACGTTTTACTCTCGAGGATTATCTTTTCTAACGAACTAGACAATATCTGTGCAATCGGATACTTTTTTAAATCGTCGTATTTTGATCTTTTGATCAAATGATAACTAATACCTGATTGAACTCGGCCAGCTCTTCCTTTCCTGTGTGAGAATAAGCAAACGAATATCCACAATAATTAATTACTACTTTTTTTATAAGATTATTATGTGATATAGATAATTATCATGAGGCTATATATATATATATCTAATTATATATATATATATATATATATATATATATATGTGTTAAATAATATTGAATAAAAATATTATGATTTAACAATATTAAATAAGAATATAATGTTATAATGGTAATGTTATAACGGTAAGCACCTCTGTTTAATGTTCGCCTGGGTGATCCATTCGTTGCTCACACGCAGTAAATCTTGCGTATCGTCCCATCGTATCTCTCTTCGTATAGCGGTATCCACGACGTAACGCACGTCGGGTATGGTGATACCAGTTTCGGCGATATCCGTCGCCAAAATAATCTTGCGCGTGTCGTCGGCTACTTCCTGAAAAATCCTCCGTTGTATTTTGTGCGACTTCTTCGAATGAAGTGGCAAGAGCAATTGTTTATAACAAGAGATTGGGTCGTCCTCGAGCATTCTCTGCACTTGCGAAATTTCAGTCCATCCTGGTAGGAAACACAAGATAGTACCGCGCGGTTTGTTCGCGGAAATCCATTTTATTGTCTGTATTATTTTCACGTAATCGACCAAGATCGATTCCTTGTTGTCATTGACTTGACGCAAATACGGTTTGTACTTGTCGAAATCTGGCAGGTTTTCTATGTCCTCCAGAAAGTTCATTTCCACGGGATATAGTCTGCCGGGTACTTTGATGACGGGGCAATCAAAGTACTCTTGAAACAAATGTGAGTTTATGGTCGCCGACATGACCAGAATCTTCAAGTCGGGATTTAGATCGAGTGCTCTCTTCAGCAGAATCATCAACATGTCGGTGTCGATAGAACGTTCATGCGCTTCGTCCAAGATTACATGCGAGCATCCTTCTAAACCAGGAGAGCACTGCAACTTCTTCAGCAGTATACCCGTGGTGCAATAGACTATCCTGCCGAGCTCCTGCGGTGTTTGATTCTCCAGTCTCACTTGGTAACCAACGACATCTTTCAGGATCTCTCTTCTCTCATACGCAACACGATCTCCTAAAGAGATCGCCGAGATCCTACGCGGTTGCGACACCAAGATATTGCAATCGGTGGCGTTTCCATTACGCGTATAACTATCCAATATAAACTGAGGAACTTGGGTACTTTTGCCGCATCCTGTATCTCCTTCAATCAATAGAATTCGATTATTTTCTAACATGGAAAGAATCTTGTCCCTATAAAATAAGCGACACGTATACAGATTAGAATGCGGTTATTACACTGCAAGTTATACGAATGAAATAAATCAGCTTAAGCACTACCTAAATTCGAAGATCGGTAGATCACTATTCCGTACGCATCTCTCTGCCAATCTACTCTGCAATAGTCGGTTGCGATATTGAACTCTTTTCACATTTACGTCAGGATGTCCAAAAGCATTGTAGCCAGGCACAATTGTGCGCACGTTGTACGAAAAAGTAGGAGAATCGGCCGGGATTTTTATTTTCTGAATGTTACGAATAGGTATATTGATTATCAAATTATACAATAGATACATATAAATCTTTCAAATCGAAATGAAATGTTTATACACCAGAAAATTATAAATCAGCGACACAGGCAATTACCATTTTGTAAGTCTCAATCAAGTTTTCCATGCTATCCAAAATTTCAGGGGCAACTCTTAATTCGTAGCGCTTTAATAGCACATTCCTTATCTGTTCCTTACTGTATATAATCGGTACGCCGTTTTTTAACTTGCGATTTACTTCCAACCACTCTAAACATTTCAAAGCTGCAGTTTTGTCAGCTAATGACTTTGTCCTACTAACTGCTGTGAAAGACATGGTTTCTGGCCACTTGATATTATAAGTAAACTCCCATAATTGTGAAGTATGATTTTGCTTGTAACTTGAAGTTAAAAGTGTTTGATCATTTAGTTCTTGACACACCATCCTGTAAATTTCCAGCAAGGAATTTTTTGGTACTTGGTACAACCGTTTCAGTTCTGAAATTAGAATTAGAAACTTAGGAACACTCATCGCTAAACTAAATAAACTGACAAATAATTGAAGCAAAAAGGAATACTTGTAACTCAGAAAGTAACTGTTTTACACACGACTTATATGATCTATTCTTTCCTTCAATATATAACATTTAATAACAGTTCGTTAAAAAAATCAGGTGGAAATAACAAATATTTCACATAACTATCTTACAGGTGTTTCATCATCTTATGGCTTCTGATTGTTCTAGATCATGAAACATTTTTAGTCTTGAAAAAGATTCCATATACATACTTTTAGATATTAGAATATCATCCTTTAATATTTTATTGGATGTGAAACTATTAATATTTTCCTTATTATGTATATCATTGGGCAGATCATCGATATATTGCTGTTAATGAAAATTTTTGATGTGTTATATCTGATAATATAAATTTATTATTGTAATTGTTGATATATATTCCCTACCCCTTTTATGTTTCCTGATTTAGTATTTATATCTAAGTTATTTGTGTTTATCGTATCCTCATATTCAAAGTCTTTTACCTATGATATCAAAACAAATATTTTTATTTGAACAAAACTGTTTTCATTACATTTTATTTAGAAAAATATACTTTTAAACATACCTTATTTAAATGCTTATTTTCCTCTTTTATAGAAGTGCAGTATTGCATTGCACTATGTACATTCATGTCTTTAACATTTTTATACAAATATGGAATACAACATTGTTGTATACTACAAAAAGATATTTATTGTAAAATTATATTAAACAGTAGAAGAAATTTTATATTATAAGAATATGCAGGCCTACATACCATCTATATGTTGATCTGTGTTTAGCAAATACTAAAAATGTTCCTGACATTGTTGTGTATTCCTTGCAAATAAAATATATGGTACAAATATATATACGTATGATACCAGTTTCCTGAAAAAATAAATTCCAAAATATGTTAAGAATACTATATATATGTTCAATCTAAAAATATAAATAAAAATAGATGATAATACTATTTAAGTATTTTAATTGTTGATTAGGTTAAGTTAGATTAAATTAGATTCGAATATAACCTCTGTGTTTCGTGATTTACTTTCGGTTAAATCGGCACTCAACTAGAATTACAATACGAAATATGAATGGAACTTAATATTTGTAGCAATATTATACATTATAAACAAATGTTTGTTAATTTTGTTATTACACACGAAACTTGCAGAAGCTTGCACTAGACTTCTCTTTACAATCATACAATAGAAACGTAAAACAAGCGCTCTGTAATTTCTGTATTAGACAAATACTAGAAAATAAATACAAGAACAAATAAAGGATATATAAGGAATACAACTGGATATTTAATAATCATGCTAAAAACTAATTAATATGTGTTGTAACATCTAATTCATCACATTTAAATATAAGATTTTAGATGTAATTTTTACCCGATAGGCAATCTCACATTCTCACCACGATTATTTCAGGCTTGTTCCGAAATCGGTTTCAGAAATTTTGATTATAGTTATAAGATTAGTAGGATTTAGGCTGGTTTAGGCTGGCTCCCCATGGAACTTAAAATGCATATTTCTAACGTGCGTCAGCCAATCAATTGTCTCAGCTGTTATACGCAAATCATAACTGTGATGAATGATTGGCTGTCGTAAGTTACGCGTACGCATTTTACGCTCCATGGGGAGCCAACCTTAGACCGGGTCTACAATAGGTGTAGTAAGCTTTAAGCCTTAAGAAATTAACCAATCCTAGTTGAATTTTACAAGAATAATCGAATAAGGTTAGCCAATTTCTTAAGGCTTAAAGCTTACTGCACCTATTGTAGACCCGGCCTTAAACTAATGCCCGCTTCTACCAACTATAGTTAATGGCCGCGTTCAGTAGAACAAAGTGATCAGAGAGCGCTTAGTGATTATTGTCTGTGATTGGAGCATTCTTTTAGATTCTTCATAGACCCAGAAGTATTTACCAATCAGGAGCGAGATTCAGTGGAAAATCTAATAATGTTGTCCAACTGTTGAGTCTGCTGAATGCAGCCAATGTATAATCATCTGGTTATTTTTTTTAAATTGACCAATCACATTTGCGGTAAATATATAGAAAAGGGTATACCTCACCGATTTTTTTCATTTTGAAATATGTTATAAAGCAGAGAGAAACCTGAGAGCGATCATCAGCGAAGGTTCAGAAATTTTTATGAATTCGATACGCCCCCTGAGAAAATAAATGTCAATTATGTCGATGTCGCTCGGTAACGAGATGTGTTTGAGATAGTTTGGTTCATATCTGAGCTATTACACAGAATATAGTAAAAATTATATATATATATCATCAAGAGGAATCATCCCAGCAAACATAATAGGCCTGTTCGTTTTGTCTGCATTGCTGAACTGGTGCAACAAGTTGAAGTAAGAAAACCTACGTTTGTCTCACTTTAACTTAATGCACCAGTTCAGCAATGCAGACAAAACGAACAGACCTAATATTACATGTAACGTGCGTGTTAGTTGTAATTTCCTATTTAACAATAGAACTGTTATATAACACATGTGTTATATAATAGTTACCCAGACAGCACCGGACATCCAATGGATGTACGTTTCACGTCCAATTTATGTCCATATATCCGATTTACGTCCGTGGGCATAAATTGGACGTAACAAGGATGTTCTTATTGGATATCGGACCTGTAGGACGTCCTATGTTCAAAGTTATGACAAACATACGTCCTGTGGACGTCTTTTGTAAAAAATATGGACATATAACGGACGTCCAATGGACATTCGTGTGCTGTCTGGGAAGTTCATAGTCATATATTACGTCAACAAGGCAAAATATTGCTTCTTGTAAAATGGTATTCCACCTGACTCGTTGCAACTTCTGGTACGGCTGATGCTTTATTTTTATATTATAAATTTTTGACGGATTGCAAAATCTGGCTCTGTAGGGTCCTCAGAGATAGTTCAAGGAAGATACTATAACAGTTTGGCAATTATACGTATCGTCAACGGAGGCGATATTTTGCATCTCGTAAATAATTTTTCGAGTGATTCGTTGCGATGCTTGGTATGGCGGACGCTTCATTTATTTTTCATAAATTATGGGCGGCTGGATTGCAAAACCTGGCACTGTAGGGACTTCGATAATAGTTCAAGGAATATTTCATATCAATTTGGTGGTTCGTACCAGAGAGAAACGTGAGAGCGGCCAAAACGGTGTTTTCGACGACACCGACTTTCCGCACTGGGAAAGGGCGCCATCTGCATCCATTTTGAGAGGGGAACTACGATGCTACATCCACTTTCAAGTTTCGGTGGTAAAACCTGTATGTGGTGGCAGTCCGTGCTACATCCATTTTTAGGCGGTTTATGTCCGTGTTAGAACCATAATAGCGTACTTGACAATCACGGTCTCGCACATTGTTACGCGTTTATAACATGAATTAACACGTTAACATGTGCAAAAAAAGAATTGACATTGTGTATGATTAATATCAAGAAGATCATACGAAGTGTTCGATAATTAGCTGCCAACCCAAAATGTGAGGGTAGATTAGGTTCAGACAAACATAAAAGTCCTATATCATTTTGCGAGATTCGCAATAATTATCGAGTTATTAATGACAGAAATCTGAGGAGTAAAAGTACGCCGACATAGATGATTCGAAAAGCGTTGCAGCTGCTCGGGGCAGCGATCATGAATCTTTTCCCTAGCGTGACCTAATAAAAAGTGAAAGACTTCTGTGAATCAGTGAAAAATAACGCAGCAAACGATTTCCAAACGCCTACATGAGATGGGAAAGATCCAGAAAGAAGAAAAATGGGTGCCTAACCGCATGAACTCACTGAAACCAATAAAAATCAACGAGTGGCAGCGTGTCTTTCTCTCCTCAATAAGCAGCGCCGAAAGCAGCTTTCTTGTGGAAAATCGTTACGGGCGATGAGAAATGGATACTCTATGACAATCCGAAACGCAGAAAGTCATGGGTAAATCCCGGCGAATCATCAAAATCGCTTCGGAAAGAAGGTTCTTCTCTGCATTTGGTGGGATATCAAGGGCGTGCTTTATTATGAGTTGTTGGAACCGGGTTAAACCCGGCAGTTACTGCGGACTTTATTTTGGTGCCAGAACCAGGCCTGTATCTCTAACCGTTTAGGAGATATCGAAGATTAAAGTTTTCCATCCTTTCTCCGTTGATACCGTTGATATTCCGCTTCTACTGGGAGTAGAGAGTCGTCCATGTAGTCGAAAATGTAGGGTTTTGAGAGGGCATCATTTTGGTGCCAGACCCAGGCCTGTATCTCTAACCGTTTAGGAGATATCGAAGATTAAAGTTTTCCAACCTTTCTCCGTTGATACCGTTGATACTCCGCTTCTACTGGGAGTAGAGAGTCGTCCATGTTGTCGAAAATGTAGGGTTTTGAGAGGGTTTCATTTTGGTGCCAGACCCAGGCCTGTATCTCTAACCGTTTAGGAGATATCGAAGATTAAAGTTTTCCAACCTTTCTCCGTTAATATCTCCGCTTCTACTGGGAGTAGAGATTCGTCCATGTAGTCGAAAATGTAGGGTTTTGAGAGGACTTTATTTTGGTGCCAGACCCAGGCCTGTATCTCTAACCGTATAGGAGATATCGAAGATTAAATTTTTCCAACCTTTCTCCGTTGATATCTCCGCTTCTACTGGGAGTAGAGAGTCATCCAGGTAGTCGAAAATGTAGGGTTTTGAGAGGACTTTATTTTGGTGCCAGACCCAGGCCTGTATCTCTAACCATTTAGGAGATATCGAAGATTAAAGTTTTCCAACCTTTCTCCGTTGATATCTCCGCTTCTACTGGGAGTAGAGTCGTCAATGTAGTCGAAAATGTAGGGTTTTGAGAGGACTTTATTTTGGTGCCAGACCCAACGTCAATTAATCTGCTTGAGTCAATAATTGGAACGAAAACGCCCGTATACTGGCAAAGGAAATGTCCAGTGAAATTGTTGCATGACAACGCTAGGCCACACATTGCTTCCAATACAAAAGACACCATAATGAGTCTTGGCTGGGACGTCTTAGCACCCGGCGTATTCACCAAACATTGCTCCATTCGATTATCACTTGTTCCGGTCGATGCAACACGCCTTGTCCGACCATGCACTTCCAATCAGTGGATGAGATCCGAAAATGGCTTGACGACTTTATCGTGTCCAAAGACGTAATATTTTTCCTAGATGGAATTCATCAGTTGCTTGAAAAATGGCTTAAAGTTATAGAAAGCAACGGCGAATACTTTGATTGAACAATTTAATTTACTTTCTTTTAAAATAAACCTTGAATGTAGCTGAAGAAAATTGGATTATTCATTTGTACACCTAATATATCGTCCACGAGGCGCAATATCTCTTTTAATAAAATTGTATCGCGCGTGACTCTTTGCGACGCTTGATACTGCTGACGCTTTATTTGTTAATGATAAATTGTTGACTGCCTAATTTTTGACTCCCTAATTTCATAATCTGGCTCTGTAGGGACCACGGAAATAGTTCAAAGGATATTTTACAATAATTTGGCGGTTATGTATATCGTCCATGAGGCAGAATATCTTATGTTTTAAAGTGGTGGCTGGAAAGTATTCATACACATACACACGCCAATGCTAATGCACTGCTCTGCGACCATCCCTCGCGCCTAGCGGGGGACATACATATGATCGCGACGATCCGCCGGTCGCACCACGTCTTTTTCTAAACGTCGCTGAAAGAAATGTTGGGTGCCAGGCACATCTCTTGTACCCACGAACACCAAACTTAAAAGAGTTCGAGAACGGCGACGGGCCGTCTCAATCGCTTACGACACCGACAGCTTCGGTAATTTAAGTCGGAATGGTAGATAGTAGGTCTTTCTTTTTCGGGTCACAGGAAGGGACGACAAAGGGAAAAAAACAAAACACTTTATATGGCAAAAAAAATATTTCGGAAATATATTCACTAGATCGAATAAAATAGTTACGAACACACGGTTGCGTTCGAGACTTTTCCTGACGGGAATCGGTATCTCGCTCAAACGACCAACCCAAAACCGATGCACTCCCGATGGGGCTGCGAAGACGGTAACTATCGTTATCTTTAGATGATGTCCGCGATTTCGGCAATGGTCGACACCTGGTAACAGTCGAGAGAGAAAGAGAGATGTTCGCTTCTCCGCGCTCCACGGGAAGACCATCGGACGACTTCGGCAATTGACCACGGTACATCCAGTCACCTACGCGAATACCCGACAGCCGCCAACCGGTCCCGCCTCGTTACACAGTTCGCGAAGTAAAGAATGGTAATCTCCCCAATAGGGTGCTCTTACAATCACGCACGCTATGCGGTAGCCTCCTCCGTCGACGTCGCTCTCCTCCGCTCGCTCGCTTCCTCCGTCGCCTCGCTTCTGCCACTATTCTTCCTCTCGCTCGCTCTCTCTCTCCATATTTTCGTCTCCTTGCGATATCCGGTATCCGATAACTTCGGTACGCTCGCGGTACAATTTTTCGACAAATCGGTATGCTCGCTATACAAACTGGTCGGTATTTCTCAAGCTGCATCTTCGCATGGAGTAAGTTCGGGAGCTAGCCTAAGGGACGGCACCCAGCGTTCCGCTGCTTGTTCCATTTTTCCTTCTCCGATCACGCGGTCTTGGGATGTTGTTTCTGATTTTTCTTTCCTTCCCTCGAAAGGCTTCCGCGTAATCTTGGCTCCTTGTTATCGTGCACTGTCACCCTGTTTGTTTGTCTCCGCTATCAACAAAAGGTAAACAAATCGGCATCGGTGACGAGCGGAAAAATTCTTAAAACGATAGCTGCGGAAACAAGGACATCACTCGAGATATCCTCGCTATGGTCCCGGCCGCTCCCCAGTCCTCCACCAAGTCCTTCTCGGCCCGTCCTCTTCGGTCCTTTACTCCGGTTGGTCGGAAGCCATCCGCGGCGGTAAGGACACATAATCGAACGGGATGCGGGAGTACCCGGATAACCTCGTACTTCGATATACGAAATGTCTCACCAAAAATGTTTACAAATAAAAAAAAACACCTCGTGGTCGCGGGCGAGCGCGACCTCCCCTCGACCATCTCGAAGGCCTTTAGCCTCTTGTGACGAGCGGCTCAAAATCGTTATGTCACAACTCCCCCTCCTTGGGGAGGACCGAGGACGGTCTTTTCGACGAAGCCAGCTACCGAACACCTCTCTGTGACTCCTTGTTCCCCTTATCTCCATGCGTGAGGTAACAACCAAAACCCAAAAGTTTCGTTCTCCGGTCCCGATAGTTAAGGGATAATTCACTCACAACGTGAAGCGGGTGATATTCGACACCAAGGGGGAGCAGGTGGGAAGGCAAATGGGGAGGGAAAAGAAAACTCCCAACTCCTACCATTGTCTTGGTTTCCTTTATTTTATTTGAGGCCTTTATTTTACTTGTGGCCATTCTCGTTACAACGACAATACTGTTTCACACGGAGTACATACCGACAGAGCTATTGTCAAAACACAAAAGAAAATAAAAAAAAGAAGGAGGAGAAAAAACAACGAAAACGCGCCCTTTATAGGCTGGAGCGGTTGACGTGTCCGCGACCAGAGACGTGCGGTCTCTGGCTTTGCCTCTCCTCCTGACAGTAATCGCACCCTCTTATTATGTCTAAATCGTATAGAATGCAAGAGTCCGTCTCATGCGGGTATCTGCTGTATCGGCGGCGCAGCTCCAGCAGTTCCAGCAATGTTCTGAACGCAATGGACCTGAACTCAAATGGCTTCCCGACGGGAGGGACGCTCGGCGAGTCCCGGAGAAGTCTCGGCCGGTCCCGGCTCCCACCGGGACGTCGCGCCGCGATCCCGAACGATCGCAGCTCTATGCCCTCCAACTCTCTATCGTGCTAGCCGGCTCCGCCGATTCCCCCCCTCCTCTGATAATTGCCTTCGCGTCCCTCTCGCTCTGTCTGCATTACGTGCCGCTCCATTATGATCTTTAATTGATGGGCAAAGCAGACGTTCATGGTCTGCACATGTCGGTCGACTCCCTGACTGACATCCTGCTCCCTGGTCTCGAACGTCTGCGTGCCGTGTTCGTGCGTCGGCGAATAGTTCAGGACCATGGCCTCGCGGGCCTGCGTCTTCTTGTGAGAAGTATGCATGAATTTCAATAAATTGATCCAAAATTCAGGATATTTCCGTTTGATCAGCTTGATGTTCTCCTGGTTTTCTTGCTCAAATTCTTTCCAATGCTTGAGGGTCTGCGACATCGTAGCGTACGAATTTCGCAGCAATTTCTGACAGCTTCTCTCAACCTGAACGATATAAAGAGATATCGGTCATACGGGTCTAAACCTCCAGTTCGCCCCGGCCGGCATATGACCGGTTCCCGTCACCACGGTCACTTCACATACTAAAGTCGACAACACGAACATGCACTAATATTCACTAACTATAGCCATTCTTTACTTTTCGGGCTCGGATGCAACGTACGGTTTTAGATTCTGTACGTAGATCTTGTCTACCGGACTCCCGTCTAATTTCTCTAATTCGTATATCACGGAGGATCATATCCTCGCAATCTTAAACGGACCGTGAAATTTCGGGACGAGTTTCGTAGTGATATTCTGCGCAGCCGACGACAGCACGTGTTGTCTTTTCAACACTAGCTCTCCTACTCGGAAAGTTCGTTATCGTCTTCTCAAGTTATAATTATGAGCCTGTTTTTTATATGCCTACTCGAGATTTTATCTCACCCTCTCGTGAATCGGCACTAAGTTCCGCATTCTTTCGGACCATTGAGGGTGGGTCGCTCGATTCCACGTCTGTTTTCCCCTCCGCTCGACGCTTCAGCGATTTAGCCGGCTCTAACTCGCGACCGAGATTCAGAAACGCCGGCGATGTTCCGATAGACGAATGACGCGCGGTATTATATGCGAAACAGAAATCCTTCAGCCGCGCATCCCAATCCCGGTGATCCCGCTCGAGGAAAGCGACGATCATCGTTTTTAAAATCCGATTCACCCGTTCTACCGGATTGGCCTGAGGGTGATAAGGCGGTACCGTGGAATGCTCGATTCCATTTTTCCGAGCGAAAGCTTCGATAATCTTATTAATGAACTTGGTACCGTTGTTGGTAATTAGAACGCGCGGAGTTCCCCAGCGCGAAATCACCAAGTCGACGAGAGCTTCCTCAATGAGCTTACCGTTCGCGGAGCGCAGGGCTCGGTACTTCACCCATTTCGACATTAAGTCTTGAATTACTAATAAATAGAAGTAATAAATAGAAATAACTGGCCCGGCTCCGCGGCAACGAACCCATGATATCCTCAGCTATGACGGGCCACGGTATTCGACGGTTCCTCATTCTATAAAACCGGCGGGCGTGCGTTGCTCGACTTTCGTCCTTTGGCAAACATCGCATTTTCCCACATGCTCGGCGACCTCTCGGAACATATTCGGTCAATAATATTTCACGGCGGCTCGATAGTAACTTTTTTCGATACTCAAATGACCGGCCTGAGCGAAATCATGCGCTTCTTCGATAGCTTCGCGGTGCAATTCCCTCGGTAACACGAGTTTCCACCGGTCCAGATCTTCTACTAATTCTGATATGATTTTTCCCGGTCGCAAAATATATAAATTGTCGTCGACTATTTTTCATGTCGGGTATCGTTTCGGATCTTTCGCTACTTCTTTAAAGCATCGGAGATACCATCGATTTTCGCTTTTTTTTGACAACAAATCAATCACGGCGGCCGAAGGAGGAATCTCAGCTTCTCTGTTTGTTTAAGTCTGTTTGTTTAACTTTGTTTGTGTCGGGACAAAGCGTCGGGAAATGCAGTGCGCCTTTCCGATGTACGATTTCATAATCGTACTCTAATAATTCTAAAGCCCATCGAGCCAACCTACCCGTGGGGTTACTCAAATTATGTAACCAGCGCAGGCTACTATGATCGGTGATTACCGTAAACCGATATCCCTCCAAATACGGTGAAACTTTTTGATCGCCCATATGACAGCCAAACACTCTTGCTCAGTCATGCTGCGTATTTTCGTTCAGTGTCTTCGAGAGCTCTACTCGCGTACACTATCACCCGTTCGATATCTTCGATCTTTTGTGTCAACACGACCCCCAAGCCCACCGTGCTCGCGTCCGTTTGTAGCACGAACGGTATCTCGAAATTAGGACACAACAGCACCGGGGTGATCGATCATATTTCTCTAATTATTTCAAAAGCGACCTTCTGTTCGTTCCCCCAGGTCCATTTTGATTTTTCCGGAGGAGTCTCGTTAACGGCTCGCTCACGATAGCGTACTGCGATAAAAATCTGCGATACCACGACTCCATTTCCAAATAATGTCGTAATTGTTTGATATTATTTGGCGTCGAGTATTCGAGGATGGGCTTTCTCGACTTACTTTCTCGACATCGACCTTGAGTCCGTCGTTATTCATTAAAAACCCGAGATACCGAACTTCCAAACGACAAAATTCACATTTTTCCGGATTGATAGCGAGTCCGGCTGCTCGAATCTTTTCGAGAACGCGCGACAGCCATTTGAGATGTTCGTTGAAAGCAGCGGTCACGATTACTATATTGTCCAAATAGGCGAATACGTGAGGTTCCATTGCGGGCCCAATCAATTTATCTAGTAGCCGTTGGAAAGTGGCTGGCGCTCCCGTTAAACCGTACGACATACACGTGAAGTGATAGTGGCCATTACCCGGGACCGAAAAAGCGGTAATTTCCCGACTATCGGTAGCGAGGGGAATCTGATAGTATGCCTGGTTCAGATCTATCGTGGATATATATCGAGCGGCTCGTAATTTATCCAGGATGCTCGTCATGTTTGGCAACGGATATGCATCTTTCTTTGAGACTGTATTCACTTTCCGGAAACAATCTAATCAAAAACGATAGCTCCCATTTGGTTTCTTAACCATTACGATGGGGTTCACCCAATCACTAAACGAAGGCTCAATAACTCCGGCAGCTAACATTTTATCAACTTCATCGCGAATTGCTTCTTGTACTTTAGGCGACACCAAATAGCAACGTTATCGTATGGACGTAGTCTCTCCGACATCGATCTTATGTTTAGTTAAGAGACATGACGCCCGGACTCGCGACCACGGTCGGTAGTAAATTTGTTAAAAACGTGTCCAATCCGCTTCGTTCCTCACGCAATAACTCCTGAATTCCGTGACACGCTTCTTTCGGCCTACTATTAATAATAAACGGGTACTTCGAGGTCGAATCGTTGGCAAAACTCCAGTCTCTTGCCGTGAAATCAATGATTATTCCGAATGAGCACAAAAAATCGATCCCCAATATTGCGGGCACGACGAGGCTCGGTAACAGCACGACTTTAAGCTTTTTCTGCGCTCCTCGGAGTTTGAATTCGACAGCTACCGTTTCGTTTATTTCAGTGACCTTTCCGTCGGTCAGCCGAAGTCGAGAGATTTCGTCCCTTACGATCGATAATCCCAGCTTCTAAAGATCATTCTACAATACGTGTCGTAAGTAGTAAGCCGTAAGAACTGACCAATTATAGCCGATTATTTTTGTAATAATCGACTGTGATTCGCCAATTCTTACGGCTTACAACTTACGACACGTATCGTAGAATGACCTTTAATAATTTCTCCGTCTTTCCCGTCCCAATATTGTCCGATTTGATCCCGTGTCGACTAAGACGAGTAGTAAGTATTGACCGATAACGACCTCCAAATATCGCAAAAGCACGCTGAGATCACAGTCATAAGTGCCGTGCGACGCGAATTCGCGTTCCTCGCACGGCCCGAGGGCCTCCAGGACAGAAGAAACCGTAGCGACCCGCTCTACGGTTTCCGTCGTCCATTTCCCGAACACGACGAATACGTACGCACGGCTTTTTCCGTCCGCATCGGTAACAATGGACCTGCAGCGGGCCGCGACATTCTCTCGCGAAATGTCCCTGCCCGTCGCAGTTCCAACACTTCGCGACAGCTGCATCCCCCGACGATCCCGCCTTCGCGATAACGCCCGATCGATCAGGATTCGGATGTTCGTGACTTTTCCTCCCCCCGCGCCCCCGCGCGGGCAGAACGCTCCTGGGCCGGGAGGGTGAAACGGCGGGACGCGCATTCGCTTCTCCCCGAGCCGGCTCCTGTCGCGGCGACAGATCCGGCAACCCCACGGCCGCTGCGAACCCCGTCAGTGATGTCAGATGAAATATATTGCTACGCTACAGCGCATGCGTGAGATGATGTAGAGCTCGCTGCTTGAGTAAAAGCCTCAGTATCGTATCTTTTTTAAAGTATTATATAGCGCCCGCTATTATTATGCTATGCGTTGAGAATGGCAATCGAGTAAATTAGATAATCCAAATCGTGGTTATTTTAATTGGTCCGATAGTAATTCTCAATCTACATTACAATTTTTCATTTAACAATGTCATTGTTACACAACACAAGTATTGTGTAACAGTTACATAGTTGAGTGAGAAATTATAATGTTAATGTAACGTAACTGTTACTTAGTATCCACTGGACAACATAATCTGGGATAAGGCACTCGAGCAAGAAATGCGGGAAAACTACGCGGGAAGGCAGCTGATCGGATAGCGCGGGCCCCTCCGTGGATCCTGCGATACGCTTTATTGCTGTCATTGGCATATGCTTTCGTAGAACTCCTACGTCTTCTCACGCATGCGCTGTAGCATCGCAATATATTTCACTGACATCACTGAACCCCGGCGGTCGATATGCTAAATCAGGGCACACCGAATGCCCCGGGGAGGGTGGTGCGCTGTATTGACCAGCCGCGATATAGCTGCGTTCCACCCGGGTGGCATTCGTCCCGGTGAATCGCGATTTGTAAGCGCGGCAGCATATTCCGATGGGCGTAGTTTAATTGTTCGGTAATAGACTACGGTGGATTGAGTCTTCCGGACAATGCCAACAAACACGTTAAATAATCGACTACCTACTCGTGCTCTCCCTGCGTACGGCGCATTATTTCATTGCGCAACGCGAACTGAAAATCGGGATCACCAAATCGAGCGCGCTACGCATCCTCAAACTCGCTTCACGACAGTCACTGCGATCTTTTGGCGCGATACCAATGCAAAGCGATATGCCGGTCAAAAAGAAAGGCAGGTATTGAAATAAATCCTCGTCCGCTACCGGGACTAATACCCGTATTCATAGTCAGGCCTTATATTTGAGATCTCCTTATATCCATCTTTAGATGCTGCACGGATTATTTCATTGGCTACAGACAATTTGAAGATAAACTTAAGGAAACCTTAAATATAAGGCCTGACTATGAATACGGGTGTAATTCTCGCCCCTCTTCGATACGTATCAAGAAGGCCTCCGCATCGCTACCTCGCGCCCCGGAAAAACTGAGACTCCACCGACGCATGACGTTGTACACCTCGTTAGTCGGCAGCGTAGCGCGGCTCCGCGCACGAGGCTCGAACACCCGCGGTTGGTGGCATCCCAAACGCATTTCCCTCCGGGGGGGCCGTCTCTTCACACGAGGTCAAAACGCGATACCTCCGGTAGCGGTAGCGTCCTACTCGGGGGTTCATTCGGTATTACTGGCTTTATCATTGGTAAATTTCGCGCCCCCTCGCTTTCGAAACCTAAGGTTCCCTCCGGCTTATTCGCATCGAATTGTATCGCCTTTAGCGCCGGGGAGGGAGGTAGTCTTTCGCCGCCCTCCGCTGCAGCTCGCACTGCCTGCTCGTAACGCAGCAAGCGCGTGCGAATCTGTTGCGCGGTGCCCTTGCTGTCTAATCCGCGAACTTGTGCTTGCTTGCGCAATTGCTCTAATGTTAACTCGTATAGCCACGCGTCCAATCTAACCGTCTCCGGCATCTCCGAACTCTCGTCGCGTCAGCTGTTTTCACGACGACAACAAATTCTCTTTAAATGGCTTTACCCAAAGTATACGGTACGAGCCTCTCGAAGACCAATAACAAGCGTAAACGCGCACGAGCTTAACAAAGCGCGTCGCTCGATCGATATACAGACGACACGAGACAGAACAACAACCTCGCACTAACAAAAAGAACAATAGCTCGGCGAGGCTCTTTTCTCTCTTTCTCTCCGAGACAACGATGGGAGGAGAAAAAACTTTCTCGCGTTCGCTCTCGGTGAGTGTCTCTATAATCTTTGGCCAACGAAGAAAAAGAAAGTTGTTGACGGAGTGATCCTCCGCCGGGCGTTCACCGACGAGTATAGCTTTTCTCAATAAGCCAAGGAAGGTATTTCACCGAAATTTTCCCGAGGTTCTTTCCAATTTCATTTATTACAACGCTAACGGACTAAAGGGCCCCACGTTGGGCATCAAAATTTGCGACCGCCCCTCACGCCTAGCGGCCGGGCAAATGGTCGCGGCGATCCACCGGTCGCATCGCATCTTTCTCTAAACGTCACTAAAAGAAATGTTGGACGCCAGGCACGTCTCTCGTGCCCACGAACACCAAACTCAAAAGAGATCAATAACGACGACGGGGCGACTCGATCGCTTACGAAACCGACAGCTCCGGTAATTTACACGTACATTTGTAAGTCGGAGTGGTAGGGAGTGGGTCCTTCTTTTTCGGGTCACGGAAAGGGACGACAAAAGGCAAAAAAATAAAACACTTTAAATAAAAAAATATTTCGGAAATATATTCACTAGATCGAATAAAGCAGTTATGGACACGCGGTAGCGTTCGAGACTTTCCCTGACGGGAATCGGTATCTCGCTCAAACGACCAACCCAAAACCGATAGACTCCCGACGGGACTGCGAAGACGGCAACTATCATTATCTTTAGATGATGTCCGCGATCTCGACAACGATCGACACCCGGTAGCAGTCGAGAGAGAGAGAGAGAGAGAGAGAGAGAGAGAGAGAGAGAGAGAGAAAGAGAGAGAGAGAGAGAGAGAGAGAGATGTTCGCTTCTTCGCGCTCCGCGGGAAGACCGCCGGACGACATCGGTAATTAACCACGTTACATCCAGTCCCCTACGCGAATACCCGACAACCGCCGACCGGTCCCGCCACGTTACACAGTTTGCGAAATACAGAATGGTAATTCCAAAAGAGTGCCCTTACAATCACGCTCGCCGTGCGGTAGCCTTCTCCGTCGACGTCACGCTCCTCCGCTCGCTTTCTCGCCTCGCTCCTGCCGCTATTCTTCCTCTCGCTCGCTCTCTCTCTTCACGTTTTCGTGTCCTCGTGTCCTCGATATCCGGTATTCGATAGCTTCGGTACGTTTGCGGTACGCTTGCGGTACGTTTGCGGTACCGACCGTTCCGCTCCTTATCCCGTTTTTTTTCCTTCTCCGATCACGCGGTTTTGGGATGTTGCTTCTAATTTTTCTTTCTTTCCCTGGAGAGGCTTCCGCGTGATGTTGGCTCCTTGTTGTCGTGCACCTTGTTTGTCTCCGCTATCAACAAAAAGTAGACAAATTGGTATCAGCGCGGTGACGAGCGGAAAAATTCTTGAAACGATAGCTGCGGAAACAAGGACATCACCTGAGGTATCCTCGCTCACTATGACCGAGGATCCCGGCCACTCCCTAGTCCTCCAGCCAGTGATGCTAGATGCAATATATTGCGACGCTACAACGCATGCGTGAGAAGACGTAGGTTCTACGAAAACATATGCCAATGACGGCAATAAAGCGTATCGCATGGTCCACGGAGGGACCCGCGCTATCTGAACAGCTGCCTTCCTGCGTGGTTTTCCTGCGTTTCTTGCGCGAGTGCCTTATCCCAGGTTATGTTGTCCAGTGGATACTAAGTAACAATTACGTTACATTAACATTATAATTTCTCACTCGACTATGTAACTGTTACATAATACTTGTGTTATGTAACAATGACATTATTAAGTGAAAAATTGTAATGTAGATTGAGAATTACTATCGGACCAATTAAAATAACCACGATTTAGATTATCTAATTTACTCGATTGCAGTTCTCAATACATAATATAATACGGGCGCTATAATACCTTAAAAAAGATACGATACTGAGGCTTTTTACTCAGGCAGCGAGCTTTACATCCTCTCACGCATGCGCTATAGCGTCGCAATATATTGCATCTAGCATCACTGTCTCCACCAAATCCTCCTCAGTTCGTCCTTTTCGATCCTTTGCTCCGGTTGGTCGGAAGCCATCCATGGCGGTAGGGACATATAATCGAACGGGTCCCGGGAGCACCCGGGTAACCTCGTACTTTGATATACGAGGTGTCTCGCCAAAACTGTTTACTAATAAAAAAACAATAAAAGCGCGCAACTCGTCTCGTGGTCGCGGGCGGGCGCGACCTTCTCTCGACCTTCTCGAAGGTCTTTAGCCTCTTGTGACAAGCGACTCAAAATCACTATGTCACAGCTCATATATACGCTAATACTAATGCGTGTTAAACCATGATTTGAACACAGAAAATAAAACACTACTAATAAACATAAAATAAAGAATTAGTATTTTCATAGAAATCCACCTATGCCTGAAATCTATCCTTTCAGTTTTATTTTCGTACAGAAGATCCTGTCATTTTTTTATTCGATTGTGTAAAAATATTAATAAAGATCTTTAAATGTTAACAGTTTTTATGAAGTTATCGAGCTACATTATTTAAACAAAAGAAAAGGGTACATTATTTAAATAAAATTGAATTGATTATACCACAATTATTAAATACTAAAAATATACAGAAACAAATAGATAGCTTAAAATTTTCTTTTTAAGTTGTATTTATCACATTTTTAATAAAAACTACTTTCCAATGTAAAAGTTTAGCTGAAAACTCACACTCAGATCAAGTGATCCTATTTCTTATTTAATTAAATAATCTTCGTAAAAAATACTATAATTTTAATATGACCAAAAAATAGAGACTCCATGCTTTAAAATGTTTTTTGAACCATCTTGATACCATAATTATTGTCGAAGTTACAGTCTATTAAATTTCACTTATTTCTCAGGATGTACAGGGTGTCCCATTTTAAAGGACCTACTCAAATATCTCAGAAACTCTGCGTTAAATCGAAAATGCTTAAGACAAAAGTTGTTTAGCTTGAAGGGGGACATAGGATAGAGCGATAGCATTTTGTTTATAGATGGCGCCGCTTTCGAGATATTCACTGATTATCAATTTTCTTAAATGGAAATCCAAGCTTTTTATTATTAAACATTGCACATTGCAGTGCAATATTGCAGAGATATTGCAAAAACAATATTTTGCATTATTATATTTGCAATGTTGTAGCAACATTTCAAATTGCGGTTATTATTAAAAAATTATACAAGATATTGCTAAATAGAAGAGCACTTTTTCGTCCCTCTCGCTTAGCTCTACACCCCTATGGAGTTGATATGTTACAGTTATGGGACACTTTATATATTGCTCTAATTCTCATATTTAATCACCAATTATATTTAATCACCACGATTTAGTTTTACAATGATTTAGTTTCATATCCCAAACTTAGACGTCTTATTAATTCAAGAATAGTTACCGCAAGTCTTTAAGACCTGTATTATTCCAAACAACAAGGTGACATCTTACTGACGTTCTATTGAGTCAATAAAACGGCGTCTTTTTAAGATATCATTTTATTCTTTGAAATATTACAGATCCTGGGAACTTTCTGTGACTATTCTTGGTTGATGTCAGAAATGAAAACAATGGTATATTAATCTTTTTTTTTCATGTACGTTAAAATAAGAGATTTCCATAAAACGACGATTTATAAAAACGATCATAAAATTATGATCGATTTTATAAATTTGTAAAATGTTCTGAACACTTTTCTTTTGCTGTATGATAATCATTCACTGTAAATAATTAGTGAAATTTATACAAATGTTGAGTTGAACATATTATCTCTCATGATTATTGTTACAGAATTTTTATGGAAAATTATTGATTGTCACAACAAGAGGAAAGTGTGTCCAGAATATTTTATAAATTTGTTAGATCGATCACAAATATCATTCTCTGAAATGTGTCTATATAACAAAAACAATTTTTGGCATACGATATTTCGCTTCTGCCGTCATTAAATAAAAATTTTCCAGGAGATTCTCAATATATACGGGATGTCCCATTTTGAAGGACCTACTCAAATATCTCAAAAATATTGCGTTAAACTAAAAAATGTTTCAGACAAAAGTTATTTGGCTTGAAGGGAGACATAAGACAGCGATAGCATTTTGTTTATAGATGGCGTTACTTTCGAGATATTCACTGATCATCAATTTTCTTAAATGGAAATCCCAATTTCTTATTATATCATCTTTTTCTACCAACTAATTTGAACAACTTTTGTCTGAAACATTTTCTTATTTGCTTAATATTTTTTGAGATATTTAAGGAAAACTTGGTAACATTTTCACCATTTAACTTACGATATCTCGCTAGCTATTCGTCGAAAGAAAAAATAGTATTAGACTTTTTTACTTTATTTACTATCAAGAATATATTACTATAATAGTACCCTAACTTTTGTTGTAATTTAATAATTTTAAAATTTCCAAAGGTCGATAAGTTAACAAAAGTTAGGGCACTATTATAGTAATATGTTCTTGATAGTAAATAAAATAAAAAAGTAATACTATTTTTTTTTCGACGAACAGTTAGCGAGATATCGTAAGTTAAATAGTGAAAAAGTTACCAAGTTTTCCTTAAATATCTCAAAAACTATCAAGCAAATAAAAAAATGTTTCAGACAAAAGTTGTTCAAATTAATTGGTAAAAAAAGATAATATAATAAAAGGTTGGGATTTATATTTAAGAAAATTGATTATTAGTGAATATCTCGAACGTGGTGCCATCTATAAACAAAATGCTATTACTGTCTTATGTCCTCCTTCAAGCCAAACAACGTTTGTTGGAAATATTTTTCGATTTAACGCAGTGTTTTTGAAATATTTGAGTGGCTCCTTTAAAATGGGACACCCTGTATATACATATACACACATATATATATATATATATGTGTGTATATCTATATATATATAAAGCATTATTGCATACAAATTATATTACAAATGTTGCTGCAATGTTACACTGCAATGTTACTGCAATATTTCATTACAATATTGCTGCAAGCGGACATTTTATCTTTGCTGCAAGATTGCAGCAACATTGCAGTAACATTTCGCATCGTTTCTGCAATGTTGCAATATTGCAAAACAACGGTGCTGCAATGTTGCTGCAACGGTGTTGTGCTGTATGGGTTTAAACAACTTTCGTCTGAAACATTTTTTTATTTGCTTAATATATTTTGAGATATTTAAGGAAAACTTGGTAACTTTTCCAACATTTACTTTACGATATCTCACTAACTATTCGTCGAAAGAAAAAATAGTATTAGACTTTTTTATTTTATTTACTATCAAGAATATATTACTATAATAGTGCCCTAACTTTTATTAACTTATTGACCTATGGAAATTTCAAAATTATTAAATTGATAAAAGTTAGGGCACTATTATAGTGGTATATTCTTGATAGTAAATAAAGTAAAAAAGTCTAATACTATTTTTTCTTTCGACGAATAGTTATCGTAAGGTAAATGTTGGAAAAGTTACCAAGTTTTCCTTAAATATCTCGAAATATATCAAGCAAATAAGAAAGTATTTTAAACAAAAGTTGTTCAAATTAATTGGTAGAAAAAGTTGATATAATAAAAAATTTGGATTTCCATTTAAGAAAATTTATAATCAGTAAATATCTCTAAATGAAGCCATCTATAAACAAAATATTATCGCTGTCCTATGTCTCCCTTCAAGCTACTTTTGTCTTAAGCATTTTTCGATTTAACGCAATGTTTCTGAGATATTTAAGTGAATCCTTTAAAATGGGACACCCTGTATAATAGAAATTCGGCTGACTTGTAATTGAGTAATATTACTAGGGGAAGATGTCTGACCCATTATTGAGTTGCATCACGACCTCGTTTTTTTTTTTATTGAAATAAAGGTTGTACAAAAAGGTGTACTAGATTTAGGTACAAAGCCTATCTAACCCTTACAAAATACGAACACTGTACAGTGCTTCTCGTCACGTTATCACGACCTCGAATCTTCGTAATAGTAAGTGGCGGCTTGTAGCGGAAGTTTGGAAAATAATATTCACAATAACGGGTCTAAGATATTATTAGACCCGTTATTTCTGAACATTAGTTCTCAAATTTTCGCTATGAGCCGCCACTTGATACATATAGTGGGTCCACGACATTAGACCCCTATTCCTCGATGCAAATAGCGGATCAATGGCCGATATTCATGCCAATAAAATAATTTGTACAGCATCTGAAGATGAACTTAAAACGGCTTCAAATATAAGATTCGTTTATAAATACTGGCTTAAGAAATTATTAGACCCGTTATTTCTAACATTGGGTGTATTCAGTGGTTGCGTTCAGAAAACAAAGCGCTCACTGAGCGCTTAGTAACTATTGGTCCTTACTGTTAGATCTCTACATTCAGACTAATAACGTTGACGAATTATTCAACCGTTGTGTAACCGTTGTGTTTTCTGAACGTAGCCATTAGTTCCGAGATCTCCGCTATGAACCGCCACTTAACATTAGAAAGATGCGAGGTCGTGATGCAACTCAATAATAGATCAGCCAGACTTCTCCTCCAGTAGTACTAATCAATAACATGTCAGGCTATATAATTATTAAATTATTACTCTAATAATTCTTTAAATACTTCTATAGGTTATTAGGATTATTAAGGATTTATGTAACTGTTAGTTGCTTAAGATTTAAAACATTAGAAGATAAAACGATATTTTAACAAAAAAGATCGAATATCGATTCTCGCTTATATGTGAGAACAGGATTGAGAAGGGGATGTGATTGCCGGTATATGTGAGTTACCTGTTGTTAAATAACAACTTTAGCAGCATCATGAAGCTAGTAAGGTGTGTAAAATGTATTTAGAAGCTATTTATTTATAAAGGACTTTACAGAATAAATAGATTTTTTCGTACGTAACGATTTATTTGCAGAATACTAATGACGCTCACAGCATAACCTAATTTGTGATGAAAGGGCGCGCTGATATTTCACATGCTAAAAATGTAATTATTTCCCAACAAACTTATATCATACTTCATTTGCAGATTTTTGATGAAACTCAGTCACGAAACTGTGACGATAGAATTAAAAAATGGCACTCAAGTCAATGGCACGATTACAGGTATATTTATTTAATCTAACATAACCTAGTATTTCTTAGAATTTATAAATTATAATATAAAAGTATTAATAATTTACAGTATTTATTACGTATGAAGAAAAGTGGATTGTAACATTACTAATCTTTACAATTGTAGATAATTAAGAAGTAAGAGTTGTTTATATTTTATTACTTTATCGCAGGTGTGGATGTAGCAATGAATACACATTTGAAAACAGTAAAAATGACAATAAAGAATCGTGATCCTGTACAATTGGAGACATTGAGTTTGCGAGGAAATAACATAAGGTATTACATCCTACCTGACTCCCTACCTTTGGAAACCTTGCTGATAGACGATACACCAAAAGCCAAGGCTAAAAAGAAAGAAGCCGCAAGAGGTATATAGTGGAATGATACTTTGACTTATAAAGCTGAGGGAAAATTTAAAGCAATATTCTTTTTAATCATTAATTGTATTATTTAACTGCAGGAGCTGCCCGTGGCCGAGGACGTGGTGCTAGGGGTGGCAGAGGCGGCAGAGGTGGTCGTGGTAGAGGAAGAGGCAGGCGATAGTGATGCCATGTGTACTTTCTGCAAATCTTCAAAATACAAATTTTTCTACTCATCAAATGGATGATTTATATTCTACTAATTTAATAAGGATGTAAATTTACAAGGAATTGCTCTAATGTGGAAGATAGCTGCCTTGGCAGTATAAGTTTCACAAATGCGGCGTCAAAATCTTTTTCTGATCAAGTGAAGGTGTGGCATCTACTGATAAAGGCATTCTGATATTTTTAATTTTGTGTTATCATTCATTTGATTCTAATATGCATTCCGGAAAGAAAGGAGAAAAAAAATTAATAGGGATATTTATGAATGAGTTTCTGCACAATAACAATATGTATTTTTCTATCGTTTCTGATGCGTTACAATATATATTTTTTTCTTTTAGGATGCGATCGGTGTTGATTGAAATTTAAAGCGAAATGTAAAGCATGTTTAATGTTGATAGAAATGTTAAGTAACATAAGTTCTTATGAGAGGAGAACGAGATTACAAATTAATTAAATATCTAGATGCGACGTGATCGTATCGAAGTATTAGTACAAATTACATGTATTCTGCAGCGACGTTATCATAAGACGAATGTGCGATTCAACGATAGCTATTCTGGAATTTGAGTGTCTGCATCGCGCGAGTCGCAAGAATTTTCTGATTAAAGAAAAAATCACAAGTAGAAAAATACAAAGGTGTAATATTGAACAGAGCGCAGTCGATGTTCTTCATTGGTTACCGCGGTTCAAATTCGCATTTGTTGCCACGTGGCGAACTTCAACGCAGTATTACACACATAGTATCCATAGTTCGTGCATTCGTCCAATCGTCTCTGTCAGCGCTTACGCTGACAGGCTAAGCCGACCGTCGTGACAATGTAATTCACACGTCCGTCACATCGCGACGATCCGTCTCAAAATGTTCGCGTGTGATTATGTGGAGGTCATCAAAGAGGCTGATCGTCAGTTGCGTACAATTTGTCTTTAGATGCGGTCGTAACCTCGAGGCGGAAGATTTGGATGACGTGTCGGATTACGATGTTCAGGACGTTCCTGGTAATACAACGACGACGTTCGTCTCTTTGCGGTCTCGTGCAAACGCGTTCTCCTGCGAGCGTAACGCAGCGATATCACGCGAGAAGCGGTGCGCGTCGCGCTTTAGAGCGAAAGCGTTGATCGGAGCGCGCAAAGTGCTCGTTCAGTCTCACCTTTACACGATCGATCTGCAGAAAGCGACGTCTCCGAGCGAGACGTCGCGCGTGCTTGCGAAAAAATACGAGACGACGTCCGCGACGCGACACACGGCGAGATCGTTGGTGTGAAACCGAGCGTGCTCATCTCGAGGAAAATTGACTGTTAACATCGCCTTCGAGTAACGAGTCCGGCGCCTCGTCGATCAATTATATTAATAAAATTATACGATATATACAAGAAACCAGCACATATCTCCGGAATAAAGTGACGTACGCCGCACAATTATGTCATAATTGATCAACGAGAAAAACCGGTTGCGCGACAAGTCGCAGTAATCCCTGAGATATAAACCTGAGAGAGAGAGAGAGAGAGAGAGGAGAGGAGAGAGAGATGTCGCGTTTCCAATATAAAGCGTCTCGAGAGTACGCGCGACTTCGCGACGTCGCGTGCGGAAACGCGACGCACCGGAGAGACGGGCGTTGCGTTTCACGTCCGCCGGCGATTACTAATCGCAACAATCGCAGCTATACGTGATAAAGAACCATCATCGCTGACCGAGTTTGCCGTTTGTCCGCGGCTCGCTCTAGGGCCCGCGGCGGATTGCGCCGTGGGGAGTCGATCGATGTCGCGGCCGACCGGCCCGGCGCTGTGCGCCATACAGAGCGCTGAAAACAGTTCAACGTCCTCCAGCAGTGCACTTCCAGCCGCGGACCTTCGGGATTTCGTGGCAGCCACGCCAGGACGACCTCCAGCACCGGCCGGACGCACCCGGCGCGAGGCGCACCTCGTCGCCGGAGGTGGTGACCAAGATGTTGCGCGCTCTGGAGGAGATGGGTGAGCCGGTGGGCCCGTCGGCGACCGACAAGGTGCGCGCTGACCCAGCCGTGTCCCTGGAGTTCTTGCTTCACCCTGGTGCGCCTTCTGCGAGAACGAGTTGAGAGGAGGAACGGGGGAAACTCGTAGCCTCTTCTTCGGCGATATCAGGACGAATCAGTTCTCTTGGTAGTCCGTTTGGTATCTCAGACTTCGGATTCCCGGCAGCCGCCTGTCTGACCGTGCGAAGCCTCTGTGTCTGATCACCGTGACTTTTATTTTTATTTTTCTTATATTGCATCCTCTCCGTCGGGCCGTTGCGATTAACGTTTAACGTTGTGTGCAACGGTCGCGTGTGCGTGCGCGCACGATGCGTTCTTAATTTTAGGACTTGCGTCAGGATTTTCCTTTCTTCTCGTTTGCTTTTATCGGAAAATGTTTGTTACACTGTTTAACGTATCGCGGTGTGAACGGATTGCATGTTGTCGCCGAGCCGCATTGCTGAAATTGTCTCATCGGAAAACGCACCGGCGACGAGAGTTATTACAGTAAAATCTCGTTGTAGAAAACTCGATTACACACAGCTACGTCGAATTGGACTCTCGTTGCAATTTTTATTTTCGGTACACATTGATACAGATAATGGCTGCATCTTCAATGATACAAAATCTCGACGCGTACAATTCTTTGAATTCTCTATGTAACGGGGAGGAATAGTGTCGCCGTTCCTTTCATACACGATTTTTCACGAAGTTGTACGTTGCATATATTTGTCCAGAGAAATTTAATAAAATGTATATAAAAAATAATATACATTTCGATAGAATTATTTATTATTAATACTTAACTATCGTGCGATATTGTTATGCGTCGTGCGTATGCGCTTTCCCTTTATGCGCTTTCAGCATTAGTAAAACACGCGAGGGGGATTAATTGCGAATTAATAATTAATCGTTTCAATTAAATCACCTATATATAATATCGACGAATCGTTCTTCCCGCTTCCGCAGCCTATGGATGACCATGAGGATTAATGAAGTAAGAGTGCGTGAAATACGCTCGTAACGTACTCGGTTACAGTCGTGATTTATTGATCGGTACAAATGGACGCAATTAAATTAGCAGTGGACGGAATTACGGCGTGCGACGTCTCTTTTAGCGAATTCGGCCGGGCGCGTTAGTGCGCACCGTTGCGCCTCGGAAGCCGGCGCTGTGTATACGCGGGAATTTACTCTTTCTCTCTCTCTCTCTCTCTCTCTCTCTCTCTCTCTCTCTCTGTGTGCGTCGGACGCTACCTAATATTAAATAATTCTCGCGTCACGCTCGCGAATCGGCAGGAGCGGGCTTCACAGCGAGCCGCACATCTCAGGTGGAACGCACCGAGTCTCAATTGCGAAATCTTGCTCCCGAAGGAATCGCAAGAAATCCTTCTCTCCGACAAATTTGCCACCGACCGAAGGGGTGTTCAGTAAATCCTAGGAGTAATTATTGATCCAAAGCACATCGGAAAGCGCGAAAGAGCGCGAAGGATCGTCCCTCCGTTGCAATTTTCCAGCTGGAAAGCTGTTCGGCTCGCGAGCTAACGAATTCAACGCGTCTCCGGAGCCGCGAAAGAGAGCGAGAGACGGTCCGCTGGATCTCACGACGAGGAAGCTCGCCTCTGTTTTTACAGCGGGCGAAGAGAAGAGACCTCCAGCCGTACGTCGAACGGGCCTTACCGTCGAGCATCATTTGCGTAACGCGCGCGCTCCGGCCGTATTCGCAACTCGCAAATTCACGTTACAAGAACCCGATGACACCGCAGGCGAGACGGGCGCCCGCCGATCCGGTCTTCATGCTCTCCTCGGTTCCGCCGCGGCCGAGGTCGTCGGGTTTCTCGTGGACCACCAGGGCCCTGCCGATCGCACCTCGGACACCCACCAGGCTCAGATAGTGATCGAAGCCATCAATACGCGCCGTGCCGTCCTGCCCGACCTCGATGTTGCCGAGATCCCCGACGTGACGCAATGGATCGCTGGGTGCTCCGTGATTCACCTGAAAGCCGTGCGTACTTACCGTTTTACCGTAACGTGAGGCGTGAGGAGGGATCATCCCGTAACGTCATCGGCGAGGAAAAGTAGAGGGAGGAGAAGTCGCGAGAAGAGGAGCGAGTCCTAACCCGCTTTTTGAAGAGAGAACCTTCAGTCGATTAATGCAAATCTCATCTCCCCTTGCGCTCGACCCCCTGACTCATTCGGATTAATTTTTCTGAGCTTCTCGGGGGAAAAGGGAGAAAAAGGAAGAAAGGAGTTAAATCGCTGTTACTAGGTGAGGCCTTCATTTGCAAATGCAAATCTCGCGCCGTCAGCGTGGGATTGCGAGCGCGAGCGCGAGCCGCGAAGAATTTCCGAGTGAATTTCTCACGAATCGCCATGAAGCGCGAGAAATGAGCGGAGGTGTTTTGCGCGGTGCGCGATGAAAAAGGAAAAGGAGAAGAAATGTCTGGAAAATATCCTCGGATTAATACGCCGAGCAGATGAAGGCGACCCTATGACGCGAAATCTCTGCGATGCGATAATATGTAATTAATTAATTAATTTTTTTCTTTTTAAACATCGCGCAAATGAGAGAGAGACAGAGAGAGAGAGAGAGACAGAGAGAGAGAGAGAGAGAGAGAGAGCGAGAGAGAGAGAGAGAGAGAGATTCTTATTCGGCACGATGGCGGGTCGAGTGTCTCGCAATTGTTTCCAAGGTTTGTTATTCTATTATCCATACGCGCATAAATACGCGTAAAGATGATAAAATGATAGGAGAGGGAAGGCGTTACGTTACCATGTATGGGTTGAAGTGCGGCCCGGCCGAATTGCAGCCTTTCGTCAAATCCCCCTTTTCGTGCACGTGGAAGCCGTGCAGGCCCGGGTTTAGGCCCGAGATCGTACCCGCGACCCTGACCCCCTGGGGATGCTGCTCCAGCGTTAGGATCCCTCGGGGTCCATCGTCCATCGGTGTGCCATCATCGCCGAGGGCTTTCAGCTCCACCACGGCCTTCAAGCCGACCGCCTGTGCACATTTCGAAGGAAAGTCACGTTTACACGTCTCCAGGACTCGCTCATGATGTCATCAAGCGAGCGCGTTGAAAAGATGATTCCGCACCGAGTCGGTCTTGTGCGATGTGTACTTTCGCAAATTGATACTTTGACGGGAGTGATTAACGCGTCGAGCGCCAACGCTATCATCATCATTTCGCCCGGCTATCATTTCGTCTATTAATTTACACATAAATCGGGAGTAATTGCGCCTGGCGCACTGAACATGCGGCGAGGAGAGAGAGAGAGAGAGAGAGAGAGAGAGAGAGAGAGAGAGAGAGAGAGAGAGAGAGAGAAAGAGAGAGAGAGAGAGAGAGAGACAGAAAGGGCTGGCTGACGCGCGAAATCAGCCAGCAGATACACGCGTCGGAAATGATGATGTTCACCGTAACTCTGATCATTCGAGCTCACATTTATGCTCCGGGACAATCCTTGAAAATTAATTACGCGCTCGACGCGGTGGAAGAAATACTGCGTGCGATCTCTTTTCCTTTTCTTTTTTTATTTTTTATCAGAGACACGAGCGGGTGGCCTCGAAGACACATGCAAACGCACAAGAAGCGCGCGTTTCATCACGCAAGTCAGATACAAAGTTCAGCCGCGGAGCTGGAGTGACGGACAACGCTTTGGATTCCGCGCGTTTGCGCTTTGCGACCTCGAGACTCCAAGAGCGCGCCGCCCTGTAGCCCTGCGCAACGAAAATCCACGCCACCCGTCTTGTCCACGGAAGCAATTTGTTACTGCTCGATTAATCTATAAATGCAACCGCGTACGTGCGCGAGCGAGAGCGCAAGCCAAGTCCCAGGAGCGCAGCGGAGGCCGGAAATTGATAATGACGCATCCGCGACGTATCGAACGATACGGAGGAGAGAGGCTTCCGCGCCGTGAACGGTATCTCCTAATGCCTCGGAACGTAATCCACCTGCTTATTGAATCGCATTACACTTGCCACTGTCATTTGCCGGACGCTGCTCGCGTGGTCGTCCAGTTTCTCAGCGCGAGCAAGGTTGCGAGGTTCACGGGTAAAATCTGCAATTACTGCCGCGGCCGGGCTGTAATCTGCCGGCGACGATGAAGCGGCAGAAAGTACGCGCAAGGTCGGAGCGACGCGCGGGGAAGTCGCTGCTCTTCATTAGAATTGCACACGAGAGAGAGAGAGAGAGAGAGAGAGAGAGAGAGAGAGAGAGAGAAGCGCAGAATCGAGCGCGGCGTGAACGGACTTTGTAGTGAAAGCGTCCTCGTGACGGCGTCCGCTATCCGGCGTCCTTCGCGATGTTTAAATAGCTTAATAGCTAATTATGCAAATTTCCGCGTACGGGAAGCCGGGACCGTCTACGCGCGCGGTTAATGACTAATAATAGACGCACGCGAGCGCGGCGGATGGAACGCGATCGATTGGCCATCGGTTGCGCTCATCTGCCTCGCCGAAGACAAGTATTACGTGGAGATGTTTACGCGCGTACTCGCACCTGTCGTGTCGAAAAGCGCGCGCGTGTGTGTGTGTGTGTTTATGCGTGCGTGCGTGCGTGCGCTTTTCGCGGAACACGAGGAAGCTGATTGGGATTTCGCGGTCGTCGTCGTTAAAATCAATATGCGCGAGGCGGGATTATAATGAACGCGCGAATGCACTAATACAGCGCGTCGGTGACTCGCGTTGCTGGCATTTCACTCGCGGTGTGGGTGATTTATATATTGTTGTTACTCGTTATCGCTAATCGCTGGAAAGCAGCACGACGCTGCGCGATCGTCGTTCCCTCGACGTAAGCTGCGCGGACGCGGCCAATAAATCCGCACCACCTCGCGAGCGATGATGCCATGACAGATGATCGCCGCTTCAATGGCGCTCCGAGATAATGCTCGCGGTGACTATTGCCTCTAACATCTCGAGAATGCGCGTCTGAAAGCGCGCTGTCGACTTACTGAACGCATCGGGAAATCTCCTGTTAATCGCACGCATTCATCGGCGAAGTCTTCCGCGAAATTTCGTAGACGTGAAATGATGTGCAGTTTCGTCCGGGCTCTCTCTCTCTCTCTCTCTCTCTCTCTCTCTCAGGTGGAAACGCGGGACGTTCTCACGCAGATCCAACGAGATCACGGTTACACAATATTCTTCGAGTGAGGTTTCGAAACAACGCGAGAGTAAGAAGGTGGGAAAGAGCTGGATCAGCAATCGCGCGACCGAAAGCCAGGATTTTGCGGCGGGCTGCAACTTTAATCGCGTTCAAGCTCTCGCGAGCGTTGGTCGCTCGACTCTTTCTCTCGCCGGGCCGAGAGAGAAGCAGCTGGGAAATGTTTGTCCGTCGGACAGAACAGAATTACAATTACGAGCGGGTGTAACGAAATTACAATCCCCCGCCCTTTAGTCCCGCGCTTTGACTCCGTGATCGTCGAGATTAAATCGCGCGGGGTAGAATCCCCGCTGGGACGACCGACGAAAGCGAAATTCTATCGCGATATCGATCGAATCTCCCGCGACGGAGCACCCTCGTCCCTGTCCCTTTTACGTGAAGTGTCACACGTGAAGTGAGCACGTGTGCGAAATTCGTCCTGGTACACATACGAGTCGTCGTCCGGTCGTCGGAAAATCCAGCGCGGCGATCGACGCGAAGAAGCAACAGGCATACATACGAAGTAATACGGCTCCATGTAGACCTCGTAGAGATCGCTCCTGGTCCCAGGATAACCCGGTAGGCTCCTGACAAACAGCGTCCTGTCGTTCATCGAGACCGCCATCCTGTCGTAGGGTCCGGCCTGCGCCGTTACGATTATAGCGATCACTATCGACAGCCGCCACATGATCCCGCGTGCGAGTCCCGAAAGCGTGCGCCGGACTGATAGAACAGCGAGTTCCTGGTCCTCGCGAGCAGTCCTCCAAGTCGATCGGAGGATAAAGCGGCTCTGACGGCAGGACTCGACGGCGCCTACGAGATCTACTGCGCCTCCTCCTCCTCCTCCTCCTCCTCCTCCTCCTCCCTTGCTGTACCTCTCCTCTCCTTCTCGACTCGATTGCAACGAGGACCTGGCAGTCGGGATTCATCCACTTGCTCGCGATAACGATCGCGCCGTACCGATCAAGGAGCTGCCTTCGAGGACCGTACCTTGAAGACTGCCCCCTCGGAATAGCGACAGAAGAAGAAGAAGAAGAAGAAGAAGAAGAAGAGGAAGAAGAAGAGGAAGAAAAAGAAGAGCAAGAAGAAGAAGAAGAAGAAGAAGAAGAAGAAGAAGAAAGAGCAGCAACAGCAGCAGCAGCAGCCACCACCAGCCAGCCACCTTCGATTCCCGTGGCGTGTATTTATGCGTTACGTCATCGGCGAGTCACGACGAGGACGAGGCCGGTTGTTGGACGCCCGCTCGTTGGAGAGGGCGAAGCACCAGGGGGTCCTCGGATCGCGCAGAGATCTTCCGCGCGCGCGCGCGCGTGAGCGCGCCACAACTAGCCGCTGTCCGCGATCGATTGAAGCAGCCGCGTTCCCGGATCGCGCTCGCAAGACCGATCACTGTCCCCGGATCCCGGTCCCGTTGCCGCTGCCGGCATCAGATCGGATCGGATCGGATCGGACGTGCGAAATGCGAAACGGTCTTGCCTAAGCTCGTGCGTACGTTTTCCTCTTTCACTCGCGTCGCGTCGCGGTCGGCCCGCTCACGGCACACGCCGTGAACGCACGTTCACCGTTCACGACGGCGCACGTGGCTCACGAGGCTCGCGACGAGGGAGTCGAGTGAAAGCGAGACGTGCCTGCCGGCCGGTAGGCTTTCGGTGCCCCGGGCGAGTCGCTTAGACGCCGTCGTCGACACCGCCGAGCGATTGCCCAGCTAATCTGAACGATTGACCGGCCGAGGCGAGTGTGTGAAAAAGCGCGGAAAGCGGGACGCGTGATTTTCGCGGCTAGCCAGCCGGAACGCGACGTTCCGGCCGTTGCTCGAGCGAGGTTGTTCCTTAGTCCAGAGATGCAGCGGTGATCGACCGCGAACTGGCTACGGGACTCGGAGCTGGAGCCATGGGATGACTCCGCGTCTAACAGCCATCGATCGACCCGATCGATCGCGTCGCGCGGCGTGCGAACGAACGTGATGCGCGCCGCGCGCGACGACTCCAGGACTCAGGGACGAGCTCCTCCGAGCTGGTGTCGTCAGTGGAAAATAACGCGTAAACGCCGCTGCTGGAGAGTGGCCGTGGGAGAAAAAGGAAAGACTAACGGTGCGCGTCGGCTTTCTCACCTCGGGTAACTCGCGGAGAAAGAAAAGAAGAAAGAAAGAGGAATGCTAATGATGCTAAATAACGCAGGATGGGATCCATTAAAATTCGACGGCACGATCGCTATGAATAGCACGATCGATGGCGTCCCGTTAGCGCTGATATCAGCGCGATGAAATGTTCTCGTCGGGACGTCAGGCGGATTAATCGCCGCGCGAATCAAAGAGCGCCCGCGCGCGCGCGGCATGCGAATTTCATGTAAAAGTATAAAACGCGTAATTACGACTGTCACGTGAGCCGTATTATGGAAAGGATGAAAATGAGACGAGAGTCGTGCTGCGAGTTTATCGCGCGCGCGCGCGCGCGCTAATGATCCGCCGATTCGTCCTTTTAGTCCCGAGATGCCATAATCCGATATTATTCTCGGAAAGCGCGCTGCGCGTTCGACGCGCCGCGCCGTGTCGCTGCGCGTTTTTCATCGCATTAAGCGGCGATTTACGATTATGCCCGGCACGATCACGACTCCTTCGGCTGTGGAAAACGACCGCGAGAGATAGCGAGCCGCGAGGAGTAATACGAGGAGGAGGAGGAGGAGGAGGAGGAGGAGGAGGAGGAGGAGGAGGAGGAGGACCAGGAGGAGAATACGTGGCGCGGCGGAGGCTGTAGAGTGGCCGCGGCTGTACGGTACGCGAGTGTAGGTCAAGCATACTTCAAGGCGGCACTCGTTCGATATTCGGCGGTATAATTCTAGCCGAGCTCGGCAAAGTTTCGTCCATGCACAACGAGGTCCATGCACAAAGGCTGCCGCGCAGAGTACCGTGTTCTCTGCGTGCGCAAGTATTAATTTCTTCATCTTTTCCTCTCGTTCTCCCTCCTATATTCCCGACTCTATCATCTCTCAGTAGGGAGAGAGCAATGGCACGTATCTCTTAGTAAGATATTACGCATCTTATCTATCGCAGCGCGTACACGTGACATTTCAATATCGCGGCTCTCTCTCTCTCTCTCTCTCTCTCTCTCTCTCTCTCTCTCTCTCTCTCTCTCTCTCTCTCTCTCTCTCTCTCTCTCTCCCTCTCTCTCTCTCTCTCTCCCTCTCTCTCTCTCTCTCTCTCTCTCTCTCTCTCGGTGAGGCAACTTACCGGTGCCGGCGACAATCCGGCGGTTGCGAAACGAGTCATGTGAGAACGTACGGCGATGTACGAAGGGGATAATGTCGACGCGAAGTGCGATTTCATTGATATTTAAAATCTGCTAATTGCGATTGGCCCGTAAAATAGGTTAATCAATACGCGCGGTGATAGATGAGAAAATCAAGCGACGATTAAGCCGCTATCTTCGCCGATCAATCTCGATCGATCCATAGGCCTTGCCTTGAGGACGCGCCGTTTGCGCGGATTTTCCTGCGCGGTGTCGCAGGTAAATAAACGCGATCGCACGCGGCATCGCGATTCGCAACGTCTTCTTCCAACGATCGTCGAGAGGCACAACGATACAATAATATGTGATCATAAATCTCCAGCGCGTATGGAAAATAGCAGCTTACACGGCGCGATGTTATTCGCTTCTGTTCGCACGGCAAGTAGCGTAGTCATCTTCGCCGCTGACTGTCGAAGACGGTGAACGATACGCGTCGCGAAGCCAACGAGAGTTTCGAAGGTTTCGCGTACAAGCGGTAATCTTTATCTTGTAGAAAAGAGGAAGGGAAAAAATATCAGAAATCCAGGGTCAAGGCGGCGGAGCGCGAAGGTGCGTCGTAACTTTCGCGGTTTCACGACATCGACGTCTTCCTCTTTCTGCCGCTCGCGCTATCCTTCTCTACGCCATTGCCAGCGCGCTTTGCCGTGCCGTGCGGTGACTCCGCCACGACTTGAGTGTGTCGATGAAAGGAACACGCGGCTCGTGTGTTTCGCGTTGATGGGCAGGGATTCTTGCGCAAGAGGACCTTGTCAATCATCGCGTTCGTCATTGACGATGCCTAATTATCGTCACCGTTTGAATCGTCGATCGTCGAGCGATGTCGGTTTGCGAGACTCGCGACCCTGCCGCGCGAAGCGACGAGTCCGCGCCCATTGAGGAGAGAGGATTCGGATTCTTTTTCTTTTTTATATGAGTTGTTCCCAGACGAAGAGATACGCAGAGGTACTTGAACAATTTCCGTACGACTTGTCGTTCGGTCGAGTTCGAGAGAGGTTATGGATATTCGATGGTCGGATTATATGAAAGAGGTCCGGATTCTTAATTATTCGCTTACTATGAATATTCAATTGCCGAATTAAGGAGGATAAGAAGAAAGAGCGACCGAGAGAGATCGCTTTCAAAACGCACCAAAGGGAATTCCAAATTGTCCAAAGATCCAGCGTGGTGAATTATGGGGAACGATCATACGATACATCGTCGTCAGATTTCCAGGAAATAATGCCGAGCAGAAAAATCTTGGCGAGGCATTATAGAGCAGCGCGCTTCGATCGAAGCTTGGCCTGGCTATAAACTAATGCACAAGGTAACTATGAAACCTTGATGCTATAGTGACTAATGTTCCAGGAGGGGGATATACGATTACGAGGCGTACACGTAGGCATGTACGAGCGGCCTGTAGTCGTCTAAGGAAAGCGAGTGTCACAGTCGCTTTCCATAGGGTTTTAGTTTCTTCTTGCCAGTGCTACCGTCGACGCGCACGTTTGTCGCGCTTCTTCCCGCTTTTCCCGGCAGTCCACCTCGTTACTTGACCGACCTCTGGACGACGACCCGTCGTCGTGCACCCAGGAGGAACGCTCCTCGTGTCATATTGGTATATCAGCTGTCATTATTCATATATGCGCGTTTCCGTGTTGAGTCTTAAAGAAATATCTCTCTCGTTCGTCCGAAGGGAACTATTCGGAACCGGAGCGAACATTATCTTGAATTTGACGAAGGAACAAGGGGATTTTCTTTCCTAGAGAGCGTTTTATACTTTCACGTACTTTCACGGTGCAGTGTTTACCGTGTTCCTAATGTAATCTTTCTTTTTATTTAAAGAAAGAATAGTGCTTGTTATCGCAGTAAGCAAGATAATTGGAAACCTTGAATATTAACTACTCTTCTGGAAGGGAAATCCTTCTTAAGTTTCACTGAGTCACACCCAAGTGGTTACGCAAGCAGATAACGAAATGTACGGTCGAGCCTCGTCTTTTTTCCGCAGACCACTCGGAACCGAGCGCTCGGCAGAAACATTTTCAGCAAAAGATTTTTCGCAAACGGCGACGAGACGGTCGCCGGCAGGCAAAAGGTCGAGGTCCTCTGTGAACCTTCCGAGAGGGGACACCGCGGGGTCGACGACCGATCGCGCGGGTACGCGGTACATTTCGAGAGCGGTGGATCTCTGAAAGGATCCAGCACAAAGTCGCGTCTCCCGCAATCGCGATAACGTTAAGGCAAGGCAAGGAAGCGAAGGAACGCGAGAAGGAGAGAGAGAGAGAGAGAGAGAGAGAGAGAGAGAGAGAGAGAGAGAGAGAGAGAGAGGGAGGGAGAGGGAGAGAACTGCTCTGCTCACGGCTCTCTTGCGCGAATCGCGGCTCTCTTTCGGGCTCTCTCGATTCTCCAAGTTTACTCGTCGTCGTCGTCGTCGTCGTCGTAAGACGCAGTCGATGCTCGGCGCTTTGAGCCGCGCGATCCGCGCGAGTGGGCGTCAATAGTGTGCGTTTCACTGTGAGGCAATATCGAGGAAAAGCAGTGTCACGCCCGCAGTTGTTCGCGAAGCACGAGTCTTGGTCACGTGGAAACTCTGGGCGCAGTCTTCAAAAGGTGAGAAAGAAAGAGGAAGATAGAAATTGCAGAGAGGGAGAGAGAGGGAGAGAGAGAGAGAGAGAGAGAGAGAGAGAGAGAGAGAGAGATATCGCTTTTTCCGGGAACTATCGCGTCCAAAAGTTGAGTCGCGGTTGTCGCGGCTGGCGTATTACATCTCGCTCATTTATATTCTTGTCGTAAAGCAAGTCTTGGAGAGGAGGATCTTGAAGCGGGAGGGGAGATGAGAGCCGAGAAGTGCATCGTAGGAGAAAATTCAGAGCGCTTCTCGTTAAACAATTTTCCTCGTAAAGATGATTCATGCGTCTGGATATCGCATGATTTGATTATCGCGCATGTATTCTTGAAATGGAAGACATAATAATCTAGACAGAAACATGTGGAATTATCGGAGTATTCGGTAAGGTCGATGCGGGTGAAAGTTCGACGATTTCGCGCTATCGGCCGATTCAATTAGCGTAATCGACCGGTCGCGCTTTTCCGCTCTACTTCCGCGCGCTTTCGGGATATTCCGCGCAAAATTGAGATCGATTATTTTCGGAGCGCACTCTTTGAGCGCGCCTCCGCGCGTTAATCCCGGCGTGCTTATTTACATTCCCCGCGGATGTTTCCACGAAGATATCGAGTACGCTGATAGAGTATGCGAGTATTAATAATGCATACCGACGCGACGCTACTATTCGTGTCGCGCTCATCATCTCGCGCGAGCTTTTGAAAAATACGTGCGACGCCGTCCGTTCCGCACGAATTAAACGTCGCTCGCGTATTTTCATGTCGCCCGAACGAACGAAAGTTTACCACAGTACGAAGTACGAAGGAGGCTCCTTTTATCAAGCAGTTCGCGGTTATAGTTTGTACGGGATTAACGACGTGAGATAAGAATGAACGTCAAGGAGAAAATCGTCGAGTATAATCGGGCGGCAGTCGCCCGTAATTTCTGCGTCTTCTTTTTCCTCTTTTACGTAACATATTATATTATCGTCGTATGTATTGCATACATCAGCCTGAAGGGATATCCATATTTATCGTGTTTCGCTCGATTAAGCTCAATTAGTCATCAATCGAGCGCAATTTCCATCGCATCAATAATCGCCGGACGCGTGAGGAGTGCGCGATAAAAACAAAGTCTTTTACATTGGAAAAACGCCTCTGGCGCGGCGCTACAAGCGGCCGCTTGTTCGCAAACTCGTGACGTTTCTCACGAGTTTGCGAACACACGAGTGCTGCTTGCGATTACTCGCGGCTCGTTGTCCCGCGAATATCGGATTCACGAGAGGTAAGCCGCGTCCGGGGATCGCGAAGCGCGAGGCGCATCTGCAAAGTACAGCGGTGCGATTATCTCGATGACTTATTTATCGTGTGAAACGCTCGTTGTTAAGCGGCATTGCGTGTTGTATTAGGTGTACAAATGAATTATCCAAATATTATTTTAAGCAGTTATGAAATCAATTTTAAATTGAATAGATTTTCCCGCTCTTTTGTGATTATGCAATATTGACGTATAGCTATTAAAAAGAACATATAGTTTGGCGAAAGACAACCTTCGTATAACCTTGAAACATAACCTTCAAAAGTATTCAGTTCAGTACAGTCGAAAATGGCAACAGATAAGGTGCATATCCGACACTGCATTCTTTACGAATTCCAACAAGGAAAAAATGCTGCAAGAGCGTGCGAATCGATTTGTTCCTTTCTCGGCGAAGGTGTTGTATCGTACGATGTGTGCGCATTTTGGTTTAAGCGGTTTAAAAGCGGTTTAAAAAATTTCAGTCTAATCGACGAACAACGCCCTGGAGGCCCTCCGAAGTGCGATAATGATGATTCGGAACAACTGCTCGCGGAGAATTCGACACAAACACAAAAAGAGCTTGCAGAACAGTTGGGAGTAACGCAGCAAACGATTTCCAAACGCCTACATGAGATGGGAAAGATCCAGAAAGAAGGAAAATGGGTGGCTAACCGCATGAACTCACTGAAACCAACCAAAAATCCACGAGTGGGCAGCGTGTCTTTCTCTTCTCAATAAGCAGCGTCGAAAGCAGCTTTCTTGCGGAAAATCGTTACGGGCGATGAGAAATGGATACTCTATGACAATCCGAAACGCAGAAAGTCATGGATAAATCCCGGCGAATCATCAAAATCGCTTCGGAAAGAAGAAGGTTCTTCTCCGCATTTGGTGGGATATCAAGGGCGTGCTTTATTATGAGTTGTTGGAACCGGGTGAAACCCGGCCGGTTACTGCGGACTGCTACCAACGTCAATTGATCTGCTTGAGTCAAGAATTGGAGAATTGGAAAACGCCCGTATACTGGCAAAGGAGAACGTCCAGTGAAATTGTCGCATGACAACGCCAGGCCACGCATTGCTTCCAATACAAAAGACACCATAATGAGTCTTGGCTGGGACGTCTTGCAGCACTTGCGGCGTATTCACCAGACATTGCTCCGTCCGATTATCACTTGTTGCGGTCGATGCAACACGCCTTGTCCGACCATGCACTTCCAATCAGTGGATGAGATCCGAAAATGGCTTGACGACTTTATCGTGTCCAAAGACGTAACATTTTTCCGACATGGAATTTATCAGCTGCCTGAAAGATGGCTTAAAGTTATTAGAAAGCAACGGCGAATACTTTGATTGAACATTTTTAATTTACCTTCTTTTAAAATAGACCTCGAATGTAGCTGAAAAGATTGGATTATTCATTTGTACACCTAATACTACAACGCGATCGTCCCCTGACGAACTGAAAACGGGCTTCGCGCCCGTTCCGACGAGAAATACCGCGCGTCCGCACGCCCGACTGGACGTGATTGGTGCTGCTGTTTCGTTCACATCCCCTGAAATCGCAACTCTGACTGAAGATACGACACGTCCATCGCGGAGGAAACAATTCCGTAGGGGCAGCTAAAGCTTTTCTCTCTGAGATACTTCCCCTTCTTTCTTTTGGCCACGAGACTAAACTCGCTTGTGGGGACAGAAAGATCCCCGCAGAGGAGAATCTCTGTCCTCAGTCAATCGGCTCTGTCAACCATCCTCACCGAGTTTTAATGCTTTAACTGAATGTTTTAATGTTCCCGGTCGTGCGTGACAGAGACATCATTTTTGCCGTCACCGAGTTTTCGCTATTCGATTACACGAAAAGAGAGGTCTTTCTTTTCTCTTCTCTTCTCTCTCTCGTAGCGCGTTGTTCCCCGAACTCCGGACACCGGAGTCCCTCGGGAAACGCTTTTTCCCCGCACGCACGACGATCGACGTATAATAAAAAGAGGAGAAATAGGGAGAAAAATCGCATCGTAATCTTCGCGCCGGCTCCGCGGGGCCTCGTCTTATTTTTCGATCCGCGACTTGTCTAGCACCGTTTACCTGTGAGCGACAGCTACATTAACGTTCGACGTCGACGTATTACAAAAAGCCCACGGTGGGCTCTTTTATTTTGCGACGTATCACGCCGCGGGGCCGGCGACGAAGCCTGTACGCCCTTACGCGAATATATCCCTCGCGAGCGCGCCTCCGCTCTCTTCGCTGGCGCTATTTCCGAGAGATCCAAACTGGTTGTAATTGTTGAACGATTGCATGTGAATATGCGCGCGCGTAATTTCCGATCAATTTCACAGGCATTATATTACATCAATCATAATGCCCCCGGGGAACAGCGTTCCCCCCCCCCCCCCGCCCCGTGTAATAGCGCGAGTATCGGGCCGGGGATTTTTCAGAGCGTTTTTACGACCGGCGTCTCGTAGACGGGAGCGCGTAGAGATTACTGTTATTGCTACGTCGGCGAAAATCCGAGCGAGTCGCGAAGGTTCGCTTTCGAGCGAATGCCGCGGCATTTTGATGGACGACACATTGATGGACGTTCGTCGTCGATCATGTCGCGTCGAGCTCTCGTCTCTCCCGACAAACGACGGGGAGGGATAATTATGCTCATTATGTAATAGCGCCATTATTATGCAATTATTCGCTTCGTTGTGAGATGTTACTCGTGCCACGTTGACCGCTCGAGCG